TCCATTCAAGACCCTCACTGGGTAAGACCATCTTTAGCTCTCGTTGCCGGGGAGGAAATTGCCTTGCAATATACAGTGACAACACCACTTAGCACTTCCGTTTCCTTATCAAATATAGTATGTATTAATTATTTTATAGGCTAATTGGAAGGACAGGTGAGAGGAAATGTATCAAGGGTTGCATTCAGAAGGAAACTGGGATGTAAAAGCAAAGTTATAATAAAGCAGAATACTTTATCACTGATGTAATTATACTACAGGAAATTGTCTCACACATGCTTCACTTGTACGAGAGCCATCAATACCTGTACTTCAGGTATTGAACCTTCCAAAAGATCCAAGTGATGTTATTCCGGTTTGAATTCCAAGTGTGAGTTGATTCATAGGGGGTTTTGTCTAAACAGCATCTCCCCATTTCCTTGAGCTTTGTGTTACTTTAGAACCTCAAGTTTAAAGATTTATTTATTTATTTATACAAGCACTGGGTACAGTCAGAAGCGCGGAAGGGTGAGAGAATTCACCAGAGTGGGGAACAGAACAGGCAGACTGATGAAATGCACTGCTGAGGGGAGCAGCAGGTGAGGCAGGGGAGGTCTGTCGCGCCATGTGGGACCCTTGCCCAGCGGCCGGGGATCGAACCGACGCTGCAGAGGCTGCGGGCAGCTTCACAGCCCAACGCTCAACTGCTGTGCCACCAGGGGAGGCCCTAGAACCTCAAGTTTAAACCATCATCGCTGGAGTCATCAATTATTGAGAATTCAGTCTTATTACTTGAGTCTGGTCTGTTTGCCCAGAGTGCGCAGTTTGTAATTAACAATCAGCCCTTGCGCTTGTCTAATGCCTTTGTCTTTAAGGACCAGACTGATGATGTATTATTGACTGTATGTCACCACATAACTGCGTGGGAGGGCCTTCCCTTAGATAAAGTCAGGAAAGGCTAGCTCTACAGTGCCTACTTTGCAGGCTAGCTCTACGGTGCCTACTTTGCAGATGAAGAGGAGTTACTCAGAAGCTGGTGGCTACTTAGAAAGGCAAAGGGAAATGTTATCTAAAGGAAATGCATAGGAGATGATCTGGGACATGAAAAAAATCTCATCATTTTCTTCAAGAAAAAATTCAATAGCACAAAGACTAAGGTGGCCTATTTTATAATAGTAGCACCGTTGAGATCTCAGGGTGAAATCAGACAGACAAAAGGCCGTAAACTAGATGTTGCCCAATCAGATGGTTCAAAGAAAGCTCTGTCCATCTCCTAAATTCTACTCTTCTTTGTTAGATGGTCACGCACAAGTTTTTTGTGCCCTCTCCTGGCTTGACTTTGAAACTGCATAACGGGGACACCCTCAACTTCCTGGGTGGCCATTCCCTTTCATAAGTACAAACTCTTCCATCCCTTTCCCTGGCCCTTCAGGAGGCTCATCTCAGACTAGAGGAGGGGGCGTCTGGGTAAAGGTGGGTTTATCAAGCTACAGAGGCCCCTTCCATAAACTGAATAGAAAGACTGAACAATCAATCTCATGTTCAAGTAGTACCTACTATATTTTCAAAAATGATGTTGGCCTCCCTAGAGGCACAAGGGGTTAAGCATGAAGCAATCCACATCCTCTGCAGCATGAGTTCGATCCCCGGCCGGCCAGGGAGAAACCCACATAGCACAGCAGACCTCTCCTGTCTAGCCTGCTGCTCCCCTCAGCAGTGTATTTCATCAGTCTGCCTGTTCTGTTCCCCGCTCTGTCTCTGGTGGATCCTCTTACCCCTCCCGCATATCTGGCCTGTATTCCAGTTCTTGTATAAATAAATGAATCTTTAAAAATAAATAAATAAATAAATAAATAAATAAATAAATCTTTTAAAAAAATGATGTTATGAGTATAGGTAACTCCATGTGAGTGTGTTAAGTATTCCCGGAGGCACTGCTGAGTGTGTTACTTTATAGGTCGAATTCATATAAGAGTGGAGACTTTGACAAACTTTGAGGAAAATATTTTGAACTTGCTAAAAAATATGTTTTCTTTAGGGCCAGGGGACAAAGAAGTTAAAGATTGGGCAACAAGGTGAATGGAGTGTCAGAGTAAGCCCCAGTGGGGAGGCTGGAGTTGCTGCTGGATCTTTTCTAGTTTCTGCAAGCACAGACAAACTCAAAGTGTTGACGCCTGCAGAACCCATGCCTCATGTGCGAGGCCAGAGGGAATCCACACAGGCAGCTGAGGGGCCACAGCGCTGCCCTCACACTCTGGCTGGCACAGTTTGGGGCTGAAAGCATAATCACCCAGTGCTGCATCCATTCACCTGCTCACCAAACATGTATTACTTTTTTTTTTCACAAGCATTGGGTTTAGAGGACATCCAAAAGGACAAAGCAGATTTTTAAAAAAAAGATTTATTTATTTATGCATGCAAGAAGTGGGGTACAGGCCAGAAGTGTGGGGGCGAGAGGATTCACCAGAAACAGAGTGGGGAACAGAACAGGCAGATCTACTGAAATACACTGCTGAGGGGAGCAGTGGGCAAGTCAGGAGAGGTCTGTTGCGCCATGTAGGTCACCTCCCTGGCCCGATATTGAACTCATGCTGCAGTGTCTGTGGATAGCTTCATTGTGCTGAGACTTAACCCCTTGCATCACCAGGGAGGCTCCAAAGCAGATATTTTATCAGATAAATTATATTACTATTATAAGGCACATAATTCTATTGCAAAGCACTTCTTTCTTTCCCAAGTGTCTTTTCCCCTCTTAGAAAAGATATTTTTTTCTGGAGAAAAATCTGAATAGACATTTTTCCAAAGAAGAGTTACAGCTGGCCAATAGGCACATGAGAAAGTGCTTGTTATCACTTATCCTCAGGGAAATGCAAATCAAAACCATGATGAGATTCACCTCACACCTGTGGGAATGGCTATTCTCAAAAAGACAAGAGAGGGGCCTCCCTGGTGACTTAGGGGTTAAGTCTCAGTGCTATCACCTCTACAGCCTGAGTCTGATCCCCGGCCAAGGAGCATATATAGTGCAGCAGACCTCTCTTGTCTTGCCCACTGCTCCCCTTAGCAGTATAGTTCAGTAAATCCACCTGTCCTACTTCCCACTCTGTCTGGTGATTCCTCTCACCCCCACCCCTCCACCTCTGGCCTACACCCAATTCTTCTACAAAATAAATATTTTTAAAAAGGCAAGAGATAACAAAGTGCTGGCGAGGACAGTGAGAAAAGAGAATTCTTGTGCACTGTTGGTGGCAATGTAAACAAAAACAGAATGGAGATTCCTCAAAAAATTAAAAAGACAGCTACCTTATGATCCAGCAATTAATTCTACTACTGGATATGGATTTGAAGAAAGTGAAAACATTAACTGAAAAAAGATACATGCACCCCAATCTTCAAAGCAGCATTATTTACAATCGTCACACTATGGAAACAGCATAAGTGTCCATTTGTGGAGCAATGGATTAAAAAAATGGAATAGTATTCAGCCATAAAAAAGAATGTGCTCTTGCCATTTGTGACAAAGATGGGTGGACCCTGAGGGCATGATGCTAAATGTGAAAGTCAGACAGAGAGACAAATACCATATGCTGTCTTTTATTGCATGGACTCTAAAACAAAAGAAGAATAAAAAACAAGCTCATCATAACAGTGAACAGATTGGTGGGGGCTGAATACTATTCCATTGATGGGCAAAATGGGTGAAGGGGGTCAAAAGGTACAAACTTCCAGTTATAAAATAAGCCATGAGGTTGTAACATAACACACAGCATGATGATTATTAATACAGTTAATAATACCATATTGCACATCTGAAAGTTGCTGAGAAATCTTAAAAGTTCTCATCACAAGAAAAAAAAATTAGCTGTCTAAGGTGACGTGCTAACTGGAGTGTGATGATTTCACAGTACTCTATACAAATATTGAATCACTGATGTTGTACACCTGAAACTAATAAAAGTATATTATATGTCGATAACATTAAAAAAATAAAAGGAAGGCAGAAAGAGGACGGTAGATGGGTGGGCTGCTGGCACCGTTGCCTTCCCTACAGTTTGGCTCGGCTCTAAGTCCGTCTTTAAAAGGTTTTTCAGAAAGATTCTGCTTCCAGACATCTAATACATTTTTTTTAAAGATTTATTTATTTATTTATGCATACAAGAACTGGGGTGCAGGCCAGAGGTGTGGGGGTGAGAGGATTCACCAGAGACACAGTGGGGAGCAGAACAGGCAGACTGACTGAAGTACACTGCTGAGGGGAGCAGCGGGCGAGCCAGGAGAGGTCTGCTGCGCCATGTGGGTAACTCCCTGGCCGGGGATTGAACTCTTGCTGCAAAGGCTGCCAACAGCTTCATAGGCTGCGTCTTAACCACATGCGCCACCAGAGAGGCCCCCAACACCTAATACATTCTTTAAAAAATTGCATTTCTTTTTTCCTCTCTTAGAGAAAGGTTTTTTCCCCTTCAAACCTTTGGGTTTTAAAAATATTACTTTGGGGCCTCCCTGGTGGCAATGGATTAAAGACACAGCGCTATCAAACTATGGCCAGCCACTGCCACATGAATTCGATCCCGGGCCAGGGAGCAACCCACATGGCATAGCAGACCTCTCCTGTCTCCCTGCTGCTCCCCTCAGCAGTGTATTTCGTCAGTCTGCCTGTTCTGCTCCCCACTCTGTCTCTGGTGAATCCTCTTACCCCCCACACCTCTGGCCTACACCCCAGTTCTTGTATGCATAAATAAAAACCTTTAAAAAAAATTGCTTTGAGTGGGAGAACCAGGTTTTAGCGTCGCAGTTCCCCTGGGCAGTGTGGGTGCTCGTGAGTAGGGCGCCCCAAACCCGGCTCTATTTACCAAGGCAGCCAGCAAAGGGCCAGAGGCCGAAGTCCGGAGAGGGGTGGGGGTGGGGGTGGAGACCGGCGGCACCTGCAGCCCCTCCCCTGCCTCTGATCCCGGCGCCCCTGCCCTTTGAGCCCAGGCGGCAGCCGGGCTGGGCCGGCACGCACGCGGGTTGGTGCGGGCAGCGAGGTGGTGCCGGCGGGCGAGGTGGTGCCGGCGGGCGGCATGCTGAGGCTGCTGGTGTCCGGCTGCGCCCGCGGCCTGGGGGCCCGCGGGGGCGCACGGGGGCTGCCCCCCGCCGGGCTCCGCTACCCCTGCCGCAGCCTGAGCAGCAAGGCCGCTGACCCCCCCTTCAACCAGCCCCCCAGTTCCGAGTTCGTGGCCCGGTCGGTGGGCGTTTGCTCTATGATGCGGCTGCCGGTGCAGACCTCCCCCGAGGGGCTGGACGCCGCCTTCGTCGGGGTGCCTCTGGACATCGGGACCTCCAACCGGCCCGGGGCCAGGTAAGGTCCCAGAGACGGGGGACACGTGGCCAGACAGCCCGCAGCCCGGCGCCCGAAGGCAAACCGATGGGCTCCTCTGCTCCTGGGGCAGGTTGGCGGCGGGGCCCGGGAAAGAAAGGGCCGGGCCTTCCCCAGGGGGACCCCTGTCTTGCTGCCACTGTGATGGTGGAGCCCCGGTTTTCCAGAGGCAGGGGATAATACTTTCCCAAGCCACCTGACTCAAGCATTGCTGAAATTCAGGCAATTTTCCTGCCATCAAGTCAGTGGAAGTAACAATCCGTTTTCCTTATCATTGCGCATCAGCTCTTTCCCATTCAGCTCCGCAAGTTTACATCTGAATTATAAATGCAGCCATTTATTAAGTGTCTACTGAGTGCAAGGCCCTTTGTGTAGATGACCTCATAATTCTTACAGCAACAGGGTAAAGTAAACATCCATATTCTGATTAGGAATAGATTAGGAAACCGAGGCTCAGGGAGATTATTACCTAAAACCATTTAGCAATTGAAGATGGGCCAACTTTTAAAAAAATTATTTTTATTTTTTTTAAGATTTATTTATTTATGCATACAAGAACTGGGGTGTAGGACAGAGGTGCAGTGGTGGGGGGCAGCAGTAAGAATTTCACCAGAGACAGAGTGGGGAACAGAACAGGAGGATCCACTGAAATACACTGCTGAGGGGAGCAGCGGGGAGACAGGAGAGGTCTGCTGCGCCATGTGGGTAGCTCCCTGGCAAAGCTGGGGATCGAACTTGTGCTGCAGTGGCTGGTGATAGCTTGATAGGGCTGTTTAACCCCTGCATGGGTGGCCAACTTTTAATCTTTTCCATTGGTAGCCTAGATCAGTGGGATCTGGGGTTCCTCCGGCTCCATGAACCCCCTCCTTGTAACCCCCCCCCCCACACACACACAGTTGGTAGCGTCTGGAGGCATTTTTAGCTGGAAGCTGTGCTACTGGCATCTGGTAGGCACAGACCAGGGATGCTGCTAAACATCTTAGAATGCACAGGATCTCACCCTCATCCCCCGCCCAAAGGATCATCCAGCCTGGGATATGGCGGTTGAGAAGGCAGGCTCCTGCACCCCAAGGGGTGGCCCACAGAATCATTATTCCTCCAGATTTGGACCCCGCCGGATCCGGGAGGAGTCTGTGATGATCCGGAGAGTCAACCCCAGCACCAGGGCCGTCCCTTTCCAGTCGCTCATGGTTGCAGACCTCGGCGATGTCAATGTCAATCTTTACAACCTCCAGGACAGCTGCCGCCGGATTCGAGAGGCCTATGAGAAAATCATAGCAGCTGGCTGTATTCCTCTGACCTTGGGTAATGCGCCTCAAGGGCAAGCGTGGCCCTGGGCTGGGGGTTATGTATGATGGACTGCTGCTTCTCAGGCGAGCCGCTGTGAACATGGGGACAGGAGGAAACACCACATTTCTCATGCGTGTGTTTTAACTGCTGGGGAGGGAGATACACATTTTTGGACTAGCAGGACCACAGGGATGGACTCGGGTGAGGCTAGTGAGGCATTTGCCTCAGGGCAACATTTAAGGGGCACTGAAAAAATCAAGGGTAAGTATGGCTCCCAGATTGCCTGGAACAGCAGTTATTGACCCATCTCTCTTTATAATGTATCTTCATTTTTTGGTGTTACTTTTGATTTTTCGAAACATCACATTCAAATAGCACTCATCTTGTTTACTGAGCTTTTGGTGTTCCTTAAATTTTGCATCCTGGCAAGTGCCTGTACTCACTTTACCTTTGAGCTCTTGATCCGGACCTGGAAGAGCTGCTACCGGGCACTCGGTTATGACTTTTTAACGATTTCAAGGGCCTTGCTTTAGGGACTTTGAGAGATCAGCAAAGGGGCATTTTTTTCTTCCTTGTTGGGGTCTGTATCAACCCGGAGGGCAGCTTTTCCCTGCCCTTCTCCACTTTGTCCCTCGCCCTCATTGTCACATTTCTTTCTCTTCTGGTTCACACATAGTTAAAATGACATGGATCTTTCTCTAAATATCCAGTTTTGTTTTTGCCAAGCTAGAGAGCCTAATCTACAGAGTACAGAGGTGAGGAGTGTGGTTTCTGGATGGCAAGATTTGAAATTTCAGCTCCCTTGTGCATTGGCTTCATTTCCTCCTATGTAAAACAGGAATGACACCGCCCCTGCCTGAACTGCCACTTTTGTGGGAGGGCCTAGAGTGAAATTGTCCCTAGAGTGCCCAGCATGGTGCCTGGAGGGTTTTATTATTTTTTTTTATGCACACAATAACTGGTGTAGGCCAGAGTTGAGGGGTTTGAGAGGATTCACCGGAGAGTGGGGAGCAAAACAGGCAGATCTACTGAAATACACTGCTGAGGGGAGCAACAGGCAAGACAGGAGAGGTCTGTTGCGCCATGTGGGTCACCTCCCTAGCCTGGATGGAACTCAGGCTGCAGCCTATAGCTTGATAGGGCTGAGACTTTAACCCCTGCACCACCAGAGAGGCCTGTATTTTATTTCTTTATTCATTTTTGTGCCTGGCATCTTTTAAGCATCAGTGTTAGCTGTTGTTAATTTAATTTAATTTAATTTAATTTTTTATTTTATTTTTTTTAAAGGGGCATGTATTTTTATTTATTTATTTGTTTGTTTGTTTGTTTGTACATGCACTGGGTACAGTCAGAAGCGCGGGAGGGTGAGAGAATTCACCAGAGCCAGAGCAGGGAGCAGAGCAGGCAGAAGGACCGAAGTACACTGCTGAGGGGAGCAGCTGGCGACAGGAGGGGTCTGCATGCCATGTGGGACCCTCCTCTGGTGGCCGGGAGCAGCTGGGGATCGAACAGGCGCCACAGAGGCCGCGGGCAGCTTCGCAACCCAGCGCTCAACCGCTGCGCCACCGGGGAGGCCCCTGTTGTTAATTTTAATTACTATCAATAGTAAAACCTGGAAAGGCCTGTGCTGCCCACTAGGGTAGCCATTAGCCCCATGTGACCATTTTAATTAAAATTATTTAAATTACTAATTTAATTATTAATTTAAGCAATAATTAAAATTCAGTTTCTGACTTGCTTGAGCCTCATTTCAGTAGCCACATGTGACTCATGGCCACTAAAGTAGCCAGTGGAAAAACAGAACTGCAACTTTCACTGCAGAAAGTTTTATTGGACAAAGCTGTTCTGGGTATTTTATCTGCAAGCCTTAATTTATTTAATTGCCTTTTTACAATGCCAATGTAATCTCAAACATCCAGAGACCATTTTCTCACTACTGAACTAGATCTTATTTTAGCTGGGGTTACAGTTCTTCGATTTAACTGGCAGAGTGCCAGAACTTGGCAAACTGAAGATTGTTTCACGTAATGCATGGTCCCCTAATCTTATCTACATCCCAGATATTTCTTCATTGTCCTTGCAGGTGGAGACCACACAATCACATATCCCATATTGCAAGCAGTGGCAAAAAAGTAAGTCCCAAATGTTTGGGCCCAGTGAGGTTTCAAAAGTCAGGAGCCAGGGAACGAGTTAGTTGTGGATGGCATCAGTGATCTCTGCTGGCTCAGGTCATGGGGGTGGGGGGTGATAGGAAATTCCCCACTGAGTTGCTTCCTTGCATCAAAATTAACGCTGAGCTCTGGGTGTCTCTGTCAGTCATCACTGGAAGCCAAGACAATTTATTATTAACACCCTGGCCACTTCCTTTGCCCTAGAGCTGCTCTGGGATGCACACTCAGCATTTTCAACTTGCCTGGGGTTTTGGAAGATGAGCCCCTAGCGGGATAGTTAACCTCAGTTTCTGTTTTGCTTGAAAGACCAAATACAAATACTGACTGGTACAGTGAAGTGTCACTGAGGAAAGGCCCAATTTTTTCCTGGAGAATGAGGTGATGGATCTCCCAGTAGTGGGGTCTGCCAGAAATGGACTAACTTTGGTTCATTAGTTTGAGAAAGGGCAGGGCCCAGGCTGGGGTGGCTCCAGAATTCAGATACGGGAAGGGTGTGCAAGCCACAATCTCCGTGGGGCCGGGTGTGTATAGTCTTTGGGCTTGGATTGTGTTTATTCGGGGTGGTTGGAAGGGTTGGTGGGGAGGCTGGAGAGACGGTGGCATGGAGGCTGCTTCTTGGCAGCGGTGTTTAGTTAGTGCATCCTCAGCCCAGCTCACCTGGGCGGCTGTGCTTCCTTCTCGAGCTCCCAGCCCTCTCCACCTCTCAGAGAAGGGAATTCTGGGTGATGGGGAGCAGGTGGTAGTTAAAGCTCATGTCAGCTTATTGTTCTGAGCTGCTAAGTAATTTGAAGGCTTTGGTGTTGGCGGCCTGGAGGGCATGCTGGGGCCTCAGAGGCGTGGCCTCTCAGTGGCCCTGTTGTCTGTTGCCAGGCATGGCCCCGTGGGGCTGGTGCATGTGGACGCGCACATGGACACGGCCGACAAGGCCCTGGGAGAGAAGCTCTACCATGGGACGCCCTTCCGCCGCTGTGTGGACGAGGGGCTCCTGGACTGCAAGCGTGTGGTGCAGATCGGCATCCGGGGCTCTTCTGTGACCCTGGATACCTACAGATACAGCCGGAGCCAGGTGACAGCTCGCACCCTCCCTCTGCCCCTCCCAGGCGCCTCCCTCTCCGTTGCCCACTCAGGGGCATGATGGATTTTCCTAATCCGGTTCAGAAAGGGGATGAAAGGCTAAATTTGCCTCAGGAAGGCCCCGTGGAGCAGAGAGGAGCGAGGATGTCAGTTGGGAGGCAGAGGAGGCCTCTTGTGTCACCGGTGGGGTCACAAGTCGAAACAGACGGAGCCCTCAGATGTGGCGGGACCTCCTCAGCATTCACCTTCTTAGTTCTCCACCTCAGCACTGGGTGCAATGGCTTGTGTCCCAATGGGACACCCAGCACTCTGCTTTCAGAGCATGCAAAGGCTAGTTTTTTGGAAAGAGCTGTTCAGGGGGTGCTGGCCTGGGCTGCCCTGAGTTTGTCACTCTTGCCTTAGCAAAGCTTCCCTCTGACTTGCTCCTGCCTCCTGGCCAGCCATTGTTCCTCCATCCCCCTGGGGACGTGGGGACAGTAGTAGCTTCCTCACAGAGACTGAGGGCCAGTATGCTGGGCACACATGGAGCTCGGCCTAGGGCTGGTGCCCACAGATGCCCCCAAATGCTTCCCCTTAACCTCTGTTCTTCTGCCCCCTCTCTCCAGGGGTTCCGGGTAGTCCTGGCTGAAGACTGCTGGATGAAGTCCCTGGTTCCTCTGATGGGGGAGGTCAGGCAGCAGTTGGGGGGCAAACCCATGTACATCAGCTTTGATATTGACGGCTTGGATCCTGCCTATGCCCCAGGGACAGGGACTCCCGAAATCGCTGGTCTCACCCCTAGTCAGGTAAGGCGGCTCCACCAGTGACAATTCCTGGGGATGAGGATTCTTAACTCCCCTCTTTCCTGGGATTCAAAGTGAGTCTTCAGGATATTAAAAGCAGAGCACCTGAGTGGTCTCAGGACCGACTGCGGGTTTGAAAACTCACTTGTTTTGACTGTAACTCCTTTTAAATCTGGGGTATAGTAATTCTTCGTTTGGTCTTTCTGCCTCTGGTCCACCTGTAGTTGGCTCCTCTTCAGAACAGTAAACTTCTCTTTTGGCGGTTACATTTAAAAAGTGTGCAGTGGGGTCAACAACCTACTGAGATCATTTAGGAGTTCTAGAAACACGCGGATAAAACTCCTGTAAGGTACATGCAGGGGAGACAGGGTTGGAGTGTGGTTTTAACTGGAAGGGAAGCTCAGGAGGTGGGGCCTTTGTGTTCACTGCTCTTGGAGCCTAGAACTGGGCCTGCCATACAAATAGACATTCAAATATATTGGTGAGTGAAGACTTAAACCTTGTAGGAGGATTACCTTATATCCTCTCAGAAAGTAAGGGCTCCCTCTTCAAAGCCAGTCTCAGTTCCCATCGGAGATTTCTAAAACAGTTATTATTCCTTGACTCATCATCCCTCTGGGTTTTTCTACCTGTAAATCCTTTCACACAAAATGGCTCTCCTCCTACTACCCCTCCCGACTTGCAGCCACATCTATTGATAGTTACTGGCTCTTCTCTATCCTGGTGCTTTGCTTGTGTTGCTTCTGCTGCCTGCATCTCCCTTGCCCTAGTCATCCGGCCTTTGAGCTGAGTGTTCCCACTTGGGCGAAGCCTTCGTGCATGCTCCAGGCTGCTATCTATACCCAGATTGGTGTATGCTTTTCTTGAAGTCCTTCACACTTGACCCAGAAATGACTGGCTTGCTTGTCTTGTCATCACACTATGGAGCCCTGAGGAGCAGGGACTGCACTCCGATTGTTGTCTCTGTGATGCCCGCCAGTGTGTGTGACTGTCGGGGAATGTTTATTGAGGCAAAGGAACAGTTTCCGAGCCAAAGGGTGGGTATGGGTGGGGACTCGTGGAGGCCTCCCCTGGTTTCCTTTCTTGTAAATGATTGTGACTTGATCTCGGACAGGCCCTGGAGATCATCCGGGGTTGTCAAGGCCTGAACGTGGTGGGCTGTGATCTTGTGGAAGTTTCCCCGCTATACGATCCTTCTGGTGAGTGAGCACATGGGGGCTGGTAGGCAGCCACAGCTTAAGTGGCTTTCATCCAGTTCACATGTATAAGGTAGATGGATGGGTCCTTTTGTACAACTCAGGAACCTGCCAAGAATGTCCTACAGTGAAGAAAATAAACCTGTTACTACTGCATGCCTTACAAACATGAGCTAATTAACCCTAACAAAACCCCAGGGAGGCGGCTAAGTATTATTAGCTTGCCTACCAGTCAGCAGAGAGAAACCAGCCTGCCATTCAGTGACACGGCGGGGCAGCTCCATCGCCTGTGACATTTCATTCAAAAGTGAGCTCTCAAAGTTAAGTAATATTTAATAGCATTAAAAAGGGAGGAGCAAGCAGATGTAGGAGAGGTATTGGAAGCAGATAACATCCTAGTCATTTTCATTTAGCAAGTTTACAGAGTTAGGCCTATTAGCCTCAGAGGGTAGATCGCAAACATAATACACACCATTAGGGCTTTTCCTTCGAGGGGAATCTGTTCTGAGCAAACAACCTTCAACTTTTAAAATACTCTTTCTAAATGATGCTTGACAGGAACAGACTGCCAGGGAAAGTGAGTCCCGGGGAGTGGGCCGCCCCCTCTAGAAGGCAGGACTCTGCGGGAGCCAGCACCCAGGGAGGTCGAGGGGTCCTGGGAGGCCGAGGACACCTGTGTGGTGCTGACGTGGGTTTTCCCTCTTTGCAGGCAACACGGCCCTCGTGGCGGCCAACCTGCTGTTTGAGATGCTGTGTGCTCTCCCCAAGGTGAAAACCGTCTGAGCTGGTGTCCTCCAGGATAAAACACCAGCTTGTGTCAAGGACAAGTTCTCTGGAAAGAAGTTATGAGCAAGCAGCTGAATCCTCAAGAGTTTATGCCAATAAAACTTTTGCTCCAAATGTCGTTGGTGGCTGATATCAGGGCATCCAGAGGAACGCTAATCCAAACAGCACGTACTTCTAAGGAGCAGGGATTAAAAAAAAAAAGCACCACTTGGGCTGTTTTGGCTTTTCCCCTCTGGTGAAAATGTTGGGGGATGGAAGGGAAAGGGATGGAGAATTTAGCTCAAGGTTATCCACACACTGGAGGAACGACCTTGTAAAAACCTATAACACTGTACAAACATTCCTTATTTCTGGGGCTCCTCCTCTGGACACTCAGGGCCGCGTCCTGATTTTAGGCCGTGGTGAACATAAACACAAAGCTTGGGACAGAATAACACACGGTTCCTAGTCAACTCCCCCCTCAAAAGCCCAGGGAGGTGCATGAATTGTTTTCTAAACCAGACACCAGGGACTCAGCAGACCCTCAGGGACGCCTCCTTAACCGCCTGCCCCCTCGCCTCCTCTTCCAGCTGATACAGCCTCCATGATGGCAGTTCCTGAAATCTGCAGTTAAGATGCACTGATCTTAAGCATGTGTTGAGTTACATGCAAATTCAATTCTGTAGCTGCGCCCGTGATCAAATCCTTGTCTTGAAACGCAAAAGCTACCCATAATCATCACACATTAAAATAGTTTATTTCTGTTTCCAGTCTGTAATAATCTTAAAATAACATCAGCTTCAGTGCCTGTTCACAATACAAAACAAAACAACATAAAAAAGACACCATTTGCCAAATAGGTTATTTGTTCTTAAGAGTATCAAAAGTGCAAAATATTCACCTTCTTTTCACATCAATCTTGAAAACACAATCCCCCTCCTTGACAAACTGAACAAAGAGATTCAGCAGCTGCTCTGCTGCCTCTGTTTTCAAGGGATGATGTCAGGTGTATGAGCCTGAGCAACATTTCATCTGTAAGGATGCTGTGCACCTGCTTTTAGAGAATTTTATTCAAAAAAAAAAAAAACAAACAAAAAAAAACAACCCAAAACGAATGTCCTTCCCAAAGCAAACCACTTAAAACACCTTCAGCTCATGATCTTTTATCTATCAGGAAAACATTTCAATATACTGAGTGAGGAGGAAATCAACCTCTTATTTAAAAACCATCACCAAGTTTTCTTGGTCATCAGGTGATGGTGGCGTGACCTGGCAGAGGCTGGGCGGTCTTGTCACTGACACGCTGCTGAGGTGGGGCAGCGACTTCAGCATTCACAGATTGTGCCAACACCTGGCCGTGAGAAATCTTTTTTACATGGGTGAGTCTCTTACAGAGAATCGTTTTAAGTTAGTCTTCGCTCCCCATCTGCTAAACATGATGCCTCGCCTGTACCGACCAGCAAAGTCCGCCTCTGCGAACAGGGACGCAGTCAGTTTCAGGGTATTCAAACACTAGGAAGTTAAAACCGAAATCAGGTCTGTGATTACATGCAGGACAGGTGGTGGCGACATTGGCTGAACGTGACAAGGGCTTATATGTTTGACACAAAAGTAAAAGATAAACGAATTCATGGGAACAACATTCAGGGGGAAAGGGCTGGGTGATCTTGATTTGATTTCAAACAAAATCTGATTTAAAATGAAAGCTCTCTAGTGTCCACTTGGGGACAGATCTACCAGCCCCCCAAATGATCTGCACAAGAACTTTAGGGCCAAAATGTTTACCAGGAATGCTTTCAATCTTACTATCATTTTCCTTTCTTAGTACATTGGGAGGTACACTGTCTGAAGGGACTTTTTATTTGAACGATACATTTTTAAACAAATGAACAACTCTGGGGAGTTTTTGGTTTTCAGAAATTAGTGTTGGGAATTCCATTTGTACCAGAAATTAAAAATAAAACCTACCACTGAACCAAAAACACTATCATAAAAGCAACCTGGCCATGACAGGTCCAGAAAACAGTTGTGAGGACTGGTACCTCAAGGAGTCAGTGGGAATCCTTGATCACTTCTAACTGGGCCGGGCATGAAGCATGGCCATGAAGCATGGCAATCAGAGAAGGCGTTCATTTTTAGAGGAGCCTGTGGAAAAATGAAGCCTGGCATGATTTCTTTATTTTTAAAATAAAACTACAAACTCTGTGAAATTCCTGGCCTCCAATAATTTATGATGTACTCTAGTTCACTATTTAAGTTATTCAGGATCCAAATGGCTTAGATTAAAGCAACCATGGTTAAAGAAATACTTAGTATACAAGTCCCATTTTGACGCTTCACTTGACACAAGGCGGGTCTGCTTTGATGTTTGCACAGACTCCTCCTAATGTCGCCCAAACTCCATGGGGCTGTTTTGCCCAAAAGAGAAAAGGGAAACTCTCTAACTGGCTGGTCTGATCCGGCCTGGAGTCCAGGTAGCTCAGCAAGCTGGGGTGCAGCTGACAGGTCTGACTCTGTCACTGGCGAAGCGGCTGTAAGTTAAGGGTGAAAACAATTCAGAGGAGACATCAAATAGAGGCCAGAAGCTCGAGCAAGCCTTTTGCAAAACAGGAGTCCAGAACAAGTCTTGGTTCACTTGTCACAAAGAGGACTTGAAGATATAGAACTTGGGGGTAATAGTGCTCAAAATACAATTGTTGAGACATTTTAAGTTCCTTGATACAGAGACACGTCTGGTGTTTTACTAACGTGACATGGAGTGAAGAGCTGCTCACGGCGGGTGGGAAGAGCGTGTCTTTAGTTGAACGTCTACTGGCTTAGAGCAGCTTATCTCTACGCTCAAAAAACAGGATTACAAATTATGGCTCCTAATATCCTTACCCTAAAGTTGACAGAAGCAGAAAGGCATCTGAAGACATACACAGAAATGGCTCAAAGTTGATACAGTACTTCTTGCCTGCCGAGCCCTTCCTGGCGCGGTTTCACGCTGGAGAGGCAGCCGAGGAGAGGCTCACCGAGGGGGTCCCTCGGTCACCCCAGCTCTCCCCCACTTCTCTAGGGAAGAAATCTCACGTGCAGAACGCCCACTCACCCTGATCCTTTTAAAACGGTGGCTGACCAACTGTCATGGGAGACTCCCAAGATAGACTCTGAGCTACCTGCTACCGGAAACACCTTCACACGTAAGATCACTTGGAACGAGGCCCTTTCCAAGATGCAGGGCCCGGAAGCTGCTGGGTGGTTCCGTGGGGACGGCATGCACGTGGCAGAAGCACTGCGGGACCAGGTGGGGGTGCAGGGGGACCAGCACTCCAGCCTGTAAGGGTCCATCCAGGTACTGCTACGAGACTGAGCCCTGTGCTGCTTCCCCAGCAGAGATGGGATGGGGGGTGTGAGCACGTGACAGGGGCAACCAAGGAGGAGGGAATGAGCAGCCTAGCTTAAATAGTGCGGCATTCAAATCAGGGCAGAAACAAAAGAACTCCAAAGGAAAATATTTTCATCTAGGGAATTCAATCTGTGGTGGTGTTCACTCCTAGGTTAGAACAGGACAAAGGAAGATTCTTCTAGCCATTGTTCTAGAAGAATGATCTAAAATCTATACTCTGTCTGCTGTGATAGTTTGAGTCCTGAAAATACCTGTTCACAGGGACCCGTTAAAAAGGCTGAAGAGTTCAAGTCTCTGTTGGAAACCCTCTCAGTCTAGTGCAGGCCACGATGGGATGTAAAACCTCTGTAGGGAGCCTTCCAACAGGCGCTCCATCCATAAGGACAGCCTGCTCAGTTTCCCTTTGATAGGCCTGGATCCGAGGCCACAGGAGGATTTCCCCCGAGATTCCCCCAGATGGAGGGAAGAGTCAAGCCCGCCGCACGACCCCATGGCTTCCTCCTCTTCCACTGTTTTTTGGGGCTTGAAGAGGCAGAAGTATTTCTTGTGGCCATTCAGAGCCAGCACATAGCCAGTGTAGTCTCGTTCCATGAAATGCTTATCATACTGGTTCGGGATGGGGGCGGCATCCTGCGCGAATTCCAGTAAGTATTCCAGCCATTCTCTGTGTTTGTCGAGACTCAGGAAGGAGAAGTGCAGGCAGCTGCTCCTGCGGGAAGAAGAAGGAGCGTCAGCACGTGTCCTGACGCATTTGCAGGAACATACATTTTTGTGTTGGGTGGGGCTGAATACAGAAGAAATGTGGGATTTCTGAGAGGACCGGAGGGTGCCCACAAGGCCTGCACCACTCATCCATTTTCCCATCTCCTGCTGGGGGCCACTTGTTGCTCTGGTTTCAGGAAAATGCCCAAAGCTAGAGAAAAGTTGGTTTCCTGAGGGCTGAGGAGAGAAGACAGAAGCAGTTCTGCTCACAGTCAACAGGACATGAAGCCAAGGGGGAAAGGGCCTCCCCATGATGGCTTAGATTTTTGGGTGAAGGTCAACATCTCCTGCAGACAAATTCCCTTCTAGTCAGAGAGGATAGAATGTACTTTGCCTCTGGTCCCTCTCTACCTGAATGTTTGTGCTCTCTCTCTCACACACACACCTCTCCCGCCAAGCCCAGAAGCCTACCCAGTGAATGTGTAGACCTCCAGAGCAAATTTCTGTAAGAGGCTGGTCTTGGTGGAGTTCGACAGGATGAGGACCACGTTCATGTGGCCTGGCCTCAGGCGCACCAAGTTACTGGTATATGTGACATCTGTGAGTTCAGTCACCTCGACGAAGCCTTTTTTAGGAATCTTGCTATGGAGAAATATTGAGGAATTAAGATGTTACTTTTAAAAGGAATAAGCAGAAGAAAATGCTTTGTTCTAACCAGACTAGCCACATCACTTAATATCCTTGGGCCTGACCCGCTGCCAGGAGGGGGCTGAGCTGGCAAGCCCAGCCTGCGAAGTACTTCCAGACGCTACTGTCCGGTTGGGACAGAGGCAGCTTTAGGACAGGATGAAGGTCATCGACACAGTGCTGGTGATGACCGTTCTCTGCTTCTGCTCATCGAGCATCTCTCTAACACACTCAGATGCCAGCCTGAGTCACCAACACCACTGAGCAGAGAGAAGCAGAGGCTGTGCTTAGGCGCTGGGGGTTCACTATGCTACTCAGCAGCGACTTCCCTACAGCTATGTCTCCCATAGGAGGGCGAACCAGTGTTCTTGCACATATGTGGAGTCAAATGCTGCTTTACAGGCCTGTGGGCCTGCTGCTGAGTGGGTGGGGGCTGTCAGGAGAACCTGCTGCTGTCTTTGGTGAAGCTTGGCTCAGTCTTCCCGGCCTTCTCGTGGGCTTCTTCTTTATCTGGAGGGTTTGACTCTCGCTCATCATTTGAGTCACTAAAATATGAGAAAAGGAGTTTTACAGGAAGAGAGTACAAAGCACCATGGAGTTTCGCGGCTCATGCCTGAGGCACTGCCCAAGACACTCCGGAGGCGCCTACCTGAACGCCTGCACGATGACGGTGCCGAAGAGGATGAAGAGCGCAGAGAAGACCAGGGACAGCAGAGGCATCATTTCCCTCCTGAAATGAAGTGAACCAACTCTGGTCAGCTCTAAACAGGCTGCTGTGACGTGTCAATTGGTGATTTTAGTATTTTTTTTCTTTCCAGCTCAAACTAAGAAAAGGTCAAAACAGAAAGTTTTCATACCAATGAACACTTTCTAATTTCATATAAATAGGCTTTTTGGGGATGGCGGTAGGGAAAACAGATTTTTCCCTTGCTGTTTTAATTCACAGATGGCTTTAAAAAAATTATTTAGTTTTGCATAGAAGAACTGGGGTACAGGCCAGACGTGTTGGGGGAGGGTGAGAGGATTCACTAAAGACAAAGTGGGGAGCAGAACAGGTGGATCTACTGAAATACACTGCTGAGGGGAGCAGTGGGCGAGACAGGAGAGGTCTGCTGCGCCAGTGGGTCAGCTCCCTGGCTGGGGATTGAACTCAGGCCATAGCAGTGACAGCACTGAGACTTAACCTAACCTAGGCCACCAGGGAGGCCCTACAGATGGCTTATTCTGAACACTTGCTTTTGTGTCTCAGTGGACGAGGCTGTGCTTAGAGAGTCTGTGGAAGGAAGCAGGAAAAGTGGGGCAGAAGCTTAAGTGGTGAGCACGAGAGCATACTGATGCCCAGGCTACTGATGGTGACTAAAGAGTCTGTGCAATGGTTTCTTTGATTTTTTTTTTCCCGGGTCAGAATAAATCAGATGTGGCCCAGAGGGGTAGAGTAGGGAGAAAAAGTTGATTTCCAAGATTTCCTCTAGAATTGGTGTTCTAAAATTTTATTCACCCAAAATACCATCTAAGGCCTGCCATTTTCCGGCCTGCCATTTTCCGGAAGTTGTGCTGGGTGCTGGGAACTACACAGGGAATGAGATGGGATCTGTCCTGTGGAAGCTCAGTGATGGAGGGTGCTGTGCTCTCCCTCCCTGATGAATTCACTGACTCGTCTGTTGTCTATACACTGGGCCTGTGAGGGGCAGGTCCCGTGCTGGGCACCAGAGAAGGGAGCCCTGATGAGGAGAACAGCCGCAGGCGCTACTGTCTAGAAGGGCAGCCAGGGGCAATTCTTTATCCCCAACCAGCGGGGAAGGGTCCATCAGCAAATAAAAAAAAGTGAAGTTATTGAAAGAAAGAAGAGGAAGAGTGGTAGGAAGCATGTAAACATTCTTCCACCTGCCTATGCTGAGGACATCCTGAAATCAAAAGGATGGGTTTTTTCCAAAGAAAAACAAGACATTCAGTCTGGGACGTACCAGTTGTTGTGAAACACGCTATCCCAGCAGTCTGAGATGTAGCCAGAAGCTGAGTAGAGCCAGCGGAGGAGAAAAATCTATGAGAGAAAGCAGATGATGATTGAACCCCTGAGCCACAGAAAGAAGTTCCCTGAACCCGCCCTGTGCACTGTGGAAACTCTGCTTGGGCTGGGGGCTCACAAGCCCTGCCCGGTGTCCCCGCCCCAGGCCACGAGCTTACAGGGGCGAGTTCATCGGTTAAGTCGGGGAGCACAGCCTCTGAGGACAGAAGCGCTGGGTCTTTCCGCAGCTGGTTGAGATAACCCAAAAGGATGAATTTATCGCTCTCACTCCCCGTCCAGGGGTCCTCCAGGGTTTTATAGACCACCCTTCCTGCAGTGTTGCGCCGTTCTAAGATAGACACCTGGGAGGAAAAGAGAGAAATCGTTACTAGTCTCAAAAGAATGGTTAAGTTACCATAGTTTTTTTTTTTTTTTTCCCCAGAGCAGATGGAAAATAGGGCTGAGTGAAGTCAGCAGCAAGCCGTGACGCAAATATGGATGAATATTGAATACCTCCAAGAGATTTCAATTTTTCTGACAAAAGGAATTACTTTGGTGGTGACTTTCCAAAGCTTCTGTTGGCAGTTGACTCTTCTCATTAGGCTTTGCACTATAACCTCTAACAAAATTTGGTAGAGGAAACCTCTGTTGTTTAGATAGCATTTCCATGATTACCAATAACGACAGAGACAGGATTTTCAGGTTTCCTGGACAGGGATGACCAAGGAAGGGAAAATCTATTAGGAGGAAGTGAAAGGGGCAGAAATAAAGGAAGGAGAAATTATGAAGTCAGAGGACTGGCAGCCCTGGGAGATTTCACATCCTGGTACTGCAAGACTGGACCTGCCATGGGCAGCAACTGGGGAGAAGGATGAGCCTTAATCTCTAATGACGGCTGCTTTCTGCGAAGGTCCATGGCTGTACGGATGTGAGATCACCAGGGAGAGACTATTTTAAGAGGAGGTTTACAAATCAGGATTTAGAGATTTCTCGGATTCTGCATTCAAGACTCCCGAGGAAGGAGGAAACAGTGACCAGCACCACGTGTTTACAGAGCACAGAGAGCCTGGGGTCAGCAGAGAATCCAACTCACCACTGCCTTTCCCTGCAGGCCGTCACCATCAGGAAGAAAGGTGCTGGCAAAGTCCGGCTGCCGATTGCTATAGACATGCACGAACCTAACCGTGTCCTGGGTGTTTGCCAGGGCAAAGGACAGGAAGGCCTCAAAGGGTTTACTTGACTTGGCAGCCTCGGCCGTGATTAAAACCACACAGTACCTGCACAACGACAAAGGAGAAGACCTTACAGCCAGCCCGGAGGCCAAGGTGGGACGTGCAACAGCAGTGATGCTGAAGAAACCAAGGAGCTCATCTTTGACGGGTGAGTATGCCTGGCTCCAGTGAGTACGCCTGGCTAGTGAGAGCCAGAGGCCGGAAGTCTCCAGTGAGAGGTTTCTAAGACATTCATGACCTGCTTCTTTTCTAGACTGGCAATGTTTTCCCCAAACCAAAGGGTTCCAGTGGAGAGTTTAGCTAACCAGTCTTTCTCCTAAACAGTTACTGAGCACTCACTAAATCCAAGGTCAGCTAGACAATGTTCTCGCTCATGTGGAACTTACATTTCAGTGGGGAAAACAGATAACAGTCTTATCAGTGACGGGCAGGGACAAGTGTTATGGGAAAAGAGAAACAAAGAGAGAGAGACTGGGCCAGGGGTGGGAGCCCTGGGCAATTAAATGTCACAGGGCAGACGTTTAGTTGTCCTGCAGGGAAAGGTGACTTGGCCCCTCTACTGCAATGACAAGCAGAGGCAAAACCCCGGGTCCTTACTTCCTCTGTCGGTGAGACCGTTTCACGGGGCAGAGTTCATGGAACAGCTTCTGGCTGGTGAGCCTGGCTGCCAGTAGGTACTTGTTCTGGGTGATGAAGTCATCAATGGCTTGCTTCTTCATACCTCGGGCCTGCAGAAAAAACAAGAAACAGTTGATTTTTATTCTGTTCTCTCACGGCAAGTGGGTTTAAATTACAAGCTTAATAAAAATGGCAGGCTACTGTAATATGACCCCGGCTAAAGTCATATAACCAAGTAAGTCAGAGCTGTTTGAGCAAATAAACGTGTGGCGACCCGTTTCAGCAATGTAGGGCTGAAAGCGATGATGAAGTTATTTCAGGTCAAAAGAAAAATCTTTGTTGGAGAACTTCTGTATACTGCTTTGATGCCAGCAGTTAAAAAGTCAATCGTTTTGAATTTTAGGCAAATTAACTTCCATCTATGATGTATAGCAAAGCAAACAATTTATAGCCAACCAGAATAACAATGCTACTAAGTGGAAGAGACAGACTACACAGCTGTATGGCGCTATTGTTAACATTCACACATTTCAGAGGATGGAAATTCTTTACAGTTTAGTCTAGAAACCGATATTAGATATAAACATGTTTAGAAATTAAGAAACACTCTGAGTAACTCTGATCTAAGCAGAAAGGGTATAATATATTGGAAAATATTTTGAATTTGAATGGCTAGTGAAAATATAACTTTAAAAATTTTGTGATGCAGAGGCCTCCCTGGTGGCGCAGGTGGTTGAGCGCAGCACTGTGAAGCTGTCTGCAGGCTCTACAGTGCCAGTTCGATCCCCGCCGGCCTTGGAGCAACCCACATGGTGAGCAGACCTCGCCTGTCTCGCCCACTGCTCCCCTCAGCAGTATATTTCATCAGCCTGCCTGTTCTGTTCCCTGCTCAGTCTCTGGTGAATCCTCTCACCCTCCCGCACATCTGGCCTTTACTCCGGCTCTTTCCTAAAAAAAAATTTTTTTGTGATACAGATAAAATCGTACTTGCAGGGTAATGTTAAAGTGAATATGATAGAAAAGAAATTAATGAACTAGGCACCCATATTGAGAAGCTAAAAAGAAACAGCCAACACACCAAAGTGGAAAGGAGAAAATAAAGATAAAAATAGGAAGCAATGAAACAAACGAATATATAATGAGAATAACAAAGGCAAAACTGGGTCTTTGGAAGAGCTAATAAAAAATCAACAAACCCCTGGGAAAGTAAACTCTGGAAACAAGAGTAGGCACAAGTCACCACAGTCAAGGATGACAAGGAGGAATCACCGCCTATGTTGAGGAAGTCTAAAAAGTTATTCAAATTTGAAAATTTCCTAAAAAAAAAATAGAGCAATATCAAAAGCCAAACCAAAAACAACAAACCAACCAGCCCCAGAAAGCTTAGAGTCCTATAACCATTAAAGAAGGCGAATCGGTAGGCAAGTCTTTCCTTAAACACAAACTCAATAGATGGTGGTGTAGATGGTCTCGGTGAAACTCTCCAGAACACCCCAATGTTATATCAAGTCTTCCTGAGGGAGAATGGGAAGGAAGGGGGGAGAGAGATGGAGAGGGACAGAGAAAGAGAGAGAACCTCCAATTCACTTCAGGATGTAAAGCCCATGAGGGTGTCAGGAGAGAGAGAAGTTGGAAATCAATCTTATTTCTGAATTCAAATAAAAAACATCTTAAAATGTTAGCAAACAGAATCCAGCAAAACACTGAAGGCATAATACACATCTTGATCCTGCTGGGCTTTTCTCAAGAATATCAGTTCAAATGAAATATGATTTAATAAGATTTAATATTATAGAAGATTAAAGAAAAAAACTCAGGATGACCCTAGTGGGTGTAGAAAAACCAATCGATAAAGATTAATACCATTGGCAGTTAAAACTCTTAGCAATGACTCGAAGGGAGCCTTCTTTATCAAACATTGTGCTTGTCGGGGTGATGGAAATTAAGAACAAAGGTGCCCCATCACTACACCAGAGGTCAGCACTATGGTACGAAAAAGAAAGCAGGGGCTGGTGAAAGAAGCAAAATTGTCATGAATCTCAGATGTTGTGACTGCAGACTCAGCAAAGCCAAACGATGGTACAGGTAAGTTACCTGAATCAGTAAGCGTTCAGCAAGGTTGCTGGAATCAGTCAATACTTAAAAATCAGCTATGTTACTTAATATCGGCAAACAAAAACAGTGAAAAAGATAACCTTGTCAACAGTATAAAAGAATCTGGGGTAGCTAGAAATAAGCTAGGAAAAAAAGATCTTTATGGAGAAAATGATAAGTCCATATGGAAACATATGACAGGAGACCCGAACAAATGACAGATGAAACTGACAGGCGATGTTGGCTCACAGTGAAGGCTCAATTTTGTCAGGATGTCTATTCGCCCAAAACTGACTTCAACAAAGCAATACAGGGCCTCCCTGGTGACTCAAGGGGTTAAGACACAGCACTATGAAGCTATCGACAGCCACTGTAGCAAGAGTTCGCTTCCCAGCCAGGGAGCTACCCAGATCTGGCACTGCAGACCTCTCTTGACTTGCCCGCTGCTCCCCTCAGCAGTGTATTTAAGTAGAGCTGCCTGTTCTGCTCCCCACTCTCTCTCTGGTAAATCCTCTCAACCCTTGCACCTCTGGCCTACACCCCAGTTCTTGTATGCAGAAATAAATATAAATAAATAGACGCCAAATACAGGACTATATTCATAGCATAATTAGACAGATAATTCCAAACTGGAAACCCCAAAGGTGTGTCCATAAGTAGAGTGAGTGGACAGATTATATTCATACCAACTTCTGCAGTACGACATGCATTGACCTCATAAATATATGTCAACAGCCAGATGCAAGAGATAAATACAACCTGATTCCACTTATATAACATTCAAACACAGGCAAAATTAATCTATGGTGCTAGAAAGATGGACAGAGCAGATGTTTGGGAAGGAAAAGTGGTTGGGAGGGAGGCAGAGGGGAACTTTGGTTGATGATATTTTACTTCTTTACCCAGGCGAGGTAGAGGGATGTATTCCTTTTTTTTTTTTAAAGATTTATGTATTTATTTATACAAGCACTGGGTTCAGTCAGAAGCGCGGGAGGGTGAGAGAATTCATCAGAGCCAGAGCGGGGAGCAGAGCAGGCAGACTGACAAAGTACACTGCTGAGGGGAGCAGCGAGCGGCAGGAGAGGTCTGCGCACCATGTGGGACCCTCACCTGGCAGCTGGGGATTGAACCGGTGCTGCAGTGGCTGCAGGCAGCTTTGCAACCCAGCGCTCAACTGCTGCGCCACTGGGGAGGCCCCGGGACGTATTCTTTTTGTGGAAATTCACTGAGCTCCACACTTGGGATGCAGGTTTGTACAGCTTTCCATACGTGTATCAGACTTCAACAAATAATTTTAAAAAGGGGGTACCAGAGAAAAAATGAAAAGACAAGGTACAGAATGGGGGAAGATATTTGCCCCAGATCCAAACAATAAAAGATAAGGGGGAAACTGCTGCCCCGGAACCTAAATGTAAAACACTGGCTTGCCGAAGGTGCAAAGCTCCAGCTTTGTTGGAAAACGTGTCCTCCAAGGCAGAGGTGCCAGCTTGCATTTCTGCCAGTCCTTTGAAAAGGCTCACTGCTCTGCATCCTTGCCCACTGGCCTCTTCTGAGCTGGCCCTACTGCCCTCTTCTGAGCTGGATACCTGAAGCTGAGCGTCTACTCATGGGTGTGTGGGCCTTAGGACGCCCCCTTCTGTGACAAGCCTGTCAGGTCATGTTTCTGCTGGATTGTTTGCCTTTTCTGTTAAAGATTTGTAGGAGTTATTTATATGCTCTAGCCCATTTTTCTTGAGGTGAAATGAACCATTTAAAGTAGCACCTTCACCATGCTGTATACTCAACACCTCTACCTAGTTCCAAAACATTTTCGTCACTCCAAAAGAAAACCCTGTACCCATGAAGTAGTCATTTTCTAAAAGTTTTGGGGTGATTTCCTTGATTAGAAGAAGCTCGTGAGAAGTTCAAGGTATTTCTTTTTTATATTGGCTGTTAACTTTAAAATTTAAAGAACTTAAATAAAGGCTTGAAGTTATCATTTAAAATTAAAAATTTAGGGCCTTCCTGGTGGCGCAAGGGGTTAAGACGCTACCTATGAAGCTGTCCGCAGCCTCTCCAGCACCAGTTTGAACCCCCAGCCGGCCAGGGAGCAACCCACATGGCACAGCACACCTCTCCTGACTCGCCTGCTGCTCCCCTCAGCAGTGTACTTTGGTCAATCTGCCTGCTTTGTTCCCCATTCTGTCTCTGGTGAATCCTCTCACCCCCAAGTACCTCTGGCCTGTACCCCAGCTCTTGTATGCATAAATAAATAAATCTTTAAAAAAATTAAATTAAAAATTTAAAATTGATAACATTTTCCAGCAAGATTTTCCACAATGCCCTTCTCCATCCTAAGGTCAAAATAAATATTCACTGACACATTCCCCAACTTAGATTATGGTTGCTTTCTTAGTCCTGAATTTTTATTACTGGAGTTTTATAATTCAAATTTCTCTTTGTAATTTATTTTATAAAGAGATTATTGACTTTCTAACAGGAGTACTTTAGAGATTATTTATTACTGTGGTAAAATATGCAGCATGAAATTTACCATTTAACCATCCTTAAGTGTATAATCTTCTGACCCAAAGTACACTCATACTGTTCAGCCAGCATCACCGCCAGTCACTCCAGAACCTTCATCTTCCCAAACACTAACTCCCAGTTTCCTGCTGCCCCACCCCCAAGACAACCATTCTGCTTTCTGTCAAAAGAGAATTTCTTTAGCAAAACAGTGTCAAGTTTGATAAAAAACAAACTTGTTTTCATACTTTGTGCTTCTCAAGGAAAAACCCTCAAACTAGTTTCTCCTTCCCCTCACTTGCGTTGCTCAGTTTTGCTGTGTGTTTATTCTGGAGGCTGCAGGCACAATGGGGGAGCAAGGGGACTCGCATACATGGAGACCCAAGGGGACTCGCATACCTGGAGACCCAAGGGGACTCGCATACCTGGAGACCATCGGCGGGCTTGTCTGCGTGCTCTTTGAAGATCAGCAGGGTGGGGGTGTAGACGTTGACGTTGTACTGCCGCGTCATCTCTTCCGCCCCTCTCAAGCCCACGCACACATATCCAAACGACAAATAGTCTTTGTATGCAAAAGCGGTCAACTGTCAGGGCATCGCAAAAGGAGGAAATTACATGCAGGCACAGCATCTGAGTTATAAACCAAGCATGACCTGTTCATATCAGCAGGTGGAGATGTTGCCTGCTGTATACCTGACATCTGCACCTTGGACACTGGCAGGAATTCTTGGGTGCTCCATGCATGGAAATGATGCCAAGAAAGCCAAACACAACTAATCCTTTTATTCACGGACAGAAAATATTTGTGTTACTGAGCTCTGTGCTGGGTGGGAGGTAGGTGTGTTTGAGAAATGACTGGTCCTTCAATTATGTAGGAATGCAGTGACTGTGCCTGGGGCTGGGCAGGACACACTGTCCCCATCTCAGGTCACTGTGACAACCTGGTGTGCTAGAAGGGCATCTAGGGTCACACAGTATCCTGCAGGGGGTGAGTAGTTGGGTCAAAGCGGCTTCCAGAGGATTGTTATTTATCACGCTATGGAGAGACCTTGGGTAAGTCGGTCATCACCTCTGAGCTTTAGTGTCTGGGTCAAAAAATAGCTGTATCGTTGGCTTCTCTCGACACCACGTGGTATTGTGTGTGTGGAACATGCTAGCATAGCAATGACATCAATAGGTGCTCAGCATGGTGGTTAAAACAGATTTTTGACTTTGAAACATTTCTTATGGGAGAATAAGCTGTTACTTACGGAAAAGACAATCAGGCTACCAGTTCTTCCCACCAAATTAAGAGAAAACAATACCCCGGCATATGAAGTACCTTGTACAACAGTGGGACAACGGGCATTTGGTCAAACAGAAGGACGTGTGGTTTATTCTCCTGCTGCCAGCCAGAGAGGAATCGGACATAATTTTTACTTGTAACCTTAAATGGAAAAGAGGATGTTGGTGTCAGTATTTAATTTTTAATCATTCTGTTATAATCCTGCCTGAAGTTAGACAAAAATCACTTATGTGTAAGGTTGTTCTGTTAAAAAAAAAATGCAGACACCTATTGTTTTTGCCTTCATTTGAATAACACTAAAAGAACAGAGATTGACTTCGTATTTACATTTGTTCCAACTCTTACAGACTGAAATCACAGTCCTTCAAACGGAAACAATTACTGACCATAATATAAATAAACCGAATGTTCAAAGTTGGTTCTTGCTTAATTCTAGAGTGCACTCGTTCATCTACTAACCCACAGCTGACAATGCGACAAGTGCGCTTTTAAAATGGCCTAAAATACACAAAGGAACAAAATGGCTTACATAAAAGTGAGCTGGCCCACCCCATGCATGCATTACATAATTTCATTTATTGTCATCTGAATTTTGTTCTCCTGTTCATGCCTTAAAATATTCCTAAAAGAACAAATCACAAACATAAATAAATTAAATTTCTACCTAGAAGTTTTTGATAGTAGTTCCACAAAGTGTGTGTGGTGAATGATCCACGCAAAACCTCTACCTGTCCCTTTATTGCTGTGCTTACCTCCCTGGCTGCTCCCTACAGACCCTGCTCCTCAAAGGGCATGGCCCTCTCAGCTCCTCAAGTGAGATTCCAGGTAAGCTTCCGACCCACCCTCAACTGCCACTGGGGACCATGCCTTACACAGCAGGCTGCTGCATGTCTCCACACCTCTGCCTGCCTGGGACTCATTCCCCACCTGTCTCCCCACCTGGCAAACTCAGGACGGGTGTCATCTCCCAAATCCTTAAGGTGGGTTCACAAAATGTCAGATGGAAATAATCACCTGCCAGACTGGGAGCCCCTCGAAAAGTATACTCAACACATATCACGGTGCCCGATGCAGAAGATACTTTATCAAGGTCTGAGAACTGTCAGGACATCTTATCATTATTTCAGGAGCCTGTGCTGCTCTTTGGCAATTTCCTTTCAAGCTAAGGCCAACAACTACTTTGCGTGGACAATGATTCTGGTAGGTAGAAATGTGATGGAATGTCTGTATGTTTGCTCTCCCTGGTATTGTGAAAGGAACAAATAACTGAAAGCAAAGTAAGAATCCTGCTCTAGTTCCTCTGATCTCTAACCTGAGATGCTGGGGGAAAAACATCACATGCTTCTTAAATATAAAACTCATCAACTAGCATGAGCTCTTGGGGCCTGGCTTCTTAAGTTTGATCTTTGTGAATTTTCTTCATACTGTTGCATCACTGTATTTTTTGAATGTTCCAAAATACTATTTGACTTCATGGAACCTGATGTATTTTGTAGATATGCTCACTAAATATATAACCAAATGGAACAACTTGAATACTTTCCTACAGAAAATATTGTTAAATAAATAAATTCACGAGTGGGAAAGAAATCCTTCGCCCTGCATTGTGATGGAATTTTTGGTTCAGAACACAGTCCCTGTCATTTAGTCTCAGATCCCTGTGACAGTGTCAATCTGCACAGTAGTTACTAACAGAGTTGGTTTCTTTCCATCTCTCTACCTTATCTGTTTCCATTTTCAGCCTCCGACAGACATTTCAATGATCTAGTTTGAGAGACTAGTTAAATGCACATATATTTGTCCAACTCAAAATGCAACTCAGGTCTGAGGTGAGCACAGAGCGTGTTCGGGGCCGTCAGCAGGCCCAGGCACTGGGGAAGTTACTGCAGCCAGGCTCCCCTCCCCGGCACTTACTTTCTCCACCAAGTTTCCCGGAAGAAGACTCTCCACAAACTGCCGGAGGTTCTCACGGACAACTGCGTTATGGAAGAAGGAAATCTTGCCGTTTATGATTCCCAGGATGGAGGGGGTGCTGTGTGCTCCCAGGTGATGAGCCAGGCGTCTCTCATACCCAGCGTGCACCACGCCGATTCCTACGCCTGCAAAGCATGGAAGCCCTCTATGAAGCCTTTCTATGCCCCGCAGCTAAGGAAACGTGAGGTGACTTTTCACTGTGAAACTGAAATCAAATTCCAACCTAGTAGGGGTGAGAGCTTTCCTAACACACTGCCCAGCATTCTTTCATGGCTGGGATTCTAACTTGGTTCAGTTTTTCTGCAGAGCAATCTGGCAAGGTAACAAGAGCTACAAATCTTCATCTCTCTCAGCGGTTATTTCTAATATGGGGGGTATACCATGAGGAAATCCTCCAAGAGAAAGGACAGCAATCTGTTCTCAGTGACTCTTAGTCATAAAGAACAAAACCTGTAAGCAATCCAAAGGTTCAACAACTTGGCGGTGGTTGCAAAAAAACAGGTTTATTTGTTGACAGGCTAGAAAGGTCACAATCTTCTCAGCCCTTCACAGCAAGGCTCCCTTGTATAGAGATGATCTCATAGAGATGTTAGAAAATCGGCTCAGAGAAAGAAATTAAGCCAAAATCACTCAAAAGCCATATTTGATATAGTCACTATCAATGTTTTGTTAGGTTTATACCTTCCCTTTCACAAATATGTAGATGTGTGCGTGTATACACATATGTGCGTGTATACGTGTATACGTACGTGTATCCCTTTTTATAAATAAAAAGGGATAATCTGACACTTATTTCACTTAAGACTTGAATAACTCCTTGTTCTTTCATTCAATAAATATATTTGAAGGACTGGTTACTCTGCAAACACTAGAGAAGCAGAAAATATTAATAGTTGGCAAATACACTTTCTTCTAGATGTCTAACAGGCTTCTCAAGCTTTGTATTTCCAAAAAAATCTGTTCCGCCCAGGCCTCCATTTCCGTGGATGGCAGCTCCCTCCTTCCCATAGTTGGGCTGGAATCTTAAGTTGTCTCTCACCCCCCACATCCAATCTGTCAGCAAGTCTTGTTGATCCTGTTTTCAAAATATACCATGAATTCACTGTGTCGTCTCTCCCTGCTTTCCTGCGTTTCCCTCTTAGTCCTTCTCCCTGGGCTGCTGCAATAACCTGGTTATTGTGTCTCCATCTCTCACAGTCTGTGCTCAACATAGAGACCAGGCTCTTCCCTCTTGAACACACACATCTTCAGCCACTCCTCTGTCCAACCTGCAAAAACTCCCTGTTTCACGAATAAAACTCACAATCTTGACAAAGGCCGACAAGACCTTTGTGATGTGGTCACTGGCAGTTGCCTTTGCCCGGTGTGTGTCTCCAGACACCTGTAAGGAGTACAACGGCAAGTCCTGTGGGAGGAGGCCCACCCAGCTGCCACATCTGGAGCATTGTTCCCCACATTCAGGATCCCCCTCACTTGCTCACTCTCCCTTGCACACAGCATTTACCACCTTCCAGCTCCTCATATGCTCTCCTTCCTCAGCCCTCCCAGTACTGTCTGTTTTTTCCTGCTAGATGTGAGCTTCAGGAAGCCTGATATGTCCTGAGCACCAGATCAGAGCCTGGCCCGTAGCTGGAGCACCCCAAGGCTGGGCCATCGACCTGCAAAGCTGCACACTGGGTGATCCCTGCCTCTCACCAGTGTAAGGACTATCTGATGGGCATCCTTGTGCCAAATTTTTCCATACACACTTGTGGGATCATCTCCTGATTGATGAATTCTAAGTAAGGAACTGCTGAGTAAATGGCAGGGATCATAAACTTGATATTAAAATTAAAAATTGCTGAGTAGACTAAACAAATCTACTGACTGCTACCTTTGGAATTTCTAAAGGGCAGGAAAAGGGGAGCCTTAGACATCACAGTCCAGATTGCAGAGCTGATAACATCACAGAACAAGACTCCAGACTGGATGTTCTGGAGCTAAGTCTCCTTTTTTGAGGCTCTGAAAATCTTCTTTCTATATGGCACTAAGCACCTCCGTGTCGCGCCTCCGTCTAGAGGCACACATACTATTTGCTATCCTGATCTAATCCTCACTGTACATTTTTTTAAAAGATTTATTTATTTATATATACAAGCACTGGGTACTGTCAGAAGCGCGGGAGGGTGTGAGAATTCACCAGAGCCAGAGCGGGGAACAGAACAGGCAGACTGATGAAATACACTGCTAGGGGAGCAGCGGGCAGCAGGAGAGGTCTGTGCACCATGCAGGACCCTCGCCGGTGGCCGGGGATCGAACCAATGCTGCAGAGGCTGCGGGCAGCTTCGCAGCTCAGCGCTCAACTGCTGCACCACCAGGGGAGGCCCCTTACTGTATATATTTTTTGCCAATTCTTTCTGCCCCCCTCCGTAGCATACACATATTCATTCCTTCCACTCCTATGCATGCCTTAAGGGACGGAACTGAGTCAACTGGAAGAAAACATCGCTGTCAAATCTGCCTTAACACAAGCCTGTCAGGAAGTAAACTATCAAAATCGAGGATATGGGGCTAAAGCAGAAGGAAAAATTTCCCCCACCAATATCCAGGCAAACCCTTACCCTGAACAGTAGAAAATGGTGCCATCCTCAGCAGTTCCCTGAAGGAGAGGAATTACTCCTCCTTTTTCAGAAAGAAGTCGTGATGAACTATCACAGCGTCATCATCCAAACTGGGTGTCCCTAATAAGAGGCTCAATTTCAAGACCCTTAACCCCCCTGGATGCTGGTGGTCAGTGCTGGCACCTCCTTCCGGCACTGAGGGCCCTGTGTGAGTTTCCATGGACCAGGTTTTACTTATTTCTGAAGCAGTAGTAAAAGCAGTAGTAAAGCAGTAGTAAAACAGAGTGAACACTGGAGGTCGACTTCTGAATCTGCACCCCAACACTGCTGTTTCTGCACAGTGTGACCCCGCTAGCTCCTTCATGTTCTGGGCCTCACTTTTCTCATCTGTGAAACAGGGATAACAACAGTCTCCTGCACTGGGTTGCTTTGGGGGATAGATGATCCACATCAAGCACTCAGCACAATATAATCAACGGAGATGCTTAAATAAAAAATATTCTAAGACATACATTAGTGTCTGAAAAAGCTCATCCAGAAAAAAGCTTTATATGAGAACATGGAATGAATTCCTTGTCATCTTCTCTTGTTGCACTGTTACTTTGTACTTGTAAATGTGCTTGTGTGAGTTTGGGGTACACTAGATGGCAAGATCCTCAAGGTCAGGGCAGTGCTGACTATTTCTGGGCCCCTCTCCCCAGTGGGGTTGTCTATGAGTGTTGGAGGCTCCTGCAAGTGACATGACTGCAGACGCCACCTAAGGAATTGTTACATTTCTCCTCTGGGGAGAACTGTTCTATTTTGTGCATAAACGACAATTCAGGGATCTTGTGTTATTCTGAGATAATGTCCCAGCTTCCCCAGACGACTCAGCTGATCTTTAAGACTGGCTGCTGTGTCAACTCAGAATGGAAACTTTTTCCACGGTATCTGTCGCAAAGGGTGATGCAGCCTCATCGGTTAGGGAACGACCATGGCGATTATAAGGATCTCATCCCCATGTTGCTCAACTGGTTTATAAACCAAGTGAATCTAATACATTTAGATTCCCTGGGCCGTGGGGTGGAATGGAAGAATGGACTAAATACTCAGCAAACACAACTTCCGTGGATTTAAATCCAGCCCCTAGCATCTCTGTCATCTGAGTTGTGACTTACTAGGATTAAACAGCAAAACAATCCTAAAGAATAGCAAGATATACCTTCATCAGACATTTAAGGACACTGAAAGGCAGCACGGCGTCATGCCAATGCAAAGCCAAACTGCCCAGGCTGAAATCCCAGCGTTGGCAAACACCAAGTGTGGGACCTTGACAAGGCGCTGGAGAGTGGCTAGGCAGCTGTAGCAGGGGTGGCAACAGCACCTGCCTCAAGAGGCCGCAGTTTAATGAGTCGATATTCAGAACAGTGCAGGTGGCAAACTCTCAATAAATATAAAAGCTATTGTTATTAATATATTTATTATCACCATCACATTTATATTACTTTCACGTCATTACATTGAGCATGTCCAAACTGTCCTTATTATTTAGAAATGCTTTTCCCCAAATTCAAATCTTCTCTGTGTTCCCTGCCCATTCAGTCGTTCAAAGTGGGATACGGAGTTAATCCTGACTCCTCTTCCTTGTTTCTCACATTCAAGTGGCCCACAGGAGCCAGGTCCCACCACACCTCCATGATGTTACCTCCGAACTACCTGCTCTCTGCCTACCCGCCTAGTTCAGGCCAACAAATATCTTGCCGGGGCTAGTAACATCCCTGCCTTTCCCCTCGACTTCTTCGATCTGTCCTTCCGATGCTTTTAGCAGTGAGCTTGCTGGGCGTCGGTCTGATAGACCTTCCTCTACGTAAAAATGTCTCTGGGCTTTACTATATACAATAAAACAGAGGCCAGCTTCTGTGGTTGGGGTATAAGGCTCTTTGTCACTGGCTCCCAGCAGGCTCCTCCCGTCTCGTCTATGCCCAGGTCACAACCTGTTGCTGGCTCACCTGCGGTGCCCTCGGCTTCTCTGCTGTAGTTCCCGCTGCCTGCAATGTTACTCCTTCATTGCACCACCCTCCCCCACCCCACCGGCCCCCCTGGCAACCTGCAAGCATCTTTCAAGACTTAGCTAAAGTAAGTCAAAAGTCAGAGCTTGACAGTCAGTGAGTTGAAGAAAGTGGATTAACACATTTAAGAAAGATTTTTAAAAGGAGTTCATAAAATAGGTGCTTTCAAAAATTTTACTTTGGTTAACCAAAATTTCTGGTTAAACATTTAATATTAATGAATAATATATTTATTAATTTATTAATCAGGCTCTTAACATAAATTTTTCTCACTTAATCTTCATAAGAATGCTGTTGGTTTGACATTATCACACCTATTTTGGAGATGAAGAAACTTGGGTTCAGTGATTTGCCTAAGGACATGGAGCTGACATTTGGGTGCTGGTATGACCCTCGTGTCTGTGACAGCTACCACCAAGCTGTGCTCTCACACCCTGTATTTGCCCTGCATGTTTAAAGTATAGTGTTGGCTCTGTCCTGACTTTGATGTAAATCATTACCATCCTAAATTATGCAATGGCTTAAGGTTTATGTTTGGGTTAATGTCAGCTCTTAGCCTAAAGAGGTTAAGTCGTTTTCAGCACTCCAGCTAGCATGACGTAACATGCAATTGCTCTCTGTGATGGAGCCTTTCAATCTGGTGGCTCCCAGCTGATCTCAACCCCTTGGTCATTCATTCTGCACCAGCGGCAAGCATCCACTGACTGTTCGCCAAATATAAGGTATTGTGCTAACGCCTTCACTTTCTAAGACTGTCTTTATCCAACTGCAGGAAAGTATTTTGGTCAATGTGGGTACCTGAGAGCTTCTGAATGACAGGTTGAAAATTTCTGTCTTAGAATAAAAGAACTGTTGGTTTTCAGTGGACACTCCCTCCAGGAAGTCCAAGCCCTTGAGCCCCCATGGCTGAGTTTCTCCCTTTTTGGTGACTCAAGACTAGGCCTGCTAATTCCTAGAAAACACACACATACATCTAATGCAGTAATTCCAACTTTTTGGAGTAATTAAAATAACCAGAACACTAAAATTTCCTTGGCATTAGTGGTAACCAGGAACAAAGTTACTAGTGACCTAGAATGGGAACCCATGACCATAAGAGGGTGAGGGGCTGAACCGTGTCCCTTCGCCTTGCACAAATCCATATGTTGAACCCTGATCCCCAATACTTCAGAATGTTACCGTTTTTGGAGCTAGGGTTTTTAAGGAGGTAATTAACTTAAAAGGGGGTAACTAAGTTGGACAGTGATCTAATATGCAGAACACAAGGAGAAGGCAGAGATGACCGCGTAAAGACACAAGGAGAAGGCACCATCTCTGAGCCAAGGACAGAGGTCTCTGATCTTGGACTTCTAAGCTCATGAACTATGAGAACATTAAGTTTCTGTTGCTTAAACCACCTGGTTGGTGGTGGTGTGCTGCGGCAATCCTAGCAAATGAATAGACTGAGATCACACATACCGTAAACTTAATCTATAGCTCTTACAGGGCTGACATTGATGCTTGAGGGTTGCTTTGTTGAACCAATAATTTTTAAGCTCCTTTTTCTTATGTAAGAGGTCCCCAACTAGAAGTTAGGAGACTATACAGATAAAGCAAAGCGAAAGTGGTTTATGATAGTTCCCCTTTCTGAAAACACATACGTCGTCACGAACTTGTGAGGAGAAATCACATGAACTGCCTTCTTCCCCAAATTTCCATAAAAGTAAGGGTATAAAAGTCACCTTCTCCTATATAAACATCTTCCAATGAATAAAATGATCTTACCCAAACCTTCCAGTTCTTGAACGACTTCTTTCCAAACGGGCTCGATGTGGATACAGCTGAAGCACCAGTCTGAGGTGATCTTGATGAGGTAGGGTTTCTTGAAGCTATCTGGAACCACTTCATTCACGTAATGTGAAAAGTGCAATAAATACTTTTCATCAATTGAGTCCCGCCGCTCAGAATTAAAAGGGAAGTGAAAAAAAGATTCATCAAAATAAAAATTTTCATGGAAATGGCGGAAGCGATATTCTCGCTGCTGCTGCTTCTGGTAGCCCTGGTTCTCTCCGGCATCTCCATAATGATCATAATTTGATCTCTTCTCTTCATTGGAAAGAATCTATAACAAAAGAAAGGACAGAAATGAAAATAAATTCACACAAAGGCCTTTCCTGTAAGCAGCTTGTAAGACAAAGGGAGAAAATAAGTGTACAGACTATGGTGTGATTAGATATTCTAAATGCAGTCATTCAACATGCCAGCTCTCTCAATGGAAATATTCAGTGTTTCAAGACTGAAACATTTCAGACATTTATGTCTATTTTTTTTTTAAAGATTTATTTATTTATGCATACAAGAACTGGGGTACAGGCCAGATGCACGGGAGGGTGAGAGGATTCACCAGAGACAGAGGGGGGAGCAGAACAGGCAGACAGATGAAACACACAGCTGAGGGGAGCAGAGGGCCAGGCAGGAGAGGTCTGCTCGCCACACGGGTTGCTCCGAGGCCGGCAGGGATCGAACAGGCACTGCAGAGGCCGCGGACAGCTTCACAGCGCTGCGCTCAACCACTTGCGCCACCAGGGAGGCCCCAGACATTTAGGTCTTTATGCTCATCTTGCCTTTAAAGATTTTGAGCTATCATAAGACTAAAAACACATCAGCAAAACAAACAAAACATAACTTTGATCACTAGGGCTCAACTGTACGAAAATTGACTCAGTCAAATCATGTAAGTTGGAATAATTCAAACCAAGATATGAAAGCTTTGAACACCAAAAAGCAGCCACAGGACTGAGTTAAGACCTTGTATGTTAGCTGACTTTGTTTCACTTAGAATTAACTTTGGAGACCCTCCCCAGTGGTGCACGGGTTGAACATAGCGCTCTGAAACTGCCCGCAGCCTCTGCAGAGCGGGTGCGATCCTGACCAGCCGGCGAGGGTCCCACATGGCACAGCAGACCTCTCCTGTCTTGCCCGCTGCTCCCCTCAGCAGGGTATTTTGTCAGTCTGCCTGTTCTGTTCCCTGCTCTGTCTCTGGTGAATCCTTTCACCCTCCTGTGCATCTGGTCTGTACCCTGGTTCTTGTATAAATAAATAAATAAATAAATCTTAAAAAAAAAAAAAAAAAAAAAAGAACTTTGGAATAGCAGATGAAAACTCTCTTCTTGCTCGCTGCTCCTCTCAGCAGTATATTTCTTTCCTGTGAGGAAGCTAGGGACAACTGAAGGTATCTGATTGGGCTACACGCCAACATGACTGGAAGGTTCCAGGTGCCCTCAAAGGTCACTGTGACCCGATCGGGTGGAGAACAGCCTTTTCTTCCTTTGAAACCTCTGGTGGGCTGTTTGGCATGTGGATGACAATTGAAGGGGCGTGGCTTGGGAACCCCTAAGTGTCCCTGAAAGGTGCCAGGGAGCTGGGTAGTCTGCCATGGCCACGATGGTGGGTGATGAAATAACTCTGGAGTTCAAAATCGGAGCCCTATCTTAGGATGATGTGCCATGCTCTGATCTAAGCACTACCTGCTGAGGAGCACTGTGCCACTCAAATCTGGAGGCCTGGGACCTGCCTTTTATAGACATTCCAGACTAACCTACTTAAGCTGACATACTGGCAAACCATTAGTTCAAATGTGTCTGTGGCCTTGTGCCACTTGAATAACCATGGGCAAACTGGTCTGGGATCCTTTAATATACATTTCTAACATATGAGCTGCAAAAGCAAACATGTAATGTAAGTTTCTAAACAGGAAATAGAGACAAACGTTCAGGATAATTCTGTAATTCCAATCAAAGCATTTAAGACTGGCCAGTTTTTTGTCAAGGGCTGTAGTGTTCAGGCACTAGTTTCAATATATTGACTGTGGCCAGACAGGTGTTTGCTCAAGGGATCATGCCCTTTTGGAGAGGACTTTACAAAACGATTTCCTGGGACACGTTTTATAAGAGCTAATGGATGCATCACAGTTTGACATGATACCTCGTAAGCCTTGCTAATCTGAATGAACTTGTCTTCTGCTCCAGGGTCTTTGTTTTTGTCAGGATGCCTGAAACACAAACGAACAGGCTATGAGAACGGATTTAATGTTTTACCCACAGTCAAGTCACATCCTTGTATACACAGTTCACTATCTCAGAGGCAGATGGGAGGCCATTTTGTGAGGACGGCTTCTTAAAAATAAATGGCAAAAGCAATCAGTTGCTTCACATGACTATTAATAAATGAAAGCTTGAAACAGGTAATTTTTTCCAAAAGTGCTTCAGCTGGGCACAGTTAGAAGCACCCGCGAGCATGCAGCATTCACTGAGGATGTGGGGAGAGGGGTCTTTACATGGATTGCTCCCCACCACTGCCAGAGCTAGCTCAAGGGTAGACACTGTTGGCAGAGAGCAGTCTCTCGCGAAGGGTTAGAATGCTGCCAGCGTAGACGTTTCTTCCCATGACTCAGGGAGACACAGCAAACAGTTTTTAGGATGCACCAAGGATTTGCTTAGTAGCAACCATGTTCCAAAGAGTGTTTTGCTGTTGACATTCAAAGGCCAACACTGTAGTTTCCATTATTCCTCTGGTTACCCCGTTCTGCCTGTGCTTCCCTTTCACCTACACATGACCTATTCAAGTTTTAAGATGAACAAGTTTTAAGATGCGAGAAGTCTCCAGTTTAAGTACTGTAGTGACTTCAACTACTATTAGAGCTAATGTTTGCTATTCTACACAGTCAGCAGTGAACTGTATCCATCTTGCAGTTATGTATTATCCTGTGTTGACACCAATTTCAGTTTTGGGGGTTTTAAAATCCTGGAAAGTAGGAGCTGGGTTTTACTTTCATAGAAAGTCCCAAGATGTAAATTGGTAACTTGTCAATGTTCATTTTATTTAGAGACTCTATTATAGAGTTTATTCTTTATTGGAATCACTTCTGCTACTTCTAGTAAATTTCCGCTAGAAAAGGTTCTGGAATGAGAAATAATCCATTGGGAAGCAAATAACTACTAAAAACAGCACTAGGTGCACCCAAATTTTAAAAAAATAAAGTGTAAGATTTGACCAACTTATTCTAACAGGAACCTATTTTAATGAATTATACCACATATTCTGATTTCTCTAAAAAGAAGTTAGCCTCAAGCAGCTGGCTATTTCCCTACATTAACTCTTTAATCCTGGCTGTGAATGTTAGGGGAACAGCTGCAGCCAGGCACAATGAAAAGTGTGACTTAAGGGGACAAGGTGGTGGCTCCAAAGCATGTTTCTGGATGACAAAAACCAAATTAAAAAAAAAAAGTGTTCTCAATATTCAAACTTAGGCCAAAGGTTGAGAAGATAAAAATTATGCAATCACACAAATGAAGAGTTGGCACATAGACCTCTAGGGAAAGAAAGGTAGGAAGGGGCTTTTAGGGAGACTGAACTGAAGAGAGAGTCTCCAGGGCAGCTGGGGTAAAACCACAGGTCCTGAAGCAGAGGAAACCAAGGCCCAAGAATGGGCGGCAACCACAAGACTGTTTCAGCTTATAAGGAATATTTTCCTAATCGTAGGAAGAGGCCACAAAGTTGAAAACATTTAGAGAAGCATAGACTCAGTGCTCGGAAGGACCATCCAATACACACATGTAACATTTCACAAACTGCCATTAATCAACAGCCTTTACATTTCAAAGCAAAGACTTTTTCTGGTAGCTATGGCTGTGCAGCTGCCTCTTGGGGAATAAAAATGAAGGTTGAAAAAGTAATACAATAAAGTATCAGACAGTTCAATTTACTGTTCAAGTGACTGTTCATATCAGATATGATTGTCTCAAATCAAATTTTATGGCATCTTTTTCTGGGTGTGGAAGGAGTTATGTTGCCCAAGATGATGACAAAAAAAAAAAAAATACCTATGATAAAACTGAAAGTAAATTTAAATAGCTTTACCAAGCCCAGGGGAAGCTCTTGCGAAGTCTGAGAAACACAGGTAAGTAGCACAACAGAGTAGAAGGTGACTATGAATCCAAACCAACATTAATCCCAGAACTCATTCTGAGAAGCCAAATCAGAGAACACTGCTGTTTCCAGCGGATATGAAACCATATGCAGCCACTATGAAGGGACACAAGCTATTTCAGTGATAAACACTGCCACAGCCAAAACAGCAGAAAACAGTAAAACTGTGAAAGTATAAAGGTAAAGCAAAATTTTAGACTTCCACTGGATTGACTATATATTTCTACCATGATGAATTACTCCTACAGAGAATCTAATTAAGGAAGAGAAGCATGTGATTCATTGAATTAATATCTTAACACCCTTTTCAGCTCTGGAAGACAGACAAGACACAGCTACATTTTAGTAAGTCTTACTTACTCAAGTTCTCATTTCGGTTTTTAAATGTTGTCAAAAGCCAGACCCTGTCCAAATGAATGTTGCTACCTTATGAATGAACTGTGGGTTTACATATTTTGCTTTACATATAAAGAAGTGTTGTAGAAAGCAAGTCTGCCCTAAAGAGGGTCCCTTGGACAAGGTCCATGCATAATTAGAGTTTATGTTTTTAGAAACCTGTTTTGGATTCCTAATGATATATGGTCTGAAATATCTATGTATGTGAAAGATTGTATTTTATTTATTTATTTATTTTTTTTGTGGGACCCTCACCGGTGGCCGGGGACAGAACTGGCGCTGCAGAGGCTGCGGGCAGCCTCGCAACCCAGCGCTCAACAAATGCGCCACCAGGAGAGGCCCTGAAAGATTGTATTTTAAACTATCTTTTACTGCAACTATCTTGACTGCAACCAGTTTAATACTAGAATCCATCTCTCACTGAAGAATGATGGTGTCAGGCAGGGTCTGCCCAGCTGCACAAAGCAGCTCTGCTCCTGTATAATTTCCTACACACCCAGGCACTGACCTGCTCACTCTTACTTCTGTCCAGATGGTAAGTGATTAAAACACAAAAGAGCAAATAACTACCTATGTTATTTGCTATGCAGTAGGTCGACCTATGGGACTGGGAGATAATGCAGAGTAAACAGGTCTGAGTGTGGATTTCCTCACCCCAAACAGGACAGTACTATCCCCCCTCAGAAGGTAATTATAAAGTTTAGATGAGAGAAAAAGCATAGAATCTGGGCCCAGCATGCAGTAGGTGCTCACTGATGGTTCCCCTCAATACATATGGTTGGTTCACCCAGCGTGTATGTGTCTTTTCCATCCTGTCCTCCTGTTATATGACCCGACACATCCACTCTGGCATGTCCAAAGCAGTGGAGTAAGTGACCATATGTGTGTGCAAATAACATTTAAAGTTATTGCTGTCCTGCTAATTCACAAACACTTTCATAGTTATAGGCATTATCTGCTGGTAGAATATGACTCTTCTATAAGATGATTTTAAAAAAGGTAATTTTTAAAAGGAATGTGCTCAGTTCCTGAATATTCTTTTTTTTTTAAAAAAATTGAGGGCAAGAGTTTATATTTTAAAAATTTTTGGAAAGCTTAAAAATTAATAATCTAGAGAATAGGAGTGGCTAGTGTCCCCTTTGGCAAGGACACTCATAAAGAGCTGCTTTATGAATAATATATCCTGGGAAGGGCAGCTTATCCTTTGTTGATTACATCTATATTTAAAAAATTAAAGTTCCAGCCTACTTTACTTTAACATTAAATACATTAACAGTAAGGCAATACTTGAAGGCAATTCTTTAAGCCACAGAATTCTTAGAAGGGGGTTTCACAGTAACACAGGCTTTGGGATCTTATTCCTAAAAATGACAGAATAACACGAATATTCGTCCTCCCACATAAAATACTACAGACAGATATATATATTATATATTTATTGAATTAGAAACAGAGACAAATAAAAGCTAAGCATAAGGCTCCATTATCCTGCTAAAACTGCTTAGCTTATATTAAACTTCTATTTCTTTGTTTCACCTACCATTCCCGGGCGAGCTTCTTATAAGCCTTTTTAATATCGGCCTGACTGGCTGTTCGGCTGACCCCTAGGACTCTGTATGGGTCAAAATCCAACGCAGACAGAATTTGCAGGATCAGAACCAGAACTATCAAGAACTGCCAGGAAATGCTCAACTTTTTCACTTCCATTTCTCTTCCTTTCCAGAGCTGAAATGATGGAAGAAGCAATAAGTTTCAGTGGTAGAAAGCGGGAGAGTCTTGCTTTTTTAGGTAAAGGTATAAGATATATAGATGAAAAACAAAACAAATAAAAGATATTGCGCAGGAAAAGTGTCAAGTTGTTTGACCATATCTTTTAAAATCCACAATCTTGCTGCTGTTTTTGAATATCACAAATAAGAACTATTAGAGATGAAAAGGTGAGTAGTAAGAATTCATCGCAATTTTCTAGACTCCTCGGATCAGAAAAGCTTTGGAAATGACTGAAAATGAATGAAATGAAGAAATAATAAGTGAATGTGGGAAAATATCATAGGAAAACCCAGGTGACGACATCGCAAATACACTTTCACTTATTCTGGCAATAATCACTTATACTTCAAATATGTGGTTTAAGGATCACTCCTTGAGTACATGCTAAATATATTAGTGAGATTCACCATGTGCAAAATTACAAAATGGGATAGTTGTGTTGCTCTTAGGGATTAAAAAAGTACAAATACAAAATGTAAGGTACTCTCAATGGACTGTGCAGTTAGAACTTATTATGCTTCAAATCTCTTCCTTCTCACTATGTCATTTGAACCAGAAAATGAGCTGTTCTTTCATCATCATCAATATGGTCATTAACAATGAAGATCTCAGATGAGAAAAAATTTAATTTTCTACATAAAAGGGGATTATCAGTAAAGACTGCACACGTGGGTTTGGGAAATAATCCTGATTGGTTAACCAACAAGGTAATGCTGTATTGCACAGACACTGACACTCCAGGATTACGATGTCTGATATCACACAATGATTTTTTTTCAAGGGCCACATGGATCTTGACTTCTCATACATGACTGAAGTTGTCAGGTTCAAGTGACTAGTGTGACAACTTACCTAAGGTGGGCAAAGGTGTAACAGTGGTGGATTTTGACAGTGGGTATCTAAATGCTGCCCAGAGTTCTCCGAAACAGATCAATCTGATGGCCAATGCTTAGGACCACAGGGGTGTTGAATAAAATGCTAAAGCAAACGATTATCTATCTATTCTGTCCTGCTGAAACTCGGGGAGGTGAAGCAGTTACTAGCTGAGCACAGGCGCTCCAGAATCAGGGGACAACCGGAGCTGTCCTCCCCCAGTTTATGACCTTGGGCAAGTTCCTTAAAATTGCTAAGCCTCAGTGTCTTTATTCATAAAATGGGGCTGAATAACGCACCCTGAAAGGATCCCCAAGGGAGGTAAAGGTAAAGGTGAAGCAGAACACAGGGTCAACAGTCAATAAGTGTAACTTATTACTAATTTTTTTCTACCATGCAGTGCAACTCCTTAAGCCCTATTCAACTGTGCCAGTCGCTCCTCCTGGAGGCCCCAGCGGCCGCGGGGGAGGGAGGCGCGGGCTGGGAAGTTCTCGCGCTGACCGCTCCACGGTGCTGGCCTCAGGGCAGGAAGCAACCTGCCCAACAGGTAGGCGGCCGCCCACGGCAGTGTCCCCCGGACCAGGCGGCCGCTCCCAGGTACAAGCCCTGGAGCTCAGTCAGCCCCTCCTCGAGCTCCCGCCGGAGCCTCCCGCGGGGTCCCCCGCCCGCCGCCCCCCGAGAGCCCTGGGCCCGGCCTGCCGGCTTTGGGCGCCCCCCCACCCCGGCCCAGCGGGAACCCGGAACGAGGAGGAATTGAAGGAAGATCGGAGACTGCCCGGCCCTGCCGCGCGCCACGCCGGGAAGGAGTTACCGGGATGGGGCACCGGCCTAGGCGGCTGCGGCGACCGTGCTCCAGTTAGTCCACCGAGCCGGGAGCCTCCGCTGCACGCCAGTACTCGCCGGGCCTGGGAGGGGAAGGCGGTGGGGGCGAGGCAGTGGTAGTCACGTGATATTTAAAGGCGCGGCGCACCGTAGGCGCGAACCGAACGGAGTGAGGGCGACTACTTCGCGAATCCGTTTGACCCTCGCCACCTGCCGTCTGCGCGTGGACTTGGCGCGATTGCCATAGGAACGAGGCGCGCTCTTTGGCTGGATCCAAAGGGATGTTCGTGACCAAAGAGGCCAAAACGTTGCTTCCTAGCGAGGCAAAGTCGCGATGCATGACGGGATGCCAGAAAGACCTCCCCGGTCCTGAGCCGAGTTTCCACTCCTACCAGGAGATGGCCCTCGTCTAGCAACAGTTGCCAGGGTGGGGAAGCAATTGCTGGTCCCTCTTCTCTTTAACCCTATTCATAGACTCCAGAAGCGTCATCCTTGGAAGAGACCTTAGGGATCCTTACTTGTCCAACTCCATATGGCGATGGGGACCCTGGAGCCCAGGAGGGAGAGGGACACTCAAAGCCTAGAAACCAGGACTCCTAGGCCGTTTGCAAGAAAGAGCTGCACCCTAGAATGGGCCAGGCCCTGCCCTAGCACAGGGAGGGGGTGTCTGTGGCGTGGTGGTGGGGTTGGGAGACAGTCGCAGGTGAGTGAGGTGACCGTTCACTGAATCAATGAGCTAGGTCCCTTGGGGCTATACAGAGATTTCATATCCTCTTCCCCCCCCCGGGTTATTTATTTTTAAAATCTCCTTTGCTTTTTTATCACTAACATGCTATATCGTTTATTCATTCACACCTGTCTCCTCCTCCCAGTGGAATGGAGCGTCTAAGGGCAGGACTTTTTGTGTGTTTGCTCACCTGTATATTCTTGGTGCCTGCCCGAACCTTGACACTGACAAGATCTCAATAAATACTTTGAAATAAGTGAATACATGGGGTTGAGACTTTTCTGCTCTAGGGAGTGCATTCTGCAGTGACTTTGAACCAGGTGGAGGTTTAAATCCTGCCTGGCCCCCTCCACTGACTCCCCCAGTGGCCGTGAACGGGGGTCACGTCCCTGAGCCCAAGTGTTCATACCTGGAAAACGGGACAAAAAGAGGGTCGCAGTGAGGGATAAACGAGGTAACGCCACGGAAGTGAGCACGTGCCGCGGGGTTAGCAGATGCCCAGCGAAGCAGGAGCGCGTTCTCGGGACTCGGAGATGAGCTGCCCACACCGGGAGTTCAAAGGCCTGGATTCACGAGGTTTTTAGTACTTTTTTTGGTGGGAGGTGCTGGGGTCCGAAGCAGGGGAGCGGGTACGGGAAGGTGTATAAACTGGGCGTGGCTGGATGAGACGTGCGAGTTTGGGACCGTGAACCACGACGTCTGGGCACTGGCCCCGGAGGGAGACCCAGGACTTCGCTGGCGGCCGGGGGAGGGGTTGCAGGTTGAACGGGGCGAGCAGACCAGCTCCAGAAATGACTGTGCTTCTCCGGATGTGTGATCCCGGCTGAGGTTCTGCAGGTTAGGGGCCCGCAGAAGTGGCGCGGGGTGTGTCCGGGGGCGGGGCTGAGCGGCTCTGGGCGGGGCGTCGGCTCGGGGGCGCGTTCTGGGGGCGGGGCGTCGGCGGGCTCGGGGCGGGGCGTCGGCGCGGGGGCGTGTTCTGGGGGGCGGGGCGGAGGCGTGGAGGCGGGCTCAGGGCGAGGCGTCGACGCGGGGGGTATGTCCTGGGGGCGGGGCGTCGGCGCGGGGGCGTGTTCTGGGGGGCGGGGCGGAGGTGTGGAGGCGGGCTCAGGGCGAGGCGTCGACGCGGAGGGTATGTCCTGGGGGCGGGGCGTCGGCGCGGGGGCGTGTCCTGGGGGGCGGGGCGTCGACGCGGGCGTGCATTCTGGAGGCGGGGCGTGGACGCGGGGTGCGACTTGGGGACGGGGCGTTAATGCGGGGGTGTGTCCGAGGGCGGGGCGGGCGCGGGGGCGGGTCCCGGGGCGGGGCGTTGACGCGGGGGTGTGTCCGGGGCGGGGCGGGCGGGGGCGGGGCGTTGACTCGGGGGTGTGTCCGGGGGCGGGGCGGGGCGGGGGCGGGGCGTTGGTGCGGGGGTGTGTCCGCGGGGCGGGTCCCGGGCGGGGCGTTGACTCGGGGGTGTGTCCGGGGGGGGGCGGGGCGGGGGCGGGGCGTTGGTGCGGGGTGTGTCCGGGGGCGGGGCGGGGGCGGGTCCTGCGGAGCGGGCGGGCGCGGCCATCGAGCCCGGAAGCGGACGCGGCCCGGGTCGGCTGGTTTCCAGCCATGGACGAAGCCGACCGGCAGGTCCTGCGGCGGTGCCGGCTGCGGCTGGTCCGCGAGCTGCAGGTGGACTCGCTCTGGGACCACCTGCTGGACCGCGAGCTCTTCACGCGGGACATGGTCGAGGACATTCAGGTGCGCCCCAGCCCGCCCGGGCGCCGGCGTCGGGCTCGGAGGGGTCGGCCGGGCCCGAGGGGGGCGCTGGGGTCACAGCAGGACCTCGAGGCGGCGCCCGGGCCCCTGCCCCGCGGGGCCCCCGCGCCCAGCCCTCTGGGAACCCCTGAGCCTGCGCGGGAGCCCCGTTTTCTTTCCAGAGTGAGCCCCCTCCTGACCCTGCTTCTGGGGCGTCGCTGTCCTCCGGGCCTCCGACCCCTGCGCTGCAGTGGCTCGTCCTCGGGGCCCGGCGGGAACCAAGGGTGCGAGGCGGGGCCGCGGCCGGGCGGGCTGTGCCGGGCCCTGGGACCCGCCCCTCCCGGGTTAAGTCCCTGTTTTGTAAGGGGCTTTGGAGATAAGGGGGCTGCTGCGAATAAGGGAGAGAAGAAAAAATTCAGACATTTGACTTTCTCTTTAAAAGTCCTTTTGATACCGGAATTGTCAGGCCTAGTCTCCCAGCCAGGAGCGGATCCCAGGCTGCAGGGCAGTGCTGAGCCCCAGCCGCTAGACCCCCCACGGGTTGGTGTCTCACGAAGCCGCAGCAGGAACTTCGCAGACGCTCAGGCAAGCAAGCGAGCGAGCAAAGGCAGGTTTGTTTAGAAGAAGAAAAAAGTTTATTGAGGAGAAAAAGAGCAGAAATAAAGTGGGACTCCCAGGCCAGGGAACCAGGCCTGGGAGGGGCAAGGAAGCCCAAGTGGAGTCGTGTCTCAGGGAATATATACTTTCTTTCCCTGATTATTCTAAAGCTCTACCAGTCTCTTTGTGATTGGTCAGTTTTTGGCTGTCTCACTTAATTTGCTACTGAGTGGGAGATCTTCACATTCCTTATCTAACAGGTCTGTCTTTCCCCATTTGTTATATCATTATCTTTATGGTCTAGCCCTCCCGGTGAGCATCTTTACACTTTATCTTATCATCTGAAGAAAACCAGGACCACCCTTAACAAGATTATCCGTGGTGCTAGGATGTTTGTTTTTCCCAGTGGAATTGGTTTCATTTCCTTGCTCGTCCTTATCTCTGAAGCCTTCCTGAATTCTTCAGAGGTCCCCTCCTGCACTGTCCCTAAAACTGCCTAATAACCCTAGCTTGCCCTGTCTCACTAGGGGCTGTGGCCAGTGCCTTCTGGGCCGCTCTCGGCATTATCCAGGACCTTGGCCTGATTCGGGGAGGATGTGTTTAATAGGATAAGGGCCACATGTGTTAAAAGAAGGCTGTGAGCCCTTGCTATGAGTGAAGATGGCTTGAGGCCATGTCCTTGCCTTCGGGTACAAGATAGGGGACTGAACAGGGGGTTCCAGGACCCAATTCTGACGTGAGTGCATGTGGCGGCTGTCCCACCCCAACAAGCAGCCCTCATACATCAGCAGGGTGTAGAGAATTCAACTCCATGTGATATTGTCTGCTTGGAGAGCATCACCTTGCTCAGGTAAAGGCCTCAGATTCCCAAGAGCCCCTGCTCCAGAATCCCATGCCCTGCTCCTTGGCCTTCAGCTGTCAGTTGGAGCCCAGGTTGTTACCTGTGCTTCTGACCAACCAGTTACAAATCAGAGGACCCCACAACCCCCTGCTCAGGTTGGGTTAATATGCCAGAGCTGTTCAAAGAACACAGGAAACCTGTTTACTCACTAGATTATTGGTTTATTACTAAGGATATTGAAGGGCATGGATCACCAGCCAGATGGAGAGATAGCTAGGGCGAGGTCCTAACAAAGGAACCTCTGTCCTGTGGAGCTCTGGTCTGGCACAGTGGAGGTGCTCTGGTTCCCCAACCTGGAAGCTGTCTGAAGCCCCTCTTGGATATTGTTGGGATTCACCATGTTGGCTTTTTATGGAGTTTGCATTGAATTGGTGTGATTGATTAAATCACTGACACTGGCAAGTGAATTCAACCGCCAGCCCCTTTTGCATCCATGGGGGTCAAGGTCAGGGGGGGTGGGGCTGGCGGTTCTGTCTGCTAGTCTCTTGGTGGGCTCCACTGGCAGCCAGCTCCACTGGCAACCTTAGATAGGTCCCTAGAAGTTGCTCATAACAAGAGACAACTCATCACTCTCAATACTTAAATTCCAAGGCTTTTTGGAGCTGTGAGCCAGGAACTGTGTGTGGATGAAGACCAAACATGTGTGAGAGAAATATATTTTTGTCATTTGAATGACTAAATCATAATATTGCAGGTGCTCACCAACTCAAATGCCCACAGAGGCCCTACAGCGGGCAGTGGCTGCTCAGCCCCCAACTCCTGCTGAGTCTGGTCACACCAGAATGCTGGCTCCAGGGTTGCCAAATTTTTCATGTTTTTAAAGAGAAGTTCAAAATCTTGATTTTTGATGTCAGATAACCAGATTGGAAATGTTTACAGCAAATTCAGAGTTTTCAAAGAACATTATGTCAACAGCAGACTGCCATTTTGTCACACCTGTTATGGCTGATAAATACATGTGCGAATCTGAGCCCTTGTTCTGGCTCTGTTTATGTGTCAGCAAATTGCAGTACCTTGCTGTGACTCAGTTTCTCTCATGTGTAAAGTGGGGGGTACTTATAACTTAACCCCATCAGGTTGTGGAAGGGGTTAAATGAAATGATGTGTTTAACACAGCATCTTACTGTGAACATTCAGGTAATGTTGAGGGAAATGAAAGCACCACCATCCACTCACTGAAATAGGCATGCAACTGGTCCAGCCACTATGGAAAGCTGTCTGGAGGGTCCTCAGTCTACTAAAAATGGAGCTACCATATGACCCGGCAATTCCACTATTAGGGATCTACCCAAAGGACACAAAAACACTGATTCAAAAGAACACCTGTCCCCCTATGTTTATTGCAGCACTATTTACAATAGGTAAAACCTGGAAACAACCCAAATGTCCAAAAAATAGATGACTAGATCAAGAGGTAGCATATATACACAATGGAATATTACTCTGCAATCAAAAAAGATAAACTCATGCCATTCGCAGCAATGTGGATAGAACTAGAAGGAATTATGCTCAGTGAAATAAGCCAGGAGGTAAAAGAAAAATATCGGATGGTTTCACTTATAGCAGGAATATAGGGGAACCCAATAAGACATCAGTGTAAAAAAAAATAATAACAGTACAAAACACAACAAAGCAAAAACAGACAATTATAAACCAGAGACATCCTGCAGGGGAGGAGGCGGGAGAGGGATCAGAGGGAGGGAGGGAGGAGCACAGGGGACTGAGGTGATGGTGCACGGGGGCCTTGGGGAAGGAAACTGGATGGGGACTCAATCTGAGGTGGTGGGAGGAAGCAAATATTGTTTAAAAATGAACAATGATGTAAAAAATAAAACAAATGAAAAGAATAGGCATGCAGCTGTTTTGCTAGTGAATTATTTTCTCAGTGACACTATAGGTCTGTGCTCCTCAATATAGTAGCATTAGTCACACGTGGCTATTTAAATCAGAAGAAATGAAAATGAAACCAAATAAAAAAATTCAGTACCTCCGCCCTAGGACCTAAGCGCTCAGTAGCCACACACATGGCTGAAGGCTACCCGATCAGACAACAACGGTGAAGACCACTTCCGTTGTCATGGAAGGTTCTCTTGGGCAGTGCTGCGGTCGGCTGTTGGAGGACAGCTTGGTGTCTTATTCTTTTTTTTTTTGAGATTTATATATTTATTTTATACAAGCACTGGGTACAGTCAGAAGCGTGGGAGGGTGAGAGAATTCACCAGAGCCAGAGCAGGGAGCAGAGCAGGCAGACTGACGAAGTACACTGCTGAGGGGAGCAGCGGGCAGCAGGAGAGGTCTGCGCGCCATGTGGGACCCTCACCTGGTGGCCGGGGATCGAACCGGCGCTGCAGAGGCTGCGGGCAGCTTCGCAACCCAGCACTCAACCGCTGTGCCACCGGGGAGGCCCTGGTATCTTATTCTTGTGGATCCTAAGGAATTCACCCAATGCGGGTCTAAAGGACCAACAGCGGATAACCAGTGTCCTCCTATTCCCACCCTGCTCCCCATCTCAGTGGCTGGCCCTACCATCCCCACACCTGCCAACCTTGACTGTCCTCCAACTTCACAGTCACTCAGTCAGTTGTCAAGTCTTAGCGCGTCCCTCTCTTTACTTCTCTGCTCTGCCCTCCCTTCTTTCCGTGCCAGCTGTGCCATCTTTGCCGCCTCCTGACCTGGATGTGGCTCACTCCCTTCTTGTCCTCCCCATCTCAGGAGGATTTTCCTACCAGGCAGCTCTGCCTCCCAGCCCCTTCTTAAATCTCCTCACCAGCTCCTCACTGCTTTCTGGCGTGACCATGCAGATACCTCATCCCTCACTGCTGCTCCCACCCTCACTTTCTCATGTCTCTGAATTCACTATTCACTTCCTGATGTCCCCTTGGGTCCCAGGAAGGGTTTCACTCCTTCCTGGAGTGCTCCAGGGCTCCTCCAGCCTGAGATGGGTTCCTGGGTCTCCCCCGGCGGCCCCGGCAACATGTGCTTTCCCTCCTGTCACTTGTCTCCTTGCTTCTCACTGTTGATTTGCCTGTTTGCGTCGCCCACTAGATGTTTGCTTCCCGAGGACTGAGTGTGCTCACAGCCATATTTTTAGCACTTAGCACAGTGCTGGGAACATAGTAGATGCCTCCAAAATAGTGAATGAACGAAGTAAAGGTGGCGAACGGCACATACTCACTATAACTGCAGGCTCAGTTTTTACCTTCGTGCCTGGCCGGGAGCTGGGAGGGCAAGGTGAGGGTCACGGTCAGGTATGTGGGTAACAATGCCATGTCTCTCTTTCCAAACAGCATGCAGGTTCTGGGTCACGGTGCGATCAGGCCAGACAGCTGATCACAGATCTAGAGACCCGAGGGAGGCAGGCCCTTCCTTTGTTCATCTCCTGCCTGGAGGACACAGGCCAGGATGCCCTGGCTTCATTTGTGAGAACAAGCCTCCAACCAGCAAAGCGGGGTCCGGTGGTCATCGAACCCCTGGAGTTGGTGCCTGCAGTGCTCCCACCAAGGGACCTTAAACCACTTGTGCCCAGGCCAGCAGACATTAGTTCTGGAGGATTCACTGATGTCCGTGAGTACTGAGAAAGTGGTGGGCGGGTGGGTGTTGTGCGCAGTCTTTGGGGGTTGACCACTGATACTGGCAGACAAAGCTGAGTTGCAGAATTGAATTTTGCTGTTGTCTTTCTGAGTACTCTCATAGGGGATGGTGGAAAATTCTGGCAGGTCTTCAGGAGATTTAATTTTGGCAGCCCCTCCTCTGAAAAGCATGTGTGGAAGTCTGTTTTGCATGCCCAGGTTTTGACCAGTGTTTCCTGAAGCGCGTGTTCAGGATTTGCCTTTGGGTCAGGGCTGGTGGTGTGGATTGGCCCAGGCCAGGGAGGCCTTTTCCTGTGGACCCTGCTCCATGCCTGGCTCATGCAGGGTCCCATACTTTCCTTCCTTCCCTCACCACAGTCTGGCAACCTCCTGGACCCATCTTTGCTGAGGAGGAAACTGAGCTAAATAGTTTGCCCAAGGTCACAAGGCTCCATCCCTAAAATATGTAAATCCCCAGAGCTCAGCTGGGTGATTTTTACCTACCTCAGCCAACCTCCAGGTGGTCAAGATCTAGAACAGTCTGGTGTCCTGTAAGTCTCTCTGGGGTCAGTCCCACCCTCTCCACCCCCCACCCAAGCTCATCACTGTTCTCACCTCTGTCTTCACAGATCCTTTTGCTTGTTCTTGAACTTTAATATAAGTGAAATCCTATAATATGTGTTCTTTGAGTCTGGCTTCTTGCTGTGATATTTGTGAAATTCATTCATCTTTATCAATACTTTGTTCTCCATTGCTAGATAGTAGTTCTTATTCCACTTCTACTTCTTCAGCCATCCTGCTGTAGGGCAGGTGGGATGTTTTCAGTGAGGACTTTTTTTCCATGGCAACACAGGGAGAGTCCTGGCCAGCTTTTTTGCCAGTCACTGGCACACTCACCTCAATGATCTGATCGAAATTTCCCCACTCTTGTAAGGAAGTTCCTACAGTTGTTCCCTTTTACTGTTGGGCAAACTGAGTAACAGGGTGGGCGATAGCATGACTCAGAGGCAGGCACTGTGTTCCCGGGTTAAACAAGGAAAAAAAAAACCCCACAACCTTATAGGCTGGTTGCCACTTGACTTCTGGCTGATTGAGATGAAAACCCTTTTGACACTGAAGGAAGAACAGCCGTGGTCCTCATGTGTTCATTCTGCAAATACTCCCTGAGGACTTCTTGCAAGCCATGCTCCATGGCGTCTGCAGAGAGGCCCCCAGTCCCAGCAGCTTCCTTACCCTTTTATGTTCTAAAATTTCATATGAATGGAATCTCACTATATACACTGAGGCTTCTTGTTTCTTTCTTTCATTTTTTTAGAAAAAGATTTATTTATTTATGCATACAAGAACTGGGGTACAGGCCAGTGGTGAGAGCATTCACCAGAGACAGAGTGGGGAGCAGAACAGGCAGATCTACTGAAATCCACTGCTGAGGGGAGCAGCGGGCGAGACAGGAGAGGTCTGCTGGGCCATGTGGGTCAGCTCCCTGGCCAGCCAGGGATTGAACTCATGCTGTAGTGGCTGCAGGGTGCCTACCCCCTTGTGCCACCAGGGAGGCCCGCTTCTTGTTTCTTTCTAGGCTGTGTAGTGTTCCCTTGTATGGCTGAATCACAATTTGTCCAGCTGTCTATTTGTTGATGGGTGTTTGGGTGGTTTCTAGTCTTGGGCCTTAGGAATGAGGCTTTAGTGAACCTTCATGGCTAAGTGTTTTTGTGTCTGTTGCACTCATTTCTCTTGGCATGTGGACCTGGAAGCATAATTGCTGGCCAGAGGGTAGGTGTGTGTTTAACTTTATTAGAAACTTTTATTTATTTATTTATTTATTTTTAAAGATTTATTTATTTATTTTATACAAAAACTGGGGCACAGGTCAGAAGCAAGGGAGGATGAGAGAATTCACCAGAGCCAGAGCGGGGAGCAGAACAGGCAGGCGGACCAAAGACACTGCTGAGGGGAGCAGCGGGTGAGGCAGGAGAGGTCTGCTGCGCCATGTGGGGTTCTCCCTGGCCGGCGGGGAATTGAACCAGTGCTGCAGAGGCTGCGGACAGCTTCGCAGCACGGTGCTCAACCGCTGTGCCACTGGGGAGGCCCTTTATTAGATACTTTTAAATGGTTTCATACAGCGGCTGTACCCCATGAAGGTTCCTGCAGCTCTCTGGGTTTGTGGAGACTGCCCTCACAGAGTTCCTTTCCCCTTCCCTGTTTGACCCTAACATCATGTTTCCCTCTTTGTTTCTCTCTCCAGGTGTCCTGGAGACATCAAAGAGAAATGCCGATTTGGTGAGTCTGCGTGCAGCTCAGCCAATTGTGTGGGCTTTGCCCCTTCAGCTCTCTAATTTCCAGGCCCTCCCCGCAGCTCTGTTGGGAGCCTGGGGAACCCAGCCCAGTGGAGAGAAGCTCCCAGTCTGGGGCCCCTTCTTGTTTCTTGACCCCTCACATCTCTCCCTGGAGCAGATTGCTCCACCCAGCTCTGTGAAGTCAGAGGCAAACCTACCAGGGTGGGCATCAGAATCGGCTGAGGTGCCCATTTCAGACTCACTCGCTCTCTATCGGCAGCCTTTCTTGTGTGACTGCCGTGTGCCAGCCTGGGCTCCGTGTCGGGACACCCGGGAACAGACCATTGGTGTTTCTAGCCCTTGTGGAGCTGTTGGCCTAGCAGTTACCCAAGGAAATATGTAAACATGAAGTGTTCAGTACCGTACCCGAAAAGAGCAGGCTGCGTGAGACAGAACTGCAAGGGGAACCTCCAGGGCCCCAGATGCTCAGAGCACTGGCCTGGGCGCGAGTCGGCCTGTGGAGACTCCCACACCACTCTCGGGTGCGCCCCCTGGACTGGATGATCTGTGGGGTCCTTTGGGGATGGAAGTCTCTGGGGGCTGGATTTCTAAACTAGCAGCTGCTGTCCCCAAATACTGCTGCAGGAGTTCTTCTTCTCTCCCAAGTTTAGCTATCTGGACGTCACGCACACACAGTTCGTGCTCACCCCAGCCTGGTTTGCAATCTGTTTGCTTCCGCCCTGGAGTGCTGGGCATAGACCCTGCCGCTCCCTCAGAGGGCAGGCTGACCGCACGTCCTGCTCTCTCCCTCTAGACAATCAAGTGCAGGAAGGGAGGTGGGGTCAGCTTTTCTGGAGGGGCACATTGAGACCCCAGTTTACCTTGGTCCCTGTGCTCTGGCAGGCGTATGTCCTGAAGGCTGACCCCTGCGGCCACTGCCTCATCATCAACAACGTGACGTTCTGTCCCAAGTCGACGCTCAGCACCCGCACCGGCTCCAACATCGACTGTGAGAAGTTGCAGAGGCGCTTCGGCCTGCTGCACTTCATGGTGGAGGTGAAGAGAGACCTCACTGCCCAGGTGCGGTCTTTGTGGAGAGGCCTGGATGTGTGGTGGAATGGGGTGAGGCCGGGTTCAGTGAGGGATCCTGGAAACCAGCACCTCCCCAGGGTGAGCCCAAGTAGGTCTGTAGGGGGGCAGCAATGTGGCTCGTGGTTACAGGTTCAAGTTCAGGCTCAGAGAGGGTGGGTGGAGGGCTGGCCCCCGTGGGACTGCTGTGGGATTGCCCAGCCTCTGTGTCCTTGTCTAGACCACAAGAGTCGTAGCTTGGGGCCCATTGGGGGGTTCAGTGAACAGTGCCTCAGCGCAGCACCTTTCCCCAAGAATGGGGGCAGACATAACTCTTATGCTTGTCATTACTTCAGTCTTGGCCCTGGAAACAGGGAAGAGGCTCTGTCCAGGCTTTGGGGGGGCCCCAGAGTCAGTCTCTGGCTCACCTGTGACCTTCTCTTGTAGGAAATGAACCGGGCTCTGGTCGAGCTGGCGAAGCAGGACCACAGCGCTCTGGACTGCTGCGTGGTGGTCATCCTCTCTCACGGCTGCGAGGTGGGCGGCCTCAGCTCTCGGGCTGGCCCACAACACTCCCGGCTTTGTGGGAAGAGCCGTGGGGCCCTGTCCACTGCTGTTGTTCTCTCGGGAGCCATCTGGCTCTCTGAGGAGTTGGATGCGCCTCCTGGGTGGAACTGTGTTCCCGGGAGAAGCCATCTGGGAGAGTCCAGGAGGAGACAAGCTGTGCTCACAGAGCTCCTACCCCCAGGTTTTGCTCAGAGCTGGCAGCGCACATAAGAGCTCCCCACTCCTGCCTCAGTCCTGCTGGCAGTGTTCCAGGGCCTCAGCTGCTGGCTGGGAGCCAGGAACCTGGCACCCACTCTGGGCTTGGCCACTGATATGCTGGGACGTGTGCTCAACCCCTTCCCGCTCCTGAGCCGCCTCATCTTTTAAGTTGAGGAGTTGGACGGATCTGAAGTTATAAGCTGAAGGCATGTTTCTCAAAACTAGCAACTTATATACGAAAACCAGGACTTCTGGCTTCCCTTGAAGAGGTGCGAAGATCTGGCTTTACCAGGCCAGCATCCTCAAAAACTGCCTGCAGCTGGGCAGGAGCTGCTCCTCTGGTCCTTTGTTTGCTGTGTGGCCCTTGGGCCGGCAGCAGGGGCATTGTCTGGGAGTGAGCACATGAGAATGCAGACTCCCAGGCTGCTCTCAGACTCTTTATTCAGGGCAGCACCTGAACAGGTCCCTCTGCACATGACGTTTGAGGGGAATTGATCTGGAGCCGTGGTTCTCGAAGTTTAACAACCCCAGCACCTAGGGGGGTGAATTGCTGGACCCATGAGCAGGGTTTCTGCTTTCAGAGGTCTGGGTGGGGCAGGACTTACAAATTCCTTGATGCTGCTGATGCTGCTGGTCTAGCGACCATAACTTGAGAGCCTCCCACCTGGAGGAAGTCGCTGACAAGCTCCAGTTGGCCTGTCTGCCCCTTAGACCTCTGAGTTTGAGACCCCTGGAGCAGATGCTGACCAGTGCCCATCTGGAACCAGCCTTGCACTCCAGGCTGGCACCTTCTAAATGCCTGACCAGGAGGCACGAAGCCTCCAAATAGGCTGTCAGGCACCTACCCCGACTTCTGGGTTTGGTAACCAGGATTCTTGCTCTCCTAGGCCAGTCACCGCCAGTTCCCAGGGGCTGTTTATGGTGTGGATGGCTGTTCTTTGTCCGTTGAGAGAATTGTGAATATCCTCAATGGAACCGGCTGCCCCAGCTTGGGAGGGAAGCCCAAGCTCTTCTTCATCCAGGCCTGCGGTGGGGGTAAGCTGGGCCTCAACCTCTCTGCAGATGAATCCAGGGGCATGATGCTGCCACCGTCTTCCTCCTCCATCTAGCCTGTTACCATGCGCATGGGGTTTCTCTCTGGGTAGTCAGAGAGGACCCAAGCATGGCCACTGCTGTCTGACTGGTAGCACCTCCATGTCTGTAGTTAGCAGCCTTGCCTACCCTTTGGCCTACGTACCATGGACTCTAGTGATTTACTGGTCTCTCGTTGGTCCGGCCCAGGCCATTTTGTCTCCCCCCAGACTGGGATGTACCCATCCCAGCACTGCTCAACCTTTCCAGGATGTCACAGGCTCTGGCTTGTTCCACCCTCTCTGCCTTTTCTCCTGGCCAACTCTTAGTCATCCATTCATCTGGTTACAACTTATGTTACCACCTCCAGGCAGTCTTCCGTCAACACCCCCTTCCTTGTACAAAGTCAGGATTAGCTGCCCCTTCTGCTCCTGCAGCCCCTGTTCTTGCCTTGTCGTAGCACTTTCTCCTTGTATGCCCTGGTCAGCTCTCCAAGGTTCCTGGCCTGGCACAAAGTTCTTATGCAATATGGTTGTATCTTATGCAGATACAAAAAACATTTCTGTGAGCAAAATTTGAGATAATGTAAGCTCCTGCCATTAAAAAGAGAAGCTACCGGACCTCAGGGAATAGCAAGATTCCAAAGCTGGAGTGAGGACCCTGGGACCTTTGGAGTGCGGGTCCTGGCTTAGCCCCTGGCAGGCCCCGTGACTGTGTGTTTAGCGCTGTGGCCACATGGGGGCACCACCTTGCTGGGAACAGAGCCGGCATTTCCCTTGGGGTCCTTCTGGGTGTCCTGCTGGGTGTCCTGTGTTCTCCTGGGTTGTAACCTGTGTGGGTTTTCATCCTTCTTAAGCCTGAGTAATATGTCTTGTTTCTAAGTGACAGATACTTTACCGTTTTAATGTGGACAACTCCATGGCGTTACTTACGTTTGCAGGGGCGTGCAGCCACCACCACAATCTCACTCCAGAACTTTCCGTCACCCTAAAAAGGAACCCCCTAGCCACTCGCTGTCGCTCTTCATTCCTGCCTCCCTCGAGTGGCTGGCAGCAGCCCATCTGCTTTCTGGGTCACAGATTTGCCTATTCTGGTTCATCATAGAAATGCTTCTTGCGTTTGGCTTCTTTCGCTAAGCGTGTCTTCCATCCACGCTGTCTTACGTACCAGCGCGTCATTCCTTTGGAAGCTGGGTGCCACCCCATCGCACGTCTTTGTTCTCCGATCATCTTTTGTCTGTCGTGAATGATGCTGCTGGGAACATTTGACTGCAAGTTTTTGTTCGAACACCTGTTTTCAGTTTTTTTGGGTGTGTACATTGTCGTTCGTTTTTATGGTGTTTTTCTTCTGCTTTTCCCTCCTACCCAATTTGTAATGAATATATACAACTTGCAGAAAAAGGTAGAACTTCTGTGTTAGTTCCCTAGTCATGCTTGCCCCACGCAGGAACCCTGGCTCCAGAGGGAACCCGACGGTCTGGGGGTGGAAGAGGACGGGGCGGGGGCCGGAGCAGCCCTGGTCTGTGTGTTTCAGTGACAAGCGGTGGCCGTTTCTGTTTCCTGCAGAGCAGAAAGACCATGGGTTTTCAGTGGCCTCCGCTCCCCACGAAGACAGGGCCCCTGACATTGACTCCGAGTCGGACGCTGCTCCGTTCCAGGATGGCCTGGAGACTTTCGACCAGACGGATGCCGTGGCCAGTTTACCTACCCCCAGTGACATCTTCGTGTCCTACTCCACCTTCCCAGGTAGTGCCTCCGGGGATCTTGTCCTCCCAGCCAGCGGGTCTCCGCGTCTGCCCCAGAGAAACATCCTGGGTGTGAGTCTTGGTTCTGCCTCTTGCCACTTGTGTGCCCTGGAGCAAGTGACTCTACCTCCCTGTGCCCAGAAGTACAAGGTGAGGCGGGCGAGGCACTTAGGGTACAGATCGAAGGCGCACTCCCTTGGGCTGGTGTGCTTCACTCTGTCCTGCCTCGGGCTTCTCATCTTTAAAATGGACTCACGCCTTGGGCTATGTGGGTGTGGTGGCACATCCCACAGCTGAACGCGGTGCCTGGCGCTCAGGTGCTGTTTGTCTTCCTTTCTCAGCCCTGGGGTGAGTCGCTTGACTTCCCCAGCCTTGGTTTCCTTTTTGGGGAAACCCCATCATGAGGTGGTGGAGGAGATGAAGTGGGTCAAGATGGCGGCTCCTGATGGACTTGTGGTTTCTGGAGGGGCCCAGCTGGTGTGGGTACCTGGGAGGAGCCACTCTCTGCTAACGTTCAACTTTGTCCTGGAGGTTTTGTCTCCTGGAGGGACCTCAACAGCGGCTCCTGGTACGTGGAGACCCTGGACCATGTCTTGGAGCAGTGGGCTCACTCTGAAGACCTGCAGACCCTCCTGCTCAGGGTGAGCATGGCCTTCCTCCTGGGAGGAGCGTGAAGGCGGCCGGGAGGGGCTGGTGGGGGTGAGCAGGTAAATCAGGTGAAAGAAGCTTGTGCCCTTAACTGCAGATAGCACTGCCTGCAGTGACATTTCCTTTTATTCAGAAGTGCTGCCAGGGAGTGCTCCTGGGAGGCCTCCAGGCTGACACCTCTTGCCCCCCCATCCATAGAGAGCCAGAGGCTGGGATGACTCAGTGGCTCATGCATGGACCCCGAAGACGGGTTGTGGGGCTCACCCCAGCATTCTCTGCCCCACTGCTTAGTCTTCCACTCTTGAACCTCAAGAATCTTCAATCCCTGGAGGATATCCCCTTCTCGGGAGGCCCCACTGAGGGACCAGGGAAGGATGGCCCGGGAGCGGCCCCACCTTACCCAGTGAAACCTCACTCAGGACAGCTGCGCCCCCCCCACAGGCCCCGCATGGGCCCCTTGGCTCTGCCCAGGTGTTCTGTGCCCTGAGAGCAGGTTGCGAGGGCAGGGCTTGTGCCTACCAATTGCGCAGCTGTGCCTGCAGAGGGGCGGGTAGAAGAGCAAGTGCAGGGCCCCCCTCAGCCACCTCTAGGGGGCGCCCCGGGCCGGGGCCTCCCGTATGTGACCTCTGAGGCCATGGGTTGCTGTGGGGGGCAGGAGAAATGGGTTCTGTTAGGGCTAAGCAGTGCACGTGCCCTTGGCCCCGTCTCTTCTCCCAGCGTCGCTCCCAGTGAACCTTTCAAACAGATTAGAACTTGGTGAATCCTTAAATTTTGAAATTTTGAGTTTTCTAAGCTTAGAGTTGAGGTGCTGCTCATCAGACTCCCCCTCAAGGGGGCGTTCCAGCTGTTTTTTCAAGGTGCTAATTCCCTGGATTGTCCCCCCCAGACCCTCTTTGGAATTCTTATTTCAGCCACGAGAACTCACACTCCCCCCTGGGGTCCTGTCTTCACAGGTCGCTGATGCTGTTTCAGAGAGAGGGGTTTTCAAGCAGATGCCTGGGTACTTTAATTTCCTGCGCAAAAAACTATTCTTTAAAACGTAAGGCAGCCAAGCCACTCCCCCTGCCTGACTTTCACCCCCAAACCTTCCTGCTCCAGGCAGTGGGGGGGGGGGCGGAGGCAACTCTTTCTCCACCGAAGCCCAACAGGCTCTTAACAGCTTCCAAACTGGGGGCAAAGACAGCCACGGAGGATGAGGAGCAGACACCACGGACATCACGGGGCATCTCACCAGTGGCCAGTCCCCTGTTGGGTGCTGTGGCTGCGACCTCGGTTCTCTGGAGCAGGGCTTCTCAGCCTGCGCCCTGTGGACATTTGGGGCCAGATTATCCTTTGTGTGGGCACCGCTCCTTGCACTGTCGGATATTTGGCAGCTTCCCTGCCTCACCCCACTAGATGCCAGTACTGCTGGAGGGAGAAGTGACCACCCAAAATGTCTTTAGGTATTGCCACATTTCCTCTGGCGGGACACCCCTGCCTCCCCCAACTTTTTGAGGACCCCTGATCTGTGGGACATTTTGGCTACAAACAAAGCAGCGTCTTTCTTAGATCAGCAAATTTGGGGTGGCTAGAGTCTGAGAGCAGAAAACTGTGAATCCTACATGAAGTTTTAAATTTTGTTAATTTTGCAGTATTGCAGTATTTAAAAAATAAATCATAGGTAAATATGGGCTCTTGTGCCTATTTCCTTCCCTCACACTACCCCCCCCCCCATTTTGCTCCAATTCTTTGCTCTTCCTTATAAAGGAGGCTTTTGCTTCTTTGGAACTATTTCCCCATCTCTTATTTCATTTGCACTCCACCCCATCCCAAAAGTGGAGGGGCGCAGCCAGGTGCCAGGGTAGGTTCAGTCGCTTGTCCCAGGAACCAGTTAACCAGTGGCCGGCCTGGATCTGTGGAGGCCACTTGTGCCTCCAGGTGCCTTCTTGGCTGAGCCTCAGTGGGATGTTGGGCTTCCCCAAAGTCTTGGGTGCTGTCCTGACTCCGGTCTATTCTTGCTTTTGGGGCCCTGGATGTCCCATGGATTGCTAAATAATGACTCTCCAAGATGTGATTCGTGTAGTTGTCACTTTATTATCACTGATTTCCTTCTGTGACCTTTCTGAGCCTGAAAAGGTCCCGGGGGGGCTGCTGGTGGTTAGTTATTTGCCATTGCCTGCAGGACACATACAAGGAGAGAATCAGGTTAACCGGGCAGAGCAGAGCAGCTTGGCTGTTTCCTGGCTCCCTGCCTCCAGCTCCGCGCTGCAAACTTGAACTAGCCGTGGTCTGCCGAAGCAGCTCTCACCCCGGGAGTTCGGACTGCTTGGGAGGAAAGGATGTTATCATGGCTTTGCAGTGACCTGCTCGGGGCTTCCTGTGAAGAGGGGACGTAGCCTGGAGTTCTAGCTTGGGAGGAGAGGCGTGCTGTGAACTCCAATAAATTATATGCCAAATGTGTGAATGGCCAGGTTTTTAGATTTTGTTTCTCGAAGAGATTGAGAGGTCTGAAAGTGTGACCACCATGGTTGTTTGCAAGACTCTGTTAAGCATTGTGTGTGTGTGTGGGGGGGCTGTGACCTGTTTTCAGCTGCATCTAGCAATGTTTAGAAACACTAAAATCTGCCCACCCCATGATGCTCCTGCATCTTTCTAGCACAAATACTTAGGCCGATGTGCAAGAATGTACATCCATTCCGTTCATAGCCACAACTGGATAGTGGAAAACAGGAAGCAGATGAGAGGTTCTGTCTTTATGTTGGTGCTACAAAATATTACTGAGCTGCTCAAAAGAATGACAAAGGTACATGGACACAGTGTAAACTGTGATTAGGTGTTAGGTGAAAAAATTGAGTTACAGAGCAGGATGAAGCGTGACATCTCACGTTTGTCTGGAAGACAGTGTCTGTGGATGTCCACAGATAGGTATTTCGTATGTGCACATCGGTCAAGTCAGAAGACCACACACACCACACTGTTAACCATGATTATCTCTGGGGGGGGTGGAACTGGAGATATGAAATGAGGGAGAGCTTGTACTTTTTCTTGTTACACTCCTCTGTTCTTTTAATATTTTCACAAAGTATGCACGACTTTTTAAAATAAAAGCTGGCGAATGTTGGTGAGTCATGTGTTGCTGTCTTTCAAAGAACATTTGTTGATGGGATGAGTGTCCTTGGCCACCTGTCTCCTCCTGTCACTTGCTACTCGTGCCTTTTATTCAGAGCGTCCTGACCTTGGCTTATCACCCGTCTAGCTTTGTCCCGGCAGGTGCTCCCAAGTGCCTGCATGTGGCTCCAGGCTGCACACAGCGTGCCCTGGGCTGTGACCACTGCAAGGTTTCACCAGCCCCTCTGCAGCTGCCGGGACAGCCTCCCCTGGGGGACAGCTGGTGGCTTGGCTTGGCCACTCCTGGGGCCCGTGACGGGGCATATGTGACTGCACTGGCTGCAGTCCCGGGGAACACAGGGCCTCAGCCCAGCTGCCTCGCCATGTTTATTTCCCAGCTCGATCCTCCTGACATCTGGCCTGCCTGTCGGCTGCGCCCTGCTCTGTGGCCTTGTGACTGTGCCTGGGAGCAGCTGAGGCTGGCACAGAACATCAGGACAACTGCCCTGGGCTCTGCTTTGGGCCCCTAGGTGCTGCCAGGACCAGCTGCCCCGCGATTCATACAGCAACAGAGGCTGGACAGGGACCCTCGGATTGTCTGGGAAAAGACCTTGAAGTGTCCTTCCATCCAGTCTTAAACGAGGCTCCTTTGAAGTGCTGTTGGCACCTCAAAGTTGGACTCAGATTTTCCTCTGTCAAATGGACTCTCAGCTTTTCTCCGATTTACCAAAACAAAACCAAAACCAAATCCAAAGCCTTTTAGCGAATGGTCACTCTTTTCCTGATTTTTTGCTTCCCTCCAATAGACTTTTCTGGAATCTCTGGTGCCTATGGCCACTCGTTGGCAAAGAAATGCCAGCAGACAGACAAATGAACAAGGAGCCGGCAAATATTAATGGGAACACTTGAAGGCAGCCACCTGCTTATTTTGACATGCCCATTTGACAGTGCAGTTTTCCTCCTGTGACCACATGCTTGTGGCTGAGCTTTCGTATCTGGTTTTATAACGGAGTGTCGATTTGATTCAACGGAACAGTTCTCTGCAAATTAAACCTAAAATAATGAAATCAGAAGCCAGCTTTCCCTTCTTTTGGGGCTCTGCCACCAACACTGCAACTCCCACCTGCTCTGTCTCCTAAAAACGTGGGGGAGGCCTGGTCTAGTTCAAATACCATTTTTTAGAAGAGCAAACTAAGGTGGTGGTGGGGTAGAGGGGGGTAAAAAAGTGCCCCCCAGTCGATGGAGAGTGTCTCCCTCTTCCCTTTTATCATCCACCAGGCCCAATGCCTCCTTCCCCCACCCCCACGTGGGCCCCCCAGACACCCCTCTTTCTGCCTGCCTTGTGATGACTCCACCACCTGCTGCTGATTGTATCCATGGCTGCTCCAAGATGGGTGCCAACTTTTTGTTTTAAATAAATAATTTTAATGGTTATTGTTATAAACAAATGTGTTCATTGGCTAAAAAAAAAAAAAGAATTGAGCTGTTGTGGACGCTTATGAGGTACTGGCTTGAGCTTACAGTAGAAAGCTCTCCGGGGACAACAGGAGTGGGGCCAAGTCAACTCCACCTGCCTGCACTGTCCCATCTAAGACGGAAAGTTCTGTGTCCCGGGGAACCACCTGTCCCGGGCAAACCGAGTCGGGGGGACCCTTTAGGAGGACTGATTGCTAATAAGTAAAGCTGTGGGAGGGGGTTTCAAACAATTAGGTTTTGGGATTTTCAGATAAATAAGACTATAGCATTGGATGGTGGAATTGGGGCCCACACAGAGATGAGCAAAAACACCCCTTGAATCCTAGGAACCCACTCTTAACACCTGAGGCACAGCCTTTGTTTCGAACTCCTTAGCCTGTGCTCTGTGTGCCTTTACACTCACTTTTACTCACACAGGTGTGCAACTTCCTCTCGGGCGCTCCCGCCCAGCCCTCAGGAGTGGGGTCTCAGACCCTTTGTGGGCATTGCCCTCAGGGGGCCCGAGCTCGGCCTCTGGGGCTCAGAGCTGGTCTGGTTCTTACCGAGTTGATCCAGCTGATGTAGTCGGACACGCGGGTGAAGACGGAGGGCTTGTGGTAGTAGTTGCAGCCCAGGGAGGACCCGAAGCTGACCACGCCGTGCACTTCCCACTTGCCGTTAGCCGACTGGCAGTTCAGAGGTCCTCCGGAGTCCCCCTGAGGAAGGCCAGGGTTCCGTCAGGAGGGACCTTAGGCTGGGTGAGGTGATGGGAGGGGCAGGGGCTGTCCACTGGGCTCCCGAGACTCACAGGTTTGCATGGACATTTCACCACAGGCCGCCATGTTCTCTGAGACCAGCTCTTGAGGCCCCAGCTCAAGATGGCGCCATACTACCAAGAGCTAACACTTAACTGTGCTGGGAACAGCCGAGCACCTCATTTGCCTTATTTCATTTTATCCTCATAACAACCGATGAGGTAAGTGCTGTTAGTATCCCTATTTCACACAAGAGGAAAAGCTGAAGCCCTCAGAGGTGGGGATTTGCACGGTGTTGGACAGGCAGTAGGTGAAATCACAGAGACCCAGAGTTAGATTGTCAGCCACCCCTGGGCATTTCCTCCCATGATGTGCAAGTTTCCTCAGGGCCAGTCTGTGTGGGCAGAGGCATGGGGGCACAATGTGGTCTGAAGAACAGGTGAAGTTCCTTTCTGCTCTGTCCTCACTGCTGCAAGGTCGACCACACAGCAAGTCCTTTGGGTTAAGGGATTGGCTCCAGGGAGGCTCTGTGGCTGCTGGCATGAGGGGTGCCTTGAGCCATTAATGGGATTAATTCAACAGGCAAACTTGAAGTCACCTTAGAAAGGCCCTAACCTAGAGATGGCAATGTCCCACTGGCTTCCATCCTTACATAGAGGAAAGATTAAGGATGATGATAACGCGTAAGAGGAAAGAGAGATGAAGGTAATGGCAGACCTCAGTGAGACCCAAGAAAGGACTTCCCACAGTGAAGAGAGTGGACACTACAATGAGAATTTCACAGTGGGGACTCAAATGCCTGGAGAATTTCCCAGTGCTCTTGCCAAGATGCTGAGGATGGACCTAGGACCCCAAGAGCCTCTCCCTGCCCCAGGCCCGGGGGCACCTGCCTGCCTGTACTCACGTTGCAGCTGGAGATCACGCCGTCACCCCCAGCACAGACCATGTTGGTCTTCACGGTGCTGCCCCACCAGCCAGGGCTGGAGCAGGTGGCGTAGTCCACGACCAGCAGCTTGCCCTGCTGCAGGATGTCAGGAGAAGCCCCGTTGGCTGCATGAGACCAGAGAAAAGGTGTCACAGGGACAAAAGGACTCCCGAGAACACAGGAAGTTGTGGACACCTACTGGGTCTTGCACTCTTACTTTGTGATCACTCTTACTTGACCCCACCCATAGGGTTACAAAGGGAGCAGCCATGTTTGTCTGTACTGCGTCCTCACAGTGGATTCGTGAGTGTTCTGGCCACTGGTCATTGGTCCAGGGGTGGACACCTGACTCAAGCTAAAACCAATGAACTGCTTTCCCTGGGAATTTGGGATTGGACTATGAAACCCCAGCCAGAGAGGGTGTAACTGGGGAATTATTGGCAGTGACTGCCCACCCCACCCTATCTTTCTTCTAAGAAGTAAAGAAGTCCTGAGAGAGGGTTTCCTGAATTTCTTGTAGTTTTCCAGACCCTGATTCTATCCAGTTCCTGAGTTTGTCTCTGCCCTGGTTGGCTCTGCCCTTGGTTGGCTCTTAAGTCCTTGAAACAAATCTTTTTTTTTTTTTTTTTTACCGAGCTAGCTCCATAGGTTTCTATCACTTACCTTAAATATGACCATGAGGGCCTCTCTGGTGGCGCAAGGGGTTAAGCACCGCACTGTGAAGCTATCCACAGCCTCTGCAGCACGAGTTCAATCCCTGGACGGCCAGGGAGCAACCCACATGACAAGGCAGACCCCTCTTGTCTCACCCGCTGCGCCCCCTCAGCAGTGTATTTCAGTAGCTCTGCCTGTTCTGCTCCCCACTCTGTCTCTGGTAAATCATCTCACCCCCTGCATCTCTGGCCTGTACCCCAGCTCTTGCATGCATAAATAAATAAATCTTTTTAAAAAAATAAGACCATGAACCTGCTGGCCATTGGGGCCCCAGGTTGTGATAGGAAGGTAGAGTTTTCCTAACATCCCCCCAAGGACACTGCACCATCACCCCCATTTCTATCACCACTGCACTGAGGGCGAGGATGAGCAATATTGTAATTCTTCATTTGTGCTTTATTAGACATTTCAAAATGTGCTAATCCTCACAGTAAATATTCAGTCCTATTTGACAGAAGGGGCACGGAAGCCCAGCGTGGTTGAGTAGCAAGCCAAGACCATGCTTGTTAATAAGGAGTTAGTACTTGTACAATATTTCACATTATATAAAGAATTTTTGCATCTCTTTTGCCATCTTATAAAACCTTTGCCAACTGTATTTCCATTTTATAGATGTGGAACTGAGGCTCCAAAGTGGTGTACCCAAGGTTAATGACCAGCAGAGCTGGGGCTAAGAACCAAGCATGGACCCCGTTCCCTGGCTCCCTGCCTGGGATCTTCGGGATAAATGGACCCCTGGCTGTGCTTGTATCTTGATAAGCACGAGACCTCCTGTGGCTCACTTTGCGGAGTGTCCACTTGTCTTTGTTTTTGCAGAGAAGCCCGTCAAGAGGGCGCTGTTCAGTTATTTGAGGGGGTATGTGTTAATGTGCCCCTGGAGAAACGTGTCACTTATATTTATCGGTTTACATCATTACAAAAAAACCACTCATCGGCATGAGCCTTGCTAGAATCTTCCAAACCTCTGGTGATTTTACTTTCTTTCTCAGTGGCCTGCTGTCATTAGATCTCTAACCTCTGGGGCTATGTCAAAAGAAGACTCACAGGCAGCCAGGTGCTAAGCAGCAAGATCAGGTGGCACATGGGGCAGGTACACTTTGATGCGGGGAGAGTCTGATGAGGACCCAGAAGCCTGAGGTCAAGAAGTGAATCCTGTTCTGCACTTTCACCTTGGGTCATGCAGAGGCCCTTCTTAGCCAGATGTCATACAGCTTCCATAGCTCTCCTTCACCATAGCAACTGTGACAACTAACACACAGCACCCACTATGTGCCAGGCACTGGCCCAAGTGCTTCCCATAGACTATCTCCCTCAAACCTCTCTCAACAACCCTGTGATGCAGGTGCTTTATAGCGTCCCCATTTTACAGATGAGGAAACTGAGGCTGAGTAATGTGCCCAAGGTCACACAGCTAATAAGTGAGGTGCCGGGATTTGAACCAAGGCAGTCTGATCTCTTATCAGTACACAATCCTCCTTCCTGGAGGCAGCTGCCATTTCTCCCAAAACCCTGGGATGATGAGTGTGGAGAGACCCCCTGCCTGGAGAGGGGTGACATCATCTCCCTCTCCTCCCAAGCCCCCAAGCCTTGGGGCCCCAGCACCCACTTACTCTGCAGTCTTCCCCAGCCAGTGACGTAGCAGGCGAAGTTGTTGGGCAGAATGGAGCCGGCGGCTGGGAGGCAGGCCAGCTGGATCTTGTCAGAAAGGGCGACAGGGCTGGCCAGCTTGAGCATGGCGATGTCGTTGCTAGGTTGGTGAAGAGAGACGCAGCATAAAGACTTCCTGCCCCAACTTTATGTCCGATTTCAGCCCTGGCTGGAATCCCTGAACGCCTGTGTGGCCAGCCTGTGACTCTCCCTTCTGTTGGGGCTACAAGGGATTAGGAGGGCAGCTCTGGTTAAACCCAAGATTGCATTTTGCCCAGGATGGTGCTCGGAGTCCTAAATTCCTCCAAGATCTTTCAGGGAAAATGTTTAGAACAGGGAGAAAGTGGGTTTTCAAATTTCAAATTTTACAAATTGTCAGGCAAGTTTGCCTCTTCTCTGCTATCTTTTAAACCTTTGCCAACTCTTATTTCCATTTTACAGATGCGGAAACTGAGGTCTTGCAAAGGCCACTAGGACAGACGAGTCAGATGGAGCTGCCTGGCGGGCTGGGTTCTGAGGTTCTCTTCAGCGTCAGCAAGGAGCACAATCCGCGATGGCTGGTGGTGACCAACCGTCACTAAACAGTATTCAGAGCTAGAGGTTCGCTTATACCTTCATTCCACAAATATTTGCTGCACACCTGCTATGTGCTAGAACTAGGGAAGCAGTAGTGAGTGAGACACAGAGTCCCAACCCTATTAGGTTCAGGGTAACCCCCCAAACTGAACTAAACTCACGTTGCTCCCACAAACACAGTCACTCCCCATGACCCAGTGTCTGCCAGGCCAACTCAGCTAGGCTGGTAGGTTGGGGATGGCCCACCCTCCCGGATTCCTTGCCAGTGAGCTCTCTGCCAACCCAGGGGTCTATTCCACCATCACACATGCTCACTCTTCATGCTCCCTGGTGCAGGTTCTGTGCTCAAATCTTCTCTGGCATCAGGAGGTATTGCCTTCCCCGGGCCCACCCCATGGGGGTGGGAACTGGTGGGCAGCAGTGGGAGTTGATTCTGCCAGACCTTCCTGTCTCCTTCCTCTCCCTCCCCTGCTACCCCCACCTGGCTGGATGCTTCCTGGGACCACTCCCCACCACCTCGAAAGTTCCAGCACATCCCAGCGCTTTCTTCATCACACTGTTGCTGTGTCATTCCTGCAGCAAGCTCACCCCCGTGGCTTCTGTGGTGTGTCAGGCACTTTCTTAAGTGCTTGACATATATTATCTCATTTAATCCTCACAACAGCCTTAGAGTAGGGGCTGTTATTGTCCTCACTTTACTGAGGGGGCAACTGAGGCACTGCAAGGCTCAGAGACGTGTGCAGGGTGACACAGTCGTTACTCATATGCAGGCAATCACGCTCCAAAGGCTCAGCCCCTCACCACTACCCCACAAGTTCTGGCTGCCACGTTTAGGTTCCTGAACTCCTGAGAGCTGGCACCGCAGGGCCAGAGCCCAGTGAGGCATCTGGTACATAGGGGAGTCAGTAAAAGCCTAGAGGTGGGCATGGGTGGTACAGCACAGAGCCCAGGTGCTCATTTCAGAGGAAAGGTGGGAGGTGGTGGCATCCCCTAAGAGCAACAAATCACAGAGGTTTGGGAAGACATGCCTAGATCCTCAGGGTGTGGCACAGAATAAACACATGGCCAGTGAGGGCCCAGTGGACGGGAGACCCAAATAACTTTGACAGCCCTTGTCCTCCCCTCCCCCAGCTTGCCCTTCCACCTCCCCAGGCATCTTTGGGGCTGGTTCCACTTCTAAGGTGTCAGAGCTCCCCCTACATCCACTGAAGGAGCAGAGAAGGAGGTGGGATTGCACCCCTGGCCTTCTACTGATACCCCCGCGACTGCGCCCCTGCAAACCGCCGCCCCCCGCCCGGTGCACCCAGACAGAAGTTACCCTTGGGAGAGCAGGCTGGGGTTCCACTTCTCATGCACCACGAGCTTGGAGACACTGATGGCCTGGGAGCCGGCCTCGTTGGAGGAGAGGCTGTGGCGGCCCAGCACCACACGGTAGGTCCGGGAGGAGCTGCGAGAGAGGGGGCCAAGAGCAGAGGTCAGCTCCGGGCTGCCCTCTCCTCTCTGGCCTCCCATGAGCAAGAAAACCCCAGTACCCCGAATACAGAGGCCTGGCTTTGGACAATGCTGGGATGGGCCCAAGCAAGTGACTGAAGTTGGGACTTGGGTCTTTTTCTCCCCCAGGGACAATGGGTTGATTATAATAATATACGCCTGTAACAGACAGCAGGTCCTCAGAGAATGTCATTTTGTTCAATGCCACTTGGCCATAATGATTAAAAAATAAAAAATCCCAGTCCATATTGAATGAACCATTATCTAGGACCTGGTTTTGCTTAAAGCCATATTTTCTAATAGTCTCTTGATGTTAAGTGAGAATTTACTGTGTAGTAATTATAGCTCTACTACATTAAATAGAGACTAGAACAGAAAACAAAAGTTATAATAAGATGATGATAATATTATAATAATATTATAGCAGCTTGTTCTCAGCCAGGCTAGAGGTTATTTGAAAGGCTCCTTTATAAGGGGTCGTTTGGGTAATTTGGGCTCCAACTCTCGGAGGTGAGCACTGGCTGGTGCAGGGAGAGTGCAGGGTGACCGGGCGCGGCATTACCTGATGCAGTGGGCAGCGGTCATGACCCAGTTGGTGGCCACCAGGGACCCTCCGCAGGTGTGACGCCACTGGCCATTGTTGTTGTACTGCAGGGAGACCTGGGGAGAAGGGTGAGGGTGCTGGGTCCTCTGACTGTAGGACCTCTTTGCCTTTCAGCTTCCCCAAGAACAGGCCTAGGTAAGGGGTGTGAGGCCCTTGCCTTGGGCGCCAAAAGCTCAGTCATGAAGATCAACAACATTTTAGTGCGATATTAAAAAAAGAAAAATTAACATAAAAATCCATGATGAACAAGAGAGCAAAATTTTAAATAATGCAGTATTCAAAAATAAACTTCATTTTGAACATCTTTCTGCAACATGATATGTTGGAATTTTCCCTCCTTAGGGGCTATTAGGACATACCCCTCCCACCTGATACATCTAAAGGGAAACTCTTGATTGTCCCCTGAGGGATATTTTTGTAGGTAGCATTGATTAATTCTCAATGCAAGAGTGACATCTGCGGGCGTCCCTGGTGGCGCAGGGTTGAAGTCTCAGCAGGGATGAGTTGGATCCCCAGCCAGGGAGCTGACCCACAGGGCACAGCAGACCTCTCCTATCTTGCCCGCTGCTCCCCTCAGCAGTGTATTTCAGTGAATCCACCTGTTCAGCTCCCTATTCTGTCTCTGGTGAATCCTTTCAACCCTGCACCTCTAGCCTATACACCAGTTTTTGTATGCATAAATAAATCTTAAAATTTTTTTTAAAAAAGAGTAACATCTGCTATGGGGGGTATCCGGCCCCTCTCCCCACTTCCTGGAGAAAAAAAAATGTTATGGGCATGTAAGAAAAGCAAAAGAACGGGCAAAAATGCATAGAATCATGTATATGAATTGATGAATTGTGAACTATCAGTCACCATTCTACGAATGAAGCTCTCAATGCGGGGAAGATAAACGGCTGCTGTGAAATTCTGACAGCTACACGGGGGTGCCATGAACACTCACAGCCATTGCCTAAGTGTAAACTCACCCTCAACTCAGACTTTTGTCCCCAAGTCTATTTATGACAGTTGTTCTCATATTGCAAATAAATAAATTAACTAAACGTGAAACCAAAAGAGAGTTGTGGTGTATATGAAGTCTAAAGTGAAATGCTTGGAAGGAATTGGGTAACTGTGACTTAAAAAAATTATTATGAAATTAGATGTTTTATGAGAAAGTTGAAAAGTTGGGGGAAAAAATCATAAAAACCCAGATTCTTCATGAGTGTCCCAAAGTTATTCTCTGATTTAAAGAAAAAGCAATTGTAAATGATATATAGTGTGGTTATGCAAGAAAGACAGTTCAGAGTATAAAAGATCGGTGAATGAATGTATAGTGACAAGTTTTAAGTGAAAAAACAGTATTTAAAGGGCATGGGTGATTTCTAAAAATTTCTCTGTAACCAGCTTGTCAATTTTTAGTTTCAATCAAGTCAGTTATGAGAGATTTTACTGTATTTATGTCAATGGAAGCCTCATGTATTCCTTTTGGGGATCCTACTAACTAGCACTTCCTAGTAATCTGTCCACAATATCACTCTGGTTATTTCAAGGTAAGGAAACATTCCCTTTCATTGGCAACATTGATTTGCCTATAGTTAAGAAATAATTTGCATCCACAGCACTGATTGGTTCCTTAAAGCAAGGAATAGTTGCATAGGTGATGATGAATGGTTCATAGAAGAGCAGTAGGTTTGTAAGTAAGCATCCGATTGGTTATTGGAATAAGGCTCTGTCTGAACTTATGTGTATGGGTAGAGAGTGGGGTGGTATAGCTCTTCTATCACCTCCAGCGTTGACCAAGCCCACTGAAATATATCTTACTGGTGAATTTTTCTATCCTCATTCTTGGCAATAGTCTCCAGGGTGGAGGGCAAAGTGGATGATGTGGACAGAGGGGTAAGAAGTAGGACGTTGGTGACTCACCTGCCAGGGCCAGCTGTTGGGCCTCACATTTTCACCTCCAACCACCCTGGAGAGGTTGGGCACGTACGTGGGGAGCCCACAGCTGAGAGCTGCGAATACAGAAAGAGTTGTGAGTCTAGGAAGCAGTGATCCTGACGATGTGACCTACACTTGTTGCATTCCCAAACCCCAAATGGGGCATCCTTGTTCTGGAAGCATTCCAAGAGGTCACAGAGCTCTACCTCTTTGGATTTCATTCCAGCTTTCTCAAAACCACCAGACTGAGTTCAAGGGGGGCAGGAAGGTCCCATGCCTGTCCCACCAGGGACTAGGCAATTGCCTCTGGATGACAGGGCTTACCTCCAGCCACCAACGCGGACAGCAGGATGGCCCTGATCATGGTGTCTTCGTACAAGTCCTATAAGTGTGACCTCGGTCAAAGCCTTGTTTTTATGAGCGGGCTTATCAGCCTGAGATAGACGAGCAGTTCACAAGATGGAGATTTTCTCAAAGCTCAGTGGAAAAAAGGGATGTGTTCAAATATTTTTTTTTCTATTTTCTCACACTGGTCACTGGAAATACTTTGAAAAAATGTCAACATACAGCAGGGGAGGGGGGCAGGAGCGGGGTCAAAATGGGAGGAGGAGCACAAGGCACTATGGTGATGGTACACGGGTACTGTGGGGGTGGGAGAATTGGGGGGATTATACCTGAGGGGAGAAATCAAAATTGTACAAAAATGAACAATGATATAAGAGAATAAAAAAAAACACCAAAAGAATAATAATATAAAAAAAGAAAGAAAAAGATGCCAAAAGTAGATATTGAAATATGGATTCTACCTGCTTTTACAAGATTAGGTTATATGTTGGTTGTTTTTCATTGGGGTTTTCTTTTTTTTTTTTTAAAGATTTATTTATTTATGCATACAAGAACTGGGGTACAGGCCAGAGAGGCAGGGGGTGACAGGATTCACCAGAGACAGAGCGGGAAGCAGAACAGGCAGACTGACCAAAACACATTGCTGAGGGGAGAAGCAGGCAAGACAGGAGAGGTCTGCTGCGCCATGTGGGTAGCTCCCTGGCCGGCTGGGGATTGAACTTGTGCTGCAGAGGCTGCGGATAGCTTCACAGTGCTGTGCTTAACCTCTTGAGCCACCAGGGAGGCCCCCTAATCTGAATGTTCTAAAGAGGAAATATGGTTTTGAGTGTTACAGCTTGGACAAATCACTTATTTTCTGGGTCTGTGTTACCTACATAACGATCCAGTTTTGGAAGGCAGGATTATTATACAGGTGAGAAAATGGGTGTGAAAATTTTGTAAGTGCTCAAGGCTCACGAGAAGCTAAGGGAGATTGGGGTGCAGAACACTTTTGGACTGAATGCCAGAACACCTGTGTTCCAGCCCCACTGCACCCCTCACTCCAGTAACAGTTTGAACACTTGTTTATCACCTAGGGCAGTCACTTCAAGAATAAACTATTTCTGAAGTCTCCTACTTTATCTTAAAATTTAAGTGAATTTGGCATTCAGCTCCACAAAGCTGTTTGTTTTAATATAAAAATAAGGTTTGCCCTGGATGAGGTCACTGAACAAATACCACTTTGGTGCATGCTATGGGCTTGTGGTGTGACCTTGGGCAGGTCACACAGGCTCTCTGGCCCGGGGTTGCCCATCTATAAAAGGGACAGGGACATATTCCTGGTCTGTTTCACCACACCGCTGTGATGATTTGAAAGGGACAGAAAACTTCATCAAACAGATTTGAATCAAAGGGTCATTGATTTGACCACAAAATGAAAAAGTCCAGGAACAGTGTCAGCTTCAGGCACAGTTGGATCCAGGGGCCTGATGAATGTCGCCAGGACTCAGCTTTCATCTACCTCTTGCCTCTGCTTCCCACTGTGAGGGTCCACTCTCAAGCTCCATGTAGTAGTCTGCAGCAAGTCCAGGTTCCCCCTTCCGTGGGAATAAGATGGCACCACGATCTCTGGGCCAGGGCTCCCCACTTGGGGTACTATGGGCACTTTGGGGGATGATTCTTTATTAGAGGGCTGCCCTGTGCATTGTGGGATGTTTGGAAGCCTCCCTGGCCCACACTGGATGCCCGGAGACCTTTCCTTTCTCTCCAGGTCACAGCATTGAGAAATATCTCCACACATTGTCACATAGACCCTGGGGAGCAAGATCACCCCTTTTTCCCTGTGCTCCCTCCATTTCGCTGTTGCAGCCTCACATCCCCTCAAACCCAGCTGGAACAGAGAGCTGGTCTGGTAGGGGCCCCACAAGTCCTGCAACAATCTGATTGGGTCTGCCCCAGGTCACATGCCCATCCTTAAACCAAATGAGGTGGTGGGGGAGGGAGTGCAATGTATCGACTGGTCAGCCCTGAGCACAAGGCCCTCTGCAGATGGGAGCATAAGGCCCCACAGCAGTAGAGGAGGCTGCCATTGAAACAAAACCCCAGGCGTTTGGAGAGGGAACAGGGCTGGGCAGGCAGAGGGCAAAGAGCGGCTGCAGCCCACTTCCCCCTCTGGGGCTCAGTTCCCCATTTATACGTTGTGGGAGGACAAGGCAATGTGTGAACTTCTGAGCTGGGCTGGGTCCTTGGTGTCCGTGGGGGCAGGGAGAGGCAGATGCACCTTTCTCATGGGTTGATGACACATTCAGAAATGATTCCCGGGAGGAGACAGAGACCCCAGCCATCAGGAGCTCAGTTTGATGCCAGGGCTTCTGCGCAGGGTCCCTGGCTTGGCTCTTTGCTGCTCAGAGAGAGGTGCTCCAGGAATAAAGGAAATCTCATTTAAAATAGACCCTGGGGGGCCTCCCTGGTGGAGAAAGGGTTTAAGCACAGCACTCTGAGGCAATCTGCAGTGCGAATTCGATCCCCTGCGGCCAGGGAGCTACCCACATGGTGCAGCAGACCTCTCCTGTCTCGCCCGCTGCTCCCCTCAGCAGTGTATTTCAGTCAGTCTGCCTGTTCTGTTCCCCACTCTGTCTCTGGTGAGTCCTCTCACCCCCCGCACCTCTGGCCTGTACCCCAGCTCTTGTATGCATAAATAAATAAATCTTTAAAAAAAATAGAATCTCGGGCTTGTGGGGCGCGCCCTCACCCATTACCTCTAGATGTTAATTATAGACCCCAGCAGGAAGGATCCTCAATTACAAACACTAAAAGGAAGAATCTTGTTACCTCACCAACAGGAAGAGAAAGTGACCCTACAGGAGAAAGATTTCTTCTTTCCTAGCAAGCCCGTCACCACCCTGAGCTCTCATTTGCCACCAGTGGACTTTCATTTAAAACAACCTCCCATCCTCCCTCATGTTGCTGAGAGTCTCTCTGGTTTTTGCTGTACCTTGTTCTGAACTGCAATGACAATTCCCCAGCTATTCCCAAATAAACCCGTTTTGCTGGTAAAGTAATGGTGGTGTTATTTTTTCCATCATCAGTTGTCTGGACCAAGAGCATCCCATCCAGACCCGCTGACTCAGCTCTGCCGTGGAACAAGCCGCCCAGGTAAATCTGCTCCTTAAACGTTGAGAGGATTTGGGCTGCAGCTGGTTTCAGCTCTCTTTCCCTCGTTTTCTTCACCTATCAAATAGAAACAATAGAAATTCCATCTGTTTGTTAGAATCAAACAGGTTATTTCCCTTAAAACACTGGGCATAGTAAATGTGCAGTAAAATGTTCACTTCTAAATCCTTAGCTCTGTGGATTTCAGGTATCAGAAGAGCACAGAATTCCTCAGACTTTTCCATCAAGGAATCCTGGTAGATCAGATATTGGCAAGTTTTTTCTACCAGGGACCAGACAGCAAATATTTTAGGCGGTGGGCCATACGGTCTCTGTTGTTGCTAAACCCTAAAACTAAACTCTGCTGTTGCAGTGTGAGAGCAGCCATATGGCATTGCCGTGTTCCAATAAAACTTTATTTACAAAACAGAATGGGCTTGCTGGCTCTAGTTTGCAAATGATCCGGGGTCTAGCTGCAGCAGTCACCCAACAGCAAAACATATCTGGAGTCTTATTTCTTCAGCTGGAAAGCTTCATTTGAATTTTGCAGCTTACATCATAACCTAGCTGGGTTTAATATAATTTTTTTTCTTTCCATCCAATCTGCACAGAAAATTAATGCTTTGGGAAGATGCTTGTGTTTATTCTCCGCCTTCACAAGTGTCCCTGGTCCACTACCCTGTGAAGGATTGCAGACATGGGTGCTAATTGACAAGAGCATCGGGGAACTGCTGGGACTGAGGCTACTCTCCTAAGGAACAAAACAGGGAGGGAAGAGGTTTGCTATTAGGAGTCCAGCGTGTGAGGTCAGTCGAGGTAATGGCTCCTCCTATTCACAAATCTGTTATTTCACTGGTTCCCAACAGGGAGGGAGGGAAGGCAGGTGCCCGTTTTACAGATGATGAAATAAAATTGAGAAGTGACTCAGCCACTACCTGTTGGTGGCAGAGGTCAGAGCTCTCAGCCTTCCCGTCTGCTGGCCATAGTTTATTCTGCACAATCTATGCTGTTGCTCCTGTCTGGGATTATGTGGGTTTGGCAATTGCTTCTATGGCCCTGATTCTTAACGCCTCTCTGCATCCACACCTTTACCGTGGCCCTTTGCAGTGTCTTCCCAGGAGAGGTGACAGACATGTGAAGCTGAGTGGCTTCAGCCAGACCCAGACTAGGTCAGCCAACCCCACCCTCCCAGATGTGTGAGTGATTCTAGTCCAAATCGGTGGGGCTGCCTAAGTGACCGCCAACTGACCCCGATTGTGAGCAATAAATGCTTGTCACTGATGTCTCTCTGTGTGTATGTGTGTACGTGCGTGTGTATGTGTGTGCGCGCGTGGACGCTGTAGCGTGGTTGGTGGTTTTGTAGCATTTTTTGTTATTGCAGCAGCAGCTGATTTGGGGTGAAAGATCTTTGTGAGCCTCTGTAAGCAGGAATTCTGTCGGGTTTCTGTCCGCTGGGGTTTGTTGCCAGCTTCGCTCAGGCTTGTCAGAACATCCTCGCTGGCAGAGCCCCCAGACTTCACTGTGTGAGGGGGTCCTTAAGATTTGGGGCTTAATGGCAGCAAACGTGGTGGTTAGTCTCGCAGGCTCTTGCGTCAGACTACATGGGCTTAAATCCCGCGCGATCATGGGTAAGTGTCTGAGCTCCTCTGAGCCTCAGTCTCCTCATCTGTCATGAGGGCTGTAGTGAGATGAAAGGCAGTCGTTGATGTGAAGCCCTCGATGGTGCCTGGCACGCAGGGTACCTAGTGCTCAGCACACGTTAGCCAGGGAGCCTGCGGCAGACATGAGGTGGTTTCTAGTGGGTCCTGAGCACGAAGGGCCCTCAGCCCCCCAAGTCAGGGGTTGCCCTGCCCAGGCAGACGGTGGAGGTGAGAGGATCAGAGCCTAGCTGTCCGCTTTCCTTTGCTTCCAGTCACTGGTTTGTGACCACTTGGTCAAAGCCCACAAATCCTTGCTGTACCCCACCTTTCCCATCCCCAGATCCCAGGGAGTCCTCTTGACCCTTCCCTTTCCTTCCCACAGCAGCTCTGCTGTGCTCTCTGAATTGTGTCAGCAGGGAGGCGGGAGGGTGTATTAGTTTCCTGATGCTGGTATAACAAATTACCACAAAGGCTGTGGTTAAAACACGCACATTTATTATCTTACAGAGCTGGGGAGGCCAGAGGTCCTTATCAGTCTCACTAGGCTAGTGCAGGGCTGGTTTCTTCTGGAGGCTCTAGGACAATCCCTTCCCTTGCTTTTCCCACTTTCTAGAAGTGGCCAGCATTCCTTGGCATGCGGCGCCTTCTTCCATCTCCAAAGCCAGCCGTGTAACATCTTCAAATCTCCTGTCTCTACCCCCTGCTTCTGTCCTTACATCTCCTCTGACCCCGAGTCTCCCCACCCTACATAGGGGTTTGCCCTGCCCAGGCAGACGGTGGAGGTGAGAAGATCGGAGCCTAGCTGTCCGCTTTCCTACCCTTTAAGAAGGACCTTTGTGATTACACTATGCCTCCCTGGATGATCCAGGACCCTCTCCCCCCTCTCAGAGCCTCCCATTAGTCTCAGCTGCAAAATCATGTTTGCCAAATAAGTCACAGGTTCTAAGGATTAGGAGGAGGGCGTTTTTGGGGGCCTATTATTCTGTCTACCACAGAGAGGCATCCCCTCAAACACAGCAGGGGATCTTGTCTCTAAACCTAAGAATTTTCATCCCTGTTGAATAAACAGATCTGCAGCATCTGTTTCATAAGCTAATAAAGTTTTGATAATCTAATCCCATTCCTACAAGCTTATGTAGATTTGGGACCTGGATCTGCCACTCAGTACACAGACCCTCTTAAATAATCACTGAATTCATTGTTTCTGATGTGCTGTACCTCTTCTCTCCATCACATCATTGCCTTGGCCGGGACTACATTCACTTTGGCCTAAACGACTGAAGTAGCCTAATCCACTGGGCCTCCCTGCCTCCACTCTGCCTACTCCCTACAGCTGTTAGAGGAAGCTTTACTGCGCACATCTGATCACTGCTCTCTCTCTCTGAAGCCCTCTATGGCTCCCTGTTGCTCTGAGAATAAAGTTTGAACAACTCCTTACCATTTTTAAGGGGCTTTACCCACTTTCCAGCCCCACTGAGACAGGAATGGCTCAGAGTCTGGAAAGACTGTCAAACATTTCTTTGACTCATTGTTTTTATCAATAACTTTTTTTTTTTTTTGCAAGACATGCATTCTTGCACTATCTCAACAGCTCATTGTTGCATTCCCTTGCAGCTGGAAGGATGAGGCTGAAGGATGCTGAACCCTAACAGGGCAGTGCAGCACTAGGAGCTCGTGCAGGACAGCAATGCCCAAAGGAGTAGCCTGGGACAGAGGATAATACTAAAGTCCTGCCTCTGGGTATGCACGGCAGCTGCACAGAGAAACACTCCAGTACTCCAGGAGGAAGACGCCCAGATGTGAGTTGCCTTGTTTGCTACTTGCCTTGAAGTCTGTACAACCAGGCAAAGCCTTTGCTTGGGGAACCTCTTTCTAGAGGATTCTCCCCGGAGCTCTGTCTCTTGCTCTGTAGCTTACAAAAGCCCCCAGTGCTCTCTCCTCTGCTCCGTGTCTCACGTCCTTATTACATTCTTGAGCGTGGGTCTCACCAGAGGCAGTCAATAACCTCTTCCCGGTAAGGCCATCACACGGCCCTCCCTGCCAGGTCACCAGTCATCCCACCGTGCCTGGGCCTCACCCGTTTTCTCACAGAAAGTACCAGGTCCTGCTACCAGGACCAGTGGCCCTCTGACACCCACCTGGCATCTTAGGGTCTAGGGACACAAGAAGCTTAGTGTCCTCTTCCCGGTGGTGGCTATGACTTTGCTCAGGCTCTTCCCACAGCCAGGATCCCTTCTGTATCCTGGGGTATCAGGTAGGAGTGTGCTGAGCTGCAAGTAACTGATCACCTGAGTGCACTGTTTAAAACACATGCAAGTTTACTGTTTGTGTATACTAAACCCTTCAGAGACGTTGCTGGCATCTGTAACTTGATGGTGTCAGAGCTGGTCACACAGTGGCCACATCAGCTCTGCACCTGGGTCCATATTCATTTTCAGTGCAGGGCAGGGAGCATGGTGGCCAAGCGCATGGACTTTTTTTTTTTTTAAGATTTATTTATTTATTTATGCAAGAGCTGGGGTACAGGCCAGATCCGCGGGAGGGTGAGAGGATTCACCAGAGACAGAGCGGGGAACAGAACAGGCAGACTGATGAAATACACTGCTGAGGGGAGCAGCGGGTGAGACAGGAGAGGTCTGCTGTGCCATGCGGGATTCTCGCTGGCTGGCCGGGATCGAACCCACACTGCAAAGGCTGGGGACAGCTTCACAGTGTGGCGCTCAACCGCCTGTGCCCCCAGGGAGGCCCAAGCGCATGTACTTTGGAGCCAGGTGACCGAAGTCTGGATCCCGGCTCTTCCTAACTTGACAAATCACTAACCCTCTCTGACCTCAGTTTCCTCATCTGTAAACTGGGGGTGATGTTTGTAACAACCTACTCAGAGGGTTATTTTGGGGATTAAGTGAGGGAATACATGTAAAACCTGCCGAAAGTGCCTGCCACATAGTGATGCTCAGTACGTGTGAGCTATTATTTCATTATTAGAGCTGCAAGGGGCCTAAGGATAGGAAGTATTTAGCCTCTCAACGTCCAGTTTAGAGACAGGCTCTGAGGGGGCTGGCATGACATCTGGGTCAGGCAGTACCTTCTGTGCTTGGGGACCTTCCACTCTAATGCAAAGAGTCAGCGTGGGCATCTGCACCTCCAGGAGCCCATCTCGATTCCTCCTGCCAGTGGACACTGGCTTAAGTGTCCCTTTTCTGTGTTCCTGATCTGCATTCCTGCCCTCATACTTATGCCAGGGAACTCGGAGCTCTGTTTAGGGGTCTGGATTCTGCAGAGCTGGGATTTTGTCTGAACCATCCCTGGGTTCCCAGGGCAGAGCTGGGGCCTGGGTTTTGTAGCTGCCATTGCTTGTTGAGCAGATAAAGTCCTTCCTGAGAACAGGCTTGGCATAGAAATGTGTGGGGGCTCACCATGGTCCCCACCTCCTGGAGCCCACATCTGATGGGGAAAGTGTCAGTTCATAGACCAACCAGAGGCAGCTGTAGTCAAGGGCTCTCCCAGAGGAGCTCAGAGACTGGGGCAGATCACTCCAGACCAGGACCTCTAAGGTCAGGGGTGGGGGTACCCCCATGGACTGTCCCTCATTCGACACTGGGCCATTCTCTTTGTTGGCGCTCTTTGCCCTCTAGTCAGCCTCAGAAGGCTCCCTTTCCTGAGTGTCTGTGGCTCAAGCATTGCTGGCCATCTATTCCTGTGACCTGGCCTGGTTCTTTCCTCTCCCTGGATCTGCCTGCACCTCTTAAGATCTGGACTGGGGTCTCCTCCTCCTCCTGTACCCTGACCATCCCTAGCACTGGGCTGGTGTGAGGTCAGGGCTCACGAAACACTTCCCATCCTAGGAGCCCAGACTGACATCAGCCCTGGTGTCTGCTCTGGGTGAGGGCTGCATCAGAGCTGTCCTAGGGCTGAGGGCACCCTCCTGCGGCCTGACCCTCCAGGCTGGGGAGCTGTCCTTGGGGAGACTCCACCTTCCACTGCAGCTGGGGGCCCTGAGGAGTGGGCAGAGACCTCTGTGGAGGCAGGATCAGAAAGAGGGTGACCTGATTGGGGCCACAGCAGTCCACAGCTTGTGACATGTTGGGGTCAAGTGTCTGATGAGTCCTTAACTCCTATCTCCCAGGCACCACGTGATCCTGACATCCAACCCTGGGACTCCTCCAGGGTCCCTTTGCCCTGGCTATGGAGTCTCTTCTTGCATCCCTGGAGTAGACAAGCCCACCCCCTCTGCCCCGCCACACCTCCCTGGCCCCAGAGAGCTCAAACCCACAGGGAGGTGCAAACAAGAATCCAGTCAGCTTGAGGGGGAGGAAGTTTATTGTTGCGGGGCTGGCAGCACAGAAGGTTGACTCACAGCAGCATTTTCTGGGGAAAAAGAAAACAGGGTGAGGGACTCTGGGGTGTGCCCCTATCTGCAGCAGCGCAGGGCTTGACCTGGAGCCCCGGCAGGTAGCATGGGGCCTTGACAAGGCAGCTAGGCTCTGCTATGGTGCTGAGCCCCCTCCACATTTCAAACCACCATGCAAATGAGGTTCATAACACACCCTCCCCAGTATGTGAACCCCCAGCTCAGAGGAACTCTGTTTCCCCACCCCCAAGATATGTATGGTGAACCACTGGGCCCTGCTGTCATGGGGCAATGATTTTCTTTTGGGGGGCACTGTATGGTGCCTGGGATCAGGGCATAAATATTGCTGAAGCCAGTGGATGACTGGGTGGAGTTAATGAACTTCACTGCATGGGACTCAAGGCCTGAATACAGTAAACACTCAGTGCTTCCTGAATGAGTGAGTGAGAGGATGTGTAAGTCTGTGAATGAGCCAGTGACCGAACCAGCAAATGAATGAGTGAAGGAGTAAATGAATGAATGAGTGAATAAGTACATGAAGTAACCAGCCAATGAGTGAATGAATGAATGCATGCATGCATGCGTGAGGGGGTGAGTAAAGGGGGGTGAGGCTGAGGGGCTGGCAGGTGTAAGATGGAGGAGCGGGCAGGCACCCACCTGGTTGATCCAGTCGATGTAGGCAGACACGCGGGTGAAGACGGTAGGCTTCTTGCGGGTGTTGCAGCCCAGCCCGGAGCCGAAGCTTACGATGCCCCGCACCTCCCAGGAGCCGTTGGCAGCCTGGCAGTTCAGTGGGCCGCCAGAGTCCCCCTGTGCCAGAAGGGCAGGTTAGACACTGGCTTCCCCCGGGGCAGCCAGGTGCGCATGGTGCCCCCGGGGCCTCAGCCTGTCCATGACTGGGAAGACGTGGTTTGGGGGTGCCGTGGCCTCATTCTGGGAGCCGCGGGGTTTACTGTGTGGTCTTGCGTGATGATAACCCTCTCTGTGCCTCGGTTTCCCTAGCTGTTGAGGGCACTGGGTCTAAGAGGAGGGGAAGCTGGGGGGTGGGTCGGATACTGGAGCAGTGAGGAAGGTGGCAGAGGGCAGAAGGTGACAATCAGGGTAGCCCCGATTGTCCTAGATGCTTCTGGGTTGTGGTCAGACTCCCTCCGTCCTCCAGCTCACTGTTCGGGTGAGACACACGGGTGGAGATTGCAGAAAAGTCCCTTCTATGCTTGTGGGACTCACTCAGGCCTCCCAGCAGCCCTGCACTTGCTGTATCCCCATCGTATAAGGGGAAAACTGAAGTTCAGAGAGGGTCACCAGGCTGCCCAACGTCACGCAGCTGCTAAGTGGCGGGACAAGGACTTGAACCAGATACTTGAGCTTGACTCTCATTCTTGCCACAGTGCTGGGGGGAAGGTGGCTGTGACAAGTGTCTCCTAAAAAGGCCCAACCAGGGCTCAGTCTTCTTCCAGGGAAAGGGCACACTCATGCGGGTCTCCCCGCTCCCCACCCTCGTTTGCCTGCCTCCCTGCCCCCTTCTACTTGGCCTCCTGGAGTGGGGACGGGGCAGGGCCTGGGGACTCACGTTGCAAGCTGAGATGACGCCGTCACCGCCGGCACACACCATGGTTTCCTTCACCATGGAGCCCCACCAGTCGGCCTGGGTGCAGGTGGCATGGTCCACCACAGGCTGCAGGCCCTGCTGCAGCTCGTTGGCAATAGGGCCGTTGGCTGGGGAGAGACAGTGGTACTGGGAGTCACCCCACGTGGCCCTGTCCCTGCCCAGCCCTGGGCCTTCACGGAACAGAGTCCATGTCAGGCTGGGAGAGCTTCTAGACTTTGTGGGAATCACCCACCTGCCCTTAATCAGAGCCAAGCTTCCCAGTCAGTGGCTGCAAACCAGGGCTCAGGGACCCCTCTGAGGGTGGAGAATAGGCTCCAGGCTGAATTCATGGAAAGCCCTCAAGGAGTAGCCCCTGAGTTGAGTTCTCTTTAATTTGGATTTGGGGTGACGATGCTCTTCTTTTTCCTTGTAGGTCTCTCTCGGCCTTTGGTGTCACACGTGAATTGGTCTCTCCCACCCCAAGATTTTCCCAGTGTTGAGCTATGTTTCCCGCTAAATCCTGTACCTTCACTGATTGGCATTTAACGTTTTAATTCAGCTGGAAGGTGCTTGGGCCTATGATGAACCATCAGATCTAATCCATCACTCCCACTTGGTTTGCTGAGTTTCTTTCAGGGTCGCTTCTGTGGGACTAAGCAGGTGTCAAGCACTTGACAAATTCTAGTCCATTTGAGCCTTACAGGGCCCCTTACAGAGCCCTCATTAGCATGTGCTTAATAAATACCAGCTGTTATTATTACAAAGTTTAAAAAGGCGTGAAGCTGTTTAGGCAGGAGAGGAAAAGCAGAGGCGGGTGGGGGCTGTGCGGGCTGTGCTTCCTCTGGGGAGACCCCCCCATGCTCCAGGGCAGTACTCACTCCAGAGGCGACCCCAGCCGGTGACATAGCAGGCGTAGTCCTGGGGCAGCAGAGTGCCCTCCTGGGGCAGGCAGGCCACCTGGATGGTGTCACTCAGCTCCACGTGACCCGCCAGCTTGATGAGGGCGATGTCGTTGCTGGAATCCAGAACAGAGCTGGTGAGTGGGCAGGATGGCCCAGGCTGGGAGTTGGGGGTAGGCCCTGGGGGGCCAGGGTCCTTCATAGGTACCCTGCCTCTGTCGACAGCCTTGTCAGAGGGGCCTGATGGTCCACCTTCTGGCTCCACCGCCTTCCCCTCTGGATGTGGCTTCTCCGCGTGTATCTGCACGTCACAGCAGGGAGCTGTGCCTTTCTGGATCAACCAGAAAGGAAGCTAAAGTGACTGGGAAATTATAACGATAAGAGGGACACCTCAGGACACCTCTTAGCAGTGTTTGCTTTCAAGGTAACAGGATGCCAGCTGGTGACCCTGGACAGATCAGATTTGCGTCCTAGTTCCGCCATGGCCTGTGTGACCTGGGTCGTGGTCCTTGACCTCTCACTCTCGTTCCCTATTGGGGCTGTGGTGAGGATGACACAAAGCAATGAGGGCACAAGTCAAGGACCCCCTGTGTGAGGCTTCAGGCAAGACCCTGCGGGGCCCACTCAGTCTTTATTCCATGTCCCTTCTGGGGACCGTTGGCCAACGGTGGGGGTGGGAGGGACGTCTGAGTCCACTTAGCATTTTGCCATTTTGCATCCAGGGCTCATCTGTTGGCTGTTCAGGGTAAGGAGGGGGCCCAGGGACAGGGGGAGGCTGACTTGGCAGCTCTGTCTCCGAGGCCGCGGGGCTGGGTACTCACCGCACCAGGAAGGAGTTCCAGTTCTCGTGGACATGGATGGTGTCCACGTCCATGAACACAGAGCCTGCCTCATCGTCCACCACCAGGTTGTTCTTCCCCAGGGCCACGCGGTAGGTCATGGAGTTGCTGATGGAGGAAGGGACTGACCAGTCAGGGTGGCACAGTGGGGCCGAGAGGTGACCCAACCCTGTGCTGTCGTGGGATCACCTGGGGGTGTGTGTGTCCATCCCCATTGGCCCTCCGGGGTAAGGACCCTGGCCTTAGAGTCATGTCCAATTTGACTTCTAGGTGGAGAGCTTTGGGCCTCAGTTCCTTGATCGGTAAGGTGGAATTCAGTCCTGGGCTGCTGCAAGAATTATCCAGTGCAGGCCCTGGTGCTCTGGCCTACAATGTTTTAACCGCCACCTCACTGCCTCCCTGTTTCAACCCTGGCCTCCTCCTTCTCCAAGTTAGCTCATCTACAACAGAATCATCTTTTTCCCTCTTGCTGTCTTGTTTTTCTTCATTGCTGCATGTTATAGATTTATGCGTTGAGTGGTCTGTTCTGTCTTCTGCTAGAACACAAGCTCCCTCCCGGGCACCCAGTAGGTGCACACTCAGTACTTGTGGAATGCCTGAATGAACAACTGAGTTTCTGGATGTGAGGGGCTTATTTAGCTCAGTGCCTGGAGCATGTAGGAGGTGCCAAATTGAAGCAGCTTTGAGGCTCCCGCCCCAGGGCATTGGGGTTTTATCCCCGGTCACCTGATGCAGTGGGCAGCTGTCAGGACGAAGTTGCTGGCAATCAGGGTGCCACCGCATGTGTGCCTCCATGTGTCATCCCTGAGGTACTGGAGGGAGATCTGGAAGAGGGAGAAAAGGGCCACATGTCAGGCCCTGGGATCTCTCCCCGGTACCTTCTCTATCCCACCTCCCAACCTGTTGCAGCACACTTACCTGCCAGGGCCAGCTGTGAGGACGGGCATTGTCTCCTCCCACCACCCGGGCAGCTAGGTTGGGCAGGTAGCTGGGAACCCCGCAGCTGGTGGCTGGGGAGACAGGGAAGCATATAAAATGGGGATATTAATAGACCCTGGCCCTGAAGGTTGTTGCAAGGACCCAACTAGTTCCTGCATATAAAGGGCTTAACACATAAGAACGGCCATTATTATTACTGTTGTTAGCGGGAAGGACTGCTAAGCAAGGAGCCCTTGGCTCTGTCTCTCTCATGCCAAAAGAGCCGTGGCATTTATCCAGGTGAAGGAGCTTGTTCAGGTCTCACTGAGAGTGAGTGGCATTCAAGTTAAATTCTTTAATTCCTAATCTGGGAGATTCTTTAATTCCTAATCTGCCCAGGATGAGGCATCTTCCTTGTCCCCAGGCCCAGACCCTGGCTTTAAGCCTCACCTGGGGAGGTTAGAGCCTCAGCTTTATTTTGCAGATTCAGAAGCAGGGCTGCTAAGTGGGCCAGTGGCTCATCTGACGCGTAGCTTGGCAGTGATATCTGGGCCTACTTTGGACCCCAAATCTCCTTTCCTGGAGTCCTGGAGAGGAGAGGGCCCCTGCTCTGACCCCTCTGTGTCCCCAGGAGGCCAGCCCGAGCTCACAGTCCCGTGGCTACAGCTGATCCCTGACCCCCCACTCACCACAGGCCAGGAGGGCAGCGAGGACGGTGAAACGCAGCATGGTGACTGTGCTTGGGACTGAGTTCCTGAGGCTTTGGCTCCTGCAGGGGTGCACTTATAAGCGGGAGGGGGGTGTGGGGCCACCTAGTCAAGGCTGAGCCTCCCCTTGGGGAGAAACCTGTTCTAATAAGTCCTGTTCCCTGACCTTGGATGGTTACTGTTTAATTTGGGCTGATGAAGGGGCTGGCTTAGGGGTATGGAATTCTCAAATGTCTCAAAACAGAGAGATTCCAAGGTTGGCAGGTTTTCTGGGGTCCCCACCACTCCACTTGGTGTGTGATCTCATTTTCTCTCCCTAACTCATCCTGTTTAGTTATCATTTATTGGGCACCTACCATGTGCCTGGCACAAAGCCCCATATTCCTCGCCACCACTCAATTCTTCTAACCTGAAGTAGACCCCCGTTTTTGTGTTCATTGAGCATCGCGTGAGGGCGTGGTCTGGATTGCAGGTGCATCGTTGCGAAGCTACGTGTGTATCTGCTACCTTAAGTTCTCCACTGAGGTCCAGTTCCACCCCTCACCTTGCCGTTGTGCACTTGTTTCTGATTTACCCACCCCACCCTTCCCTCTGGCAACCACGAATTGGTTGTGCAGTCCACAGGTTTTCTTTTGCTTTATTTACTTCACCCACTTGTTTCTCTCTGTATCACCTGGGAGGCAGCGCACGGTGCCTCCTTTCACCCTCCCCTCTCGGTCTGTCCTGTTGTTGCAAATGGCAGAATTTCATCTTCATTTTTAAAAATTTATTTTCTTTCATTCTTTTTTGGGTAGAAGAACGGGGGTGTAGGCCAGAGTTGTGTGTTGGGGGGCGGGGGTGAGAGGACTCCCCAGAGACAGAGTGGGGAGCAGAACAGGCAGATCTACTGAAGCACACTGCTGAGGGGAGCAGCGGGGAGGCAGGAGAGGTCTGCTGTGCCCTGTGAGTGAGTCAGCTCCCCGGCCGGGGATCGAACTCAGGCCATAGGTGATAACGCTGAGACTTAACCTCTTGGCCACTAGGGAGGTCCTTATCTTTTTATATATATTTTAAAGCTGAGTAGTATTCCACTGTGTGTATACACCCCATCTTTATTCATCTGTGGATAGGCACTTAGGTTGTTTCTACCTCTTGGCTATTGTAAATCATGCTGCAGTCAACATGGGGGTGCAAGTATCTTTTTGAATTCGTGTGTGTTTTTCAGGTAAATAACCTGAAGTGGGATAACTGTTCATATGGAGTTTCTGTTCTAGAAATCTCCATATTGCTTTGCATAATGACCACACCAACATGCATCCCTACCTACACTGTGTGTGCGAGGATTCCCTTCTCTTCACATCCTCTCCCACACTTGCTCTTTCTTGGAAGTAGACACTCCTGTCCACTTGCCCAGAGGGTCGGTGACCATCCAGGCCACTCAGCCAGGCCACGGTAGAACCAGGATTTGAAGTCAGTGCTTCTAATTCCCGTCTGGGGCTCCAGCTGCTTCCTCCTCTGCCTTGCTCACTCTTGGTTGCCCCCTGTTTTTCCTCCCTCATTTAACTCATACTGTTTGACCTTGGAGTGTGCCCTGCTCTCCTGCATCTTCTCCCTGCTATGGCCAGAGGCTGAGGCCCAGGAGGACCTGGGACAGGGGCTGGTTGGTCAGATTCTTCTCTGGTGCCAGCTACCTGTCTCTCCATCTCTGAAATGGGCAGATTAGACCAGATGGACACTCAGCCTCCTTTCTGTTCCAAGGTTCCATAGCTTGAATGTGAAGGTCAAGTGCATACCTGCACTTGTGGGACTTGGCATAGATCCAGAATGCCATATGCCCAGAAGTTCTGCCCATATCCCAGGTCATTTGGGGTCAGCCAGTTGGTTTAACCCTTGTGCCCCAAGGCCTGACTTCAGTGGGGCACCCGTTAGTGTCTCTGTTTCTTTCCCTTTCTACTCACTGGACTTCTGCTTGGAAGCTGTTTTCTGAGCTGGGCCCACAGGTCACCTTAGGAATTATTTCCCAGTAAAGATGTTCAGAACTCTATGCACCCTGCTGTTCAGGTGGTAATCAGGGGGCATAGGCCGATTCCAATTTATGCACCGTATGCAAATTAAATATTTTTTAAAACAAGCCTGCATTATTTTGATAACGTAAAGTTTTGCTTATTAAAAAAAAAAACAGAGACAGACTCTGGTGAATTCTCTTACCCTTCTATGCTTCTGACTGTACCCAGCGCTTGTATAAATAAATCTTAAAAAAAAAAACAACAAAAACAGAGACAGAGAGTATGAGTTCTGACCTGCTGTGTTGAACTTGGGCCCCAAACTGGGGGTGCCTGGGCTGCCAGAACTTTCGGTTGCATTCTAGAGGCTGGTTCTGCCAGAAGGGTCATGGCTATTGCCCAATCCAGCCCAGACGCAAGGATCTTGGTCACCAACTCTGCAAAGAGTCACCCTGGCTTGGGGACTGACATAGTCATCAGAGATATGGTCACCTGAGCCAGGTGACAGGTTTCAGAGTTCTGCAAGGTTTGGGAGGCAGGTGAAAAAGACTCCTGGTTTCTGTCTCAGTGATTTGCTGGATACCCTAGACCTCGGCCAACCTCTTGAGGCCTCAGTTTCTTTTCTTCTTCTTTTTTTTTTTTTAAAGATTTGTTTATTTATACATATAAGAACTGGGGTGTAGACCAGAGATGCAAGCGGTGAGAGGATTCACCAGAGACAGAGTGGGGAGCAGAACAGGTGGATCTACTGAAATACACTGCTGAGGGGAGCAGCAGGTGAGCCAGGAGAGCTCTGCTGTGCTATGTGGGTAGCTCTCTGGCCAGCTGGGGGATAGAACTTGTGCTGCAGAGGCTGCTGATAGCTTCATAGTGTGGTGCTTAACCCCTTGCGCCACCAGGAAGGCCCACGAGACCTCAGTTTCTTCTTGTACAACCTGGAAAAATGACCAACTGGCTTTTAGGTTAGGAACATGTAGATGTATGCTCAGAGAGACACAGCAATTTCTTAGCACCCATGTAAGTCATTGGCGCATGTCTATAGGTATACAAGCATACTGGGACAAACAGACAGACAGACAGACAGGCAATGGCTCCATGGCCAAAGACACGCACACACCAATGTCAGACATATAAAGTGTTCAGTTATAGCCAGACACAAACAGATCCATGTGCCACACATTCGGACATGTACCCAGACACAGAAATTGCCACAAGTGCCCAGGGGCATGGTGGCCAGCGACATGCTTGGAGTTCCAGAGATAATCTATCCTTTTTTGGAGGGAGGCTGCTGGCTGCTGTGGAAGGCGCAGACTGCATCATTTAGGGGAACTCTCCTGTCTTGTGATGTTTCCCAGGTGGCTCCCTATCTGTAAGGTAGCACCAAAATATTGTACCTGGAGAAACCTGAGGTCACCTTAATCTTCTTCAGGTGCTGAAGACGGGACGTCAAGTGCTTGGCTTAGGCTTGGACCATCCTCCCGAAGGAGGGAGATCCCAGAGCTCTCATCTCCCAGCTCTCACCTCTCACCTCTCACCTTGGACGAGTGGCTCACCCCCTCTGTGCTTCCATGCTCTCATCTGTAAAATGGTACCGAAATATGGTGCCTGCCTCATAGGGTGATTGCAGGGGGTGGACACTGATGTTTGCTATTGTCACTATTGTGTTGCCATTTGGTTCATAGGAGAAAGCTGAGTCCAGGCTGTCACGGGCCCTTTTGTCTCTGTGGGTCCCTTTCTCCTTCAAAAATTGTTAAAACTTATGTTTCATGATGGCATGGGTATAAAGACTAATATAACCTAGTTTGGGTTATATTCACTTTTTCCTGCTGGTTTGAAAAGGAACCAAAGCATTTGTATGCCCCTAAAAGTGTCCCGGGCTCCAGATGGAGTCCATTGTACTGGTGGGCGATTTGGCTCCCCCTCATGTCTGGTTACAGAGGACTGAGAGGAACTTTGGGAATGTTCTGCAGGTCATTCTGAGCATCTTCTCTGAAGACCTGCAGGTGTCTTCAGCTGTGCTGGTGGGCAGCCAGGGAGAAAGCTGGGTATAGCTACACAGAGGTGGGGGCCACTTCTGGGCTTGTGCCTGGCTAGTGCCTATATCCCCAGACACCCTTAGTCTGGTGCAGGGAGCAGCTGGTCAGTTCCCTGCACTCCACCCTGCCTAAGTCACAGTGGGGACTCTTGGATGGCTGATTTTCTGGCCAGGTACCCAAGACTGAAGCCCCAGGAGGGAAGGCTTGCTTGTGAATATCTTGGAGGGGGAGTGGTTTTGGGAGGGGATGAGACTTGGACTTGGATTAAGTTGAGGATTTATTTTTATTTTTTTTAAATATTTATTTATCTATGCATACAAGAACTGAGGTACAGGCCAGAGGTGTGGGGGGCGGGAGGATCCACCAGAGATAGAGCAGGGAACAGAACTGGCAGACTGACTGAAATGTACTGCTGAGGGGAGCAGTGGGCGAGTCAGGAGAGGTCTGCTGTGCCATGTGGGTGGCTCCCTGCCTGGGGATTGAACTCGTGCTGCAGTGGCTGCGGATAGCTTCATAGGTTGCATCTTAACCCCTTGCACCACCAGGGAGGCCCAAGTTGAGGATTTAAAGATGTGACTATTTTGTTTGTCCAAACTATGAGGCATGGACGTACCATGTATATGGAAGCCATTCATTCATTCATTCATTCTTTCCTCCCACATTTGCTGAGCACCTACTGTGTGCAGCCCCTGTGCCAGGACCTGGGCTACAGAGGTGGTAAAACCCTGCTCAGCAGCACGAGTTCGCTGTGGGAAGGATGATCAATATTCCTCGGAAGGCTCTGGGTCAGGGGCTTGGGGCTCAGGATGAGACGAGCTTAGTTCCCGGTGGGGCCTAATGGGATGAGGCTTAGGAAAAGATTCCTTCTTTCCAGATTCCATACCCAGAATGAGCTGAGACATGAGGGTGTGGAGATGAGAGAATCCCATCCCATCCTGAGGAACCCATGTTTTCCAGGGCCTGCAGCAAGGCCTCCCAGGACCTAGGAGCTCAGTCCTCAACCACGCGGGGACACAAAATAACCATGGAAAATAACCATGGGAGGCGCAGGAAATCAGTGCCAAGGTTGGCGTGGGGGTGGGGTGGGAGCCTGAAAACGGGACAGGTGTCCCTGACGGCTGGAACGCCTTGGTGCTGGGACAGGACTCTCAAGTGGCAGCTGTTACACTGGTGAGGCCCACAAAGGGGGGCTGGCAGGGTTTCTTTTCAAGACTAGTTGGAAGTCCTGGGGAATCAGAGAGAGGTTTGGTGTTTGGGGAAGGGGGCTGGGACTTGGGGGGGAGCACTCTGAATCACCTCGGGCCTTCATTCCTCAACCCACACCCTCTGCCTGGGTTGGGAGTGGGGACCCAGTGCAGGCCTGCCCGAGGGTCCTTTACCAGCTGGGCTCCGCTGCTGGGGGCTCTAGAGGCCATGTTTCTCATCCCTGGGCCTCGAGCCCGTGCCCATTGCCTGCCAGCTGGGCTGGGGCTGTGGGGCCTGCAGTTTAGATCCTTTATCCCTCGGTTCTGACCCACAGCCACAGACCACCAGGGACTCTGAGGTTCTTCTCTTGGGGACGGGTACTGAGGGCAATGCTTCAACTGAAATGCTCCTGGGGTGGCATCCCCCAGGAAATCCCCTTCAAGGAGGCAGCCTTCCCTGGCGGGGTCTGCGAGGAAGTCAGAGCGGGTGGGCATCCGGGCTCCTGTAGTACTGCTCACGTCCACCCGGGGGTGGCGATGTCCAGTCTGATCCCAGACTCCTGTGCGCCCACTTAGGGTGCAGGAGGGAGATGGGGCGCCTCTGGAACCACAGTTCCAGGAAGGCAATAGGCCACCCTTCCTGGGCAGACCGAGCCCCTGGGGAGGCTGATCTGTCTGAAGTCACACAGGGAGCACCCTGGCTCTTACCACCCTACCCCTCCAGCTTGTGTGTGTGTGGTTGGGGAGGCGCGGGTTTCTGCGTGGGAGAGTCTTGGGGGGGAGGGCTAGGATGCATAGTCCACATCCTTCTGGTCTTAGTGCTGTTCTCCTGGCCGCCATGCTGTGCGCCAAGGCCCTGTGGGACACATGCCCCCTTAACGGACCAGGCAGGGTACTGGGTGAGTCGGGTAGCTGGGTGGGTAGGGGCTCAGGCTTGCATCTGCCACCACCTGCCTGTGTGCCTCTGGGGCTTTCCAGGCCTCTCCTTTCTTCTCTGGGATTAAAACCAGCCACCCTCTCCTCCCCGTGGGTTTGTCGAGGATTAAATGCGTTAGTATGAGTAAATCATTTAGATTCGAGCCCGGGGATGGCAGGTGTGTCAAACAACCTGTCCCGTTGGGAAGGGGCGTCTCTTCTCCCGGGCTTCCCACACGGCAGGCAGCCAGCACCCGAGGGAGGCCGCCCTGCCTCCTCCCGCCCCTCCCCTGCTCCCCAAGAACCACACACACGTAAGAATATACAATTTTATCTTATTTTAGTTAAAAAAAATAATCGTACCACCGAATGAAGAAGTAGCATTTTGAGGGGAGGGAATGAGAAGGCAGGAAAAAAAATAAAAAGCAACTAAGCTAAAAGGAAAAAAAAATTATATTCATCTGTATAAACGTATCCGCTAAGGCAAACGCAATCCAGGGCCAAGGCTGCCCCGCCCGGGGGGGGGCAGCAACTAGTTCCTGCAAATTCTAAGGCCAAAAAAATAAAACCTCTGCAAGCCCAACAGGGCTCCGTGGGCTCTAGGGGGAGCTTTACTAAAATAAAGGGATATCGAGTCTCAGAAGCAGTGATTCTGTCACGACACACTGGACGGCGCATGGCGGGGGCCGGACGCCGCTCGCTCGGACGGGACGTCACAGTTTCACGACACAGCAATGGACACGGACACGCACGGGAGCGGGCGGGCACGCTGGAGGCTGGGGCGGGCCAGGGGGGCTGGGGCCCATGCTTCCCCGGGGTGGGGGTGACGGGACAGGTCCAGTCGCTGGTGACGAGGCTCACTTGGGGGAGGGGGCGAAGGGGCTGAGCGAGGCCCCCTGCGCCCCGCTGCCCGGTCCGTGCAAACCACTTAAAGCACTTCTTGAAGGCCTCCTGGAGAATGGAGACAGCTTGGTTTCCTTCCCTAGGAATCCCTCCTAACCCCTCTCTGCGGAGCCCTGGGGCGCCCAGGCTGTTCCGGGAGGGGGCAGGGGTGGCCGTCCCTGCCCACGCTCCTGTGGCACGGCCTGCAGAATGCGGCCCGTGAGGTAGATGGGCACAGCTGCCCCTTTGCCCAGGGCCTCTCAGCCTAAATGGAAGCCCCTCCCCTGACTCTGGCAACAGGTGCTGGTGTGGGGGGGTGGGGCTGTGCCTCCAATCGGCTCCTTAGTTTCCGCTGGCCACAAGCCTTGCAGGGGGCATCAGGGGACCAGGGGCAGTGCAGCGGGTTAGGGGCAGGTGGCCTCTGGGTAGGGGACCAGGTGACAGGGAGAGGCATAGGGGTGCAGAAGGGGGTGTGCGGGCAGGCACCCAGGCAGGGAGCCCTGGGAGCCAGGAGCTGGGCACGGAGCCCCGAGCAGTGCTGGAGCAGGTGGGGGCGGCCAGGGACGAGACGGGGCGTCGCCAGGCAGGGAGCCAGTGCTGGTGTCACAGCCTCAGGAACAGCGGGAGCGGGGAGAGTGGGGCCGCCTCGGTGAGGCCCCTCAACTGGCTCCGTTCGCAGACATGGTTAGGTTTTTAGTGTGGTCCCTGCAGACAAGCTGAGGACCCGGGCTCGCCCGTCAGACGGGGCGCTGGGGCCGGCCGGGCGGTCAGGCCAGGCCCTGGCTACTTGAAGGTGGACTGCAGCTCCTTGAAGGCTGCTTTCCGCTGCTTCATCTCTTCCGCCTGCTTCTTCCTCTCCTCCTGCTCTGCCTTGATCTCCTCCTCGAAGCGACTGGACACGTTGATGGCCTGGACCTGGGGTGGAGGGGGGAGAGGTGGGTCAGGCCGGAGGGGTCTCTGCCCTGCGCCTTCTCTGGGCTCCCTTCGCCTCTCATTGGCTCTGCTCCTCGGGCAGGGACTTCCTTCACCTCTTGCAGCCTCCATTTCTCCATTTGGGGCCTGGGGCTCAGTAACTGACCTCGCGGATGAGGTGGAAGGAGACCCGGATCGGAGCGCTGCCTGGTGCCTTTAAGGAGACCTTGTGATCTGCTCTCCCGCTGCTGCCTGGCCTGGGGAGCCCAGGTGCACACGTTTCCTACTACTGAACCCTGAAACATCCCCTTCGCCCTCGAAGCCCAGCAGGAGGTGGGAAGCAGCCTTCGGAAGGAATGTTCTTTGCTAAAATGGGAAGAGAGACATGGAAAGGCGGGGGCTCTGGGAGGAGAGGATCCCGGAGACAGACTCGTCCCCTGCATCCGAGTGTTGCCAGAAGGGGTCCATCCTATTCCCTCCAGGCTGGGGCTGGAGGCACTGGCATCTCCGAGGCTCCTGGGAGATGTGGTGTTTCTGAGCCTGCTTGCTGTCTCCTGGGCCTTCCCGGCAAGGCCTAGTCCTTTGGGGTCATGGCTGGGTGGCTCAAAGTGGTCCCCATTCCCACGGCCCTCAAAGTGGTCCCCATTCCCCTTCACCTTTGGAGCAGGGAGAGAAAGAGGAGGCTGGCGAGCTCCTGCCTGCAGCCTCGGTAAGGACTGGAAGGGGAAGCACTGACCACTGTGCTCACCCAGGTCCCATTATACCCTTGTCACCCTGCCCTGGGCTCGCGCATCCTCACCTTGGCTTCGAAGAAGCTCTTGGCCCCCTTGACGCCCTCGGTGGAGACGTCTATCTCAGAGAGGCGGGCCAGCACGTGCAGCCCGCTGTCCTCCTGCAGCTCCCCAGCCGCCGCCTTGCGGAAGATCAGGAGGAACTGCAGCGGAGAGAAGAGCAGGCGGGGTCAGGGAGGGGTAGAGGGGCTGAGACCCGGCCACACCTCGGCCCCAGCCCCAGGCCTCCCCTGGAGATGGCGAAGCGTGGTCACAGGACTGGGAACCTGAGGCCTGGGCTCTCGCCACTCCATGTCTGCGTGTCCCTGCACAGGCCAGGTGCCCCTCCCGCCCTGGGCCTCCGTTTGCTCATCTGTACAATGGGGCCCCCCCTGTCTCCCCAGTCACAGGGTCATGTCATTCCGTGAAATGACTCCCAGAGCCCGCCTAAGGTCGGGAGCACAGAAGTCATGTGCTACCTGCTCACCCTGTCTGTTAGGGCCTCCGCCAACACGTAGCCGCTCAATGGCAGCTAAGCAGCAATGAACCAAACCCTCGGGTAACACCCCTAGGCAAGCAGGGCTCACCTCCCGGAAGCTGAGCTTGCTGTCAAGATCCTCATCCACCTCCTTGATCATGTTTTTCAGGCCCAGGTGGGTCTGGGGGGCTCCAAGTTTCTCCATCATGAGTTTGAGCTCCATCAAGTCGATGAAGCCATCTCGGCCGGCATCGTACCTGGGGGTGCAGAGAGAGGCCTGAGGACACCTTGATACCTCCCCCCCATCAGAGGGGCCACAACTGGAGTTTGGTGCCTGGGGCTCAGTGGGTCCCTCCCACCAATCAGATGGAAGGGACCTCAGCTGGGCAGAGAGCAGACTCGTGGCCCAGCTCCTGCGTGGTCACCTCTGGGGACGGGAGCCTCCTCCACGCTGAGCAGTGCTGGCTCTGAGCAGCCTGCTACACCAGGGAGCTGGAGCCGCGGCCTCCCTGTACCCAACAGAGGGACAGAGGGAGAAAGAACTCACAGCGTGTGGGGGTGTGGATCCGGAGGGTGGGCTCTGAGGTCAGCACCCCCCAGACCATCTCCAGGACCAGCTGGCTTAGTGGGACCCTCGAGGGATAGCCTGGCACCATGTCTCCCAGACTCCCTGCTCTCCCCCCACCCCAAGGCGGCAGGCTGGGGCAGGATTCTCCACCTCAGACTGCAGCACTGGATGGCTCACTCCTGGGGGCCCAGATGGTGTCACAGAGAGACGAGCGACTCCCTCCCAACTTGGGGTGGTTAAGACTCTCCCAGATGTAGCCAAACGCCCCAGGGGTGAAATCGCTGCTGATTGAGAAACTCTGGGTTAGAGGCTGTGACATGGATGTGGAAGGTGGCCTCTCCGGGTGACAGATGGTCTGTCTTCCTCAGCACCCTGTTTCTTTTTGGGGGGTGTAGGAATAGGTGTTGATGTTGGAAAGGTGGGGGGGTGCTGAGCCCCGTGTGTCACAGACCAGGGTCAGTGGTCACAAGGGCAGGTCCCCCTCGAGGCTCTGGGAGGTGGTCCAGGCTGTGAGGAGGGAATGAGCTGTGCAGGCTGCTGGCTGTGAGTGGTGGGAAAGGTGTGGCACAGTGGTTGGGTGTCTCTGCCTGTACATTTCATTCTCCTTTTTCTACCACCAAGGCCTGGCAGAAGGGCTGGGCGTGGGGCGTGTCACTCTTAAGGGCCTCCTGTGCACGAGCTGGGTCAGAGCTGGCCACTCTGGGCTGGGAGGTACTGCTGGGTGCTTAGCACACAGCATGGCACAGTGGGCACTGCCCTGCCTGGGTCTTGGTCTTGTGGTCTCGGGGTTGTCAAAACGAGCCTCTGAACCTCAAGAAAGCTCTTGTGTGGCCCCCCCAGGTCTCGAGCTGGCTGGGGGACAGTCATGTGACACAGAGGGGCCGAGTTCCAGAAGCCTGTGTCCTGGAGACTCTGAGTTGCAACAAATGCATGCCTTGTGCCTTCCCCAGGGTCTCAGTTCCCACCCTCCTTCCTCCTTATGCTAAGTCCCGCTGACTCTGGGCATCTAATAGCAACGCTTTTTTGCGATCTGTCTGTGCCGGGAACTTGACATTCTTCACCCTCCCAACAACGTTTTTATAAGGGAGTCTCAGAGAGGTTAAGCGACCTGCCCAAGGTCACCCAGCAGTTGGGCTTCCATGGAGAGGTCTGCTGGGCTCATCAACCTGCACGTTTGCTCTGCGCCCAGCCCCCCTCCTCGCGTCCTGTGGCCGCCAGCAGAGCAGAGATGACTGTCTGGAGCGCTGAGCGGCGCATTTGTGCGAGGGGTATAAATAGTTCACGGCAAGTGAGTCAGTGTTTGGAAGTGACGCAGCACTGGGAGGATGGGTCTCTGGGAATCCTGCAGGAACACAGGGTCCCGCGGCTACTTCCCCACCATGGGGAGGGGGTAGGCAGGGGCCAGATAGGTCAGAGGCCCTGTGGGCAGTGGCCAGAGCTGGATGGCAGTGGTGTGAGAGGCACGGGAGAGGGTTGTGGGACTTGGGGGGTCAGGTAGGCCAATGTATCCCCCACCCCCTGAGTCCAGCCTCCACTTAGAGCTGGAGGGGCCTTGTGGGGTGCATGGCAGTGGCCTCTCCTTCCATCCTTGTTTGCCAGTGGGCGGAGGGGCCGGCTGGCCTGGCTGGCTGGCTGCTGTATGACCCTAGGACCCTAGGGCTGGGTTGGAGCAGGCTGGGGAGAGCAGCCTGCTGGGGACAAGTCACATGGGCCCTCGGGCCCTCGGAGTCCTCACTTCCTGAACTTAGGCTCCTTCTGGCCCATCATCCCCAGAAGTGGCAGTTCCAAAGTGGGGGAGAGGGTCTATGTGCCCCAGAGGGACCCTGGCAGGATGGCACTTCCCTTGTGGTGTCACTGGGAGATGGAACTGAGGTCACATGTCAGCACTTAGCACAGCACCTGGCACAAGGAGTTGGCTCCAGAAATGGCAGCTACCGCCACTGTGAGACTTAAACTCACCTTTATTAAGGACCTACTATGTGCTAGGCATTTTCTCTTGACCCCTTCTGTGTTCAGCCATCCTGGGGGGGTTGGTATTATTTCCCCAAATGACTATTAGGGAACAAGGCATGTAGAGGTGGGGGTCTGGATCCCTCCTAGTTCCCTACTCCACGCCTTGCTCTCCATCTGCTCACCTGCCCTCGTCTGCCCTGGCTGTATTTACCGCTCAGTCTGTGGGTTTCTCCCGCAGTTAGGGTGGCTCCGTTTCAGAGGAAGTGAGGATAAAGTGTCCAAACTTGGACAGGAACTTGGGCTTTGGCTCTCTCAGCTCTGGCACTCCCTGGCCTGTCTGGGCTGCAGCTCAAACCACGGCTTGAACCACCACCCACATCTATCAAGGGTCAATCAATTACCGGGGCGGGCTCCATCTGGACCCCCAGGGGGACAATGCAGGGTTGGCTGCAGTGCCAGCAGATCAATCACGGGGTGTGGGGGGGGGTTACAGAGGGCAGGGAGAGGCCATGTGTTGGGGTGGCAGGCAGGGGCCCCAGAGGAGGTGACACTTGGGGGTTGTTCTCATGGGATAGCCTCCCCAGGGAGTGGACCCCCACCATGTGCCCTGGGCTCTGGGTCACTGAATCAGCCAGGATCCAGGGCAAACCTTGAAGGCTTGTGTGTATATCAACTCTGCTGAGACTGCCCTGGGTCCAAACCCCAGCACCGGCACCTGCTGGCTGGGTGACCCTGGCCAAGTCACCTGATCCGGGGACTCTCAATCTCCCTATTGCCATCAAGGAGATCAAAGGACTTATCTCAGGACAGACACAAAGACTGAAAGAGACATCCAAACAGACTCTTAGCACAGAGTCTGGGCCCCATCCCGTGAGCATGGCTGGGAGGAAATGCAGACTGGCCTGGAGGCAGGGGCTGGACAAGGTGACAGCACCCCATCCTCCCTTCCCCATTGGGTTTGATTCAAAGACCTGGCTGCTTGGGGAGGTAGAAGGACAGCAGGGTGGAGCCTTTTACTCTCTTGCCCCAGCCCTGGATTCCTCTCCTATCCTTCCTCTGACAAGGGGAATGGCAAGGGGGATGGCAAGGGGGATGGCAAGGCGGGGGATGGGGGGACTGTCACTGTGTCCCCAGCAGGCATATCCCCGACTGAGAGCCCTTGCGTCAGACACAGGGCATCAGCCCTCTCCCTGGGTTGGAACTGAGGTTGCAGGTGGCTCAGAGGATTCAGGGAAAAGGGTTCAGCACACAGATCTATCTGGATACCCCGGCCACTGCTTCATGTATGTGGGGGCCCAGGGGCCCAGAGTGGGCAGCAGCTGGCCCAGTCACACAGTTGTGGGAGGTTCCTAAAATTGGAAGCTTTCTTCCTTCGTGCCTGCTTCCCTCTCCCCGGCCTCCTGGAGGGCCCTGGAATCTCAAGCCAAGCCCTGGTTTGGGGCCTGCCTGGGAGGGCCACCTCCCTCCAGCAGGATGGCCGGGAGCTCAGCGCTTCCCTCCTGCACTAGGGGGAGGCTGCACAGCTGGCAAGGCGCCCACATTCTTACCGCCTCCCTCTGAATGGTCCTCCGACAGGGAGGGCAGCAGCTGCTGCCCCGGATCTGGCGACAAAGTCCCCTCCCTTGAACATGGAGCAGCCGCCCAGGCAGACTTTGCCCCTTTGGGCTGGGCAGGCCCCACCCAGCTGGTACAGCCAGGAGCCATGGGCGGGGGTGGGGGGCAGTGACCAGCTCCTGCAGCAGCGCATGGTGTAGACGGCCTGGTCCTGCACGGGGCTCTCCCCGCCTCACAGTGATGGTTCCACTGTGGCTATGCTACGCCGGGCACTCGCCTTGGGCTCTGTATCCTGTCCTGACAGGGATTCTGTGACAAGGATATGAACAGCCTCTACACCAGGGACTGAGGCTCGGGGAGGAAGCCTCTTGGCCAAGGTCATCACTGACAAGGCCACAGCTGGCGTCTGAACTCAGGCCAGATGGAAAATGTGCCTTAACTGTTACACTATGTACGTCCTGACAGCTCCAAACCCTGTACCTGGGAACCGCAGGTGGGAGGGATACTGGGCCAGCTCATGTCACTGTTTGTGGGGGTCTGATTCCTACTGCAGTTTTCCTGCTTGGTGTCTGGAATGCCTTCGAGAAGGGGGAAGCTCACAGCTGGCCTAAGACAGCCCATTTTAGCTCTGGGACTGTTTACTAGGAAGTCGTTCCTCATGCATGCGCCCCCCCAAATCCACCCCCCAAGCCGTGCGGTGCTACCTAACAGCAGAAAGAGGTGGTATCACAACCACTGTCTCAGGGGAGGGGGCGGCTGATCTAGGAGCTTAGGGGACCCCGACTTTCCCTACTGATTCGCATCTCAGGCTTTTGCTGATGGCCCCCCTGAACACTGGGTCCCCAGGAAGTGAGTAGCTAGAGGGTGGTGTTTACAGAACTGGGAGTCTCCAGCCCTACTTGGTACTGGTCTCAGCATTCACAGAGCCTCCCTATCTGGGGAGCCTCCCCTGTGGCCCAAAGTTATGACTTTAAGGCCTCTATCCTTTGCCCCCTGAAATGGGAGGGCAGGTGCCTTGGTCAGCAAGGTTCCAGACAACAGGAGAATGCTGGCCTCCCTGTTACAGCCAGCTTGGCCCTGCCCACCTCCGCATGGCATGGAAGGAAGGCACTGGTGCCGCCCACAGGCTGGGCGCTGACTGCTCGGCAGAGCCCACCAGTTCCCGCACACCCCCACCTCCTG